CACCGCTGCCATTGTGCCCTCAAAAGCATAAACAGAGCCGAGGATAACTAGCGGCAGACACGGAAAAGCTTGAAGAATACATCGCGACTTAACTCTAAAACATGAACGTTTAATCCCCCCGTGACTGGAGGAGTGAAAAGATACGCAGCAAGCGTTTTATTTTTGGACGCAAATGACAGGAAACGTGGGTTTAGAGGTGGTGAGCGCATGAAGAGGTGGAGGAGGATGAGAGACAAATTTGTCTGTGTTAAAAAGTCTCTTATATACAAAAAAAACACAATATAAACGCACTATCTTGGACCGGATACATGACAGGATACCACAGAACAGCGCTACGCCCTCTGTTGTCCTGCCGGGCAATTGCTTTGCAACACTCCCCAGGAGACGGAGAAGTATGAGGGCAAAACGCTTCCATCAATCCGTGCGCGTCTGTCCCTTGCGGAGCTGACGGAGAAGCATGAATCAGGCTTGAGACTCCGCACCCTGGAGTGGGAACACCACCTGCCGAAGGGGGAGTTGATGGTGGCGCTGAGGCTCCAGCCGAAGCCCAGTACCTTGCGGCGGAGACGCCACCCGCCGAAAGGGGGGGCCGACAACATCACCGACCCCACTCCACTACAGCCTGCGCCCGTGACCCCCAGCCGAGCCGGCGAGTCACCCACCGACGGGGTGGCCGAACGCCCCCCGCACCACCACCGGCCTACCCCGATCTCTATGACTGCACCTGCGCGTCGACTGAGGGCCCTCTGGAGCGCACATGTGTCGCCCTGAATCAGTTCTTCCTCTAAAAAAACAGATGTGTCACTGTCTATTTCCTCTAATTCTTCATCAGTAGGAGACATTTCCTCCTTTTCTTCTAAAGAAAGTGATATTTCATCATTCTCCCCAAAGTTCTCCTCCATAATTGTGGAAAGACCAGCCTGATTCTCCCAAATATCCCTCTCTGTAGTCAGAGACAGACCAGCGTCCTCCCCCCATTGAGTCAAACACATCCAAATCTGACGTAGTTACTTCATCTGACGTAAAATCAGAAAGATGCTCCACCTGAGACTAAATCTGTAAGGCTTGTTACCAGCATTCAGACATCAATTCTGTTTGCTTCACAGCCAGACAGGACACAGTAAATAAAATAAAATAAAAATAAAGAAAAGAAAAAGAAAGATTTTTCAGTCAGTGGTTCTGCGTCTTCATGGGCCACAGAGAGACTTGTTTGGGATCCAGAATCCTCTTCATAGAAAACCGATTGTTCGACGTCTCTGAGTAGACTAGTTGCTATCTCCAGGCCAAAACCATCGCTGCTTTCATATTCTGGTTTTCGCAAAGTGGATAAACTGTCTTCTGTTTCTCCGTAAGAATGTTCACCATCAGTTCTGTCAGCTTTCAGAGAGAGACGATTCGTCCCTTCATCGTCTGTAACCGATGGGTCGATGTCTCTGTAAAGAAGAAGAAAGTATCATTTCTATAGCGCCTCTCAAGATAAAAATCATGAGGCGCTTCTCAAAAGCACAAAATGTAAAAATATAAAAAAGCATTTAGAAAATGTTTAAATACATATTTAAAATGAGCAAAAATTGGCAATTGTGATTAAAAATGTCAAGAAAGAGTGAACAGGAAAGAGGGAAATCAGCAGTGTTGGGCAAGTTACTTCAAAACTGTAATGCATTATTTATTACTTGTTACCCTCATTTTAATGTAATTGATTACATTACAATATTACTGATTTTAAAATATAAGGCATTACACTACTTTGGCATTACTTTAAGTTACTTTCACCAAAACAACTTCAATATGAATCTGGTAATGTGACGCTCAGTGCTTTAAAATGATTGTTTATTAAATAAAAGCAACAACAATCTGTACTCTCAGCACGCTGCCATCTTAGATTAACTGAGCAGGGAGTGAGGTGGTGGGGGCTCCAAGCCTATTTTGCTTTGGTCCCCAAATGCCTTGATACGGCCCTGGATGTGGGACTGACTTCTGGGGTGATCTGATTCTATCACATGTATAAATATGAAATGCTTATATATTATTGCTTTTCACTGGTAAAAATGTGTTTTGGGGCTAAATCTACCTACTTTTTTTCTTTTCAAGCTCTTTGTTTTGTTTTCTTGACTTTATTTGAATAATTTCCGGCCCTTTCTCTCTCTAACCTTCCTGCATGCTGCATGTTTTCACCGTCTTCCAGAAAAACAGTTTCCTAGATTTCTAATCAGCCAAAGGGATCTACCGAACGCAAAAAAAAGCTTAATATGCGCTGCGCTCCAGCAGCAATGAGTCAAAATCACCGAGCGAGGGCACAGATTATGAACTCAGCTGAAGCAAAGCACGTCAGAAATGTACAGAAAGTACAGAGAATATAAACGATCGCAAGTGAATGACTTTGTTTTGGTGGAGCGATTTTGTGAATATAACAGCGGCCGCGCGCAGGACACAGCTGGAGTATTTGAGCCATTACCGCTGCGTCCTCTCTGCTCATAGAATGCCCACAAAGCTGAGTCCATAAATGACGTAATATATGTAGATACTGGATCTTTATTTTGGGCTTTCCGCAGTTTTAATTTTTAAGAAACCCACATCTTGATTCTGGGTTTAAAAATGCATTGTAATTACCGCGTTACTGACAATTGTACTGAGTAAATATTACCATTTTCTTTCCCTGTAATGCCTTACATTACCACATTACAGCAAAAAGCAATGCATTACAGTAATTAATTACTTTTGTACCGCGTTACTCCCAACACTGGAAATCAGTGGATCAAGATAAAGACGTGTTGATTTTCCGGGTCCAAGGCTATTAAAATCAGACTCTGGTTGTTCTAAAGAGGATAAATCCTCTTTTTCTGCATCTCCATAAAAGTATTTATAAGCGTTTCTAACCGCTTTAATAATCAAAGCACCTGCTACCAACCCAGTAACGGCAAACATGGCCGTATTTCTTTTTTTTGATTGTTTTATGCTCTGACATGTACTGTCAAGGATCATCATGTCCAATCTGTCACACCCTGTCCTGTCTCCCCTTATGGTTTAGTCATGTGTCTCTGTTAATTGCTCCCACCTGCCTCTCATTTTCCAATCACTGTGTTTCGTATTAAAGCCTTTAAACCATTCCTGCTTGTCTGCCTGCCTGCCTTTGCACCCGCGTGTGGATCCTGCCTCAGCTTCACTCACCGGCACACGTCTGACAGAAACAATGATCCAACACGAGACAAAGAACTGAAGGGGTTTAAATACAAGAGGTTGGGAACTTGGGTGATTGGAAAATGAGAGGCAGGTGGGAGCAATTAACAGAGACACATGACTAAACCATAAGGGAAGACAGGACAGGGTGTGACACAACCAACTGAAATTACCACAGGATGACTCCCGTTGAAGGAACACTTGGCAGTTTAGGCTTGTTTTAGCACCCCCTAGTGTCCGTTAGTGAAACCAAACGTAAAACTTATCTCCTCGCTGTGCGTTCGTATTTTTATTTTAACACCTTAATCTAACAGCTGAAATGTATTTTGATTAGTGTCTACAGGAGTGATTCATCACTAAATAAAACAAATCAGCTGTGTTCATGATCTAAAACATGTAAGAAGCTGGAAGCAGACTGCAGCGCCAGGTATGTCAGCTCCTTTTTCTAAGTCCAGCGGGGAGTGGCCCAACACTCTAAAGTTGCAAGTGCGGTATTTTGGCCACAGAGGGCAATGGGAGTCTGAGTGGCATTTCATTAAACCTGTAAAGGATCATTTTAGCACATACTGGGTCAAGAAAATGATTTAAAAATATGACAAATTGGCAAAGTATGGCTTTAAACTTCAGAAACATCTGAAGGAGGATCTGTGGAAACAGGATGCAACAAGACAACATTTAGAGCTTGATGGCAAAGGCTGTGAATATTAATGTACACGATATTTCTCAGTGATCTTTATTTTAATAAATAAAAATATATTCAAATCATCATTATGGGTGTTGTGTGTGGAATTTAGACTATTTTGGTATAAGGCTGTAATATAACAAAATGAGAGAAAAGTGATGTTCTCTGAATATTTTCTGAATGTACTGTATTTTGGAGAAATTATCATGCTTTTAAAAGGGATATTCCACCCCTAAGTGAAGTTTGGTCTACTTCCATTTTCCCCACAGTTAGAAAAGTGAGAAAAAGCATTTAGTAACCAGCACAGAAATTCTCCTGATCTGGCAGCAGTACGTCTGCTTTTTAGCTTAGCATCAACAGTGAATGACAGATACTAGCATTTTGTGTGCAAAAGTGATTAAAAATAGTCAATGCAAATTGTTCTTGGTGAGCTCAATAATCGTGTCGACGGAAAATATAAAGTTAAAGGTAACACGAAGGATTTGCAGGAGCCGATTTAGACTTGGAACTACATTACGACAAAGCACCACTGTAACCTGCTGCTGCATGGCGTATGGATATAACACAGCGGTCCAAAAAACCTCCGGCTTCTGTAAACAAACATCTGTGGGAATAACGTGAAATACGCTGCAGCTGTATGTCTTTGGCTCGTTTTCACATCCCTTTGCTACATAAGTAAGGCTTTTTCTTGTATTACACCTGTATAATAAACTACGAAAAAAAAATACTGTGCAAATCACACGTAATTTTTGACCGCTGTGTTATATCCATGCGCCATTCAGCAGTGGTTACAGTGGTGCTTTGTCGAAAAGTAGTCCCAAGTCTAAATTGGCTCCTGCAAGTCCTTTGTGTTATTTCCTAGTTTTTATTTGCAGTCAACATGATTATTGAGGTCACCAAGAATAATTGGTATCATTATTGAGTAATTTTAATCACATTTGCACACAAAATGCTAACTTTTGCTATTCACTTCCATTGTTTATGCTAAGCTAAAGCAAATGGACTGCTTCCAGATCAAGAGAATTACTGCGTTGGTTACTAACTGTAATTTTGTTCTTACTTATTCATCTGTGGGGAATATGGAAATAGACCAAATTTCACTTAGGGGTGGAACATCCCTTTAAATATATTGAAACCCCATCAACAAATTTGCCAACTTTTGATTATGACCAGATTGATAGTTTTGAAATCTTGGCATTGCTGTTTTTTTCTACAGCGCCGTGTTTTCAAAATAAATAATTTCACAGGATCATTTTACCGTTGCACAAACTCCAAAGTCTTTGCTGCCTCATCTTGATATTGCAGGTTGAAGATGTAAAATGTGGCAAACACCGCTGCAAGCCCTGTTGAAAATGTTGGCAGGACCCCCTCAAAGATGACATGGCCTTCAGCACTGACCATCCATCCACTCAGTTTTTGCTCATTGCCACCTGTGGTGGACAAAGATGAACGTTTTTGTTACATTTTCTCTCAAATTTTTATCCACACAATATTTTAAAACATCAGAACTTCATTTAAGGTCAGCAAGACAATTCTATTCTGGTAAAGGCTTTTTAACAATGTCAGGCAAGTACCTTTGGATCTCCTTTTTTACAAGTGTTTATATTCTTTTTACATATTTACATATTAAGCAACTTTAAGCGAAACATGTGAATAGTGCTAATCAGTTCTGAACTCACTCAAAATCAGACGAGGGCTGGCTGGCAAACTTAGGCTGGTTTCGACATCCGCTGCCGTTGCAAACTCCTGTAAAACATGGACAAGTGTACATTAGCAAGACAGTATGCATATACATACAAAAATGGACGAAGCTCATACTATTTATGTGCAATAAGCCTACATCAGTAGTCAGAATCAGCCCATCAGGGGACTCCTTGAAGTGAGCCATCAAAAGCTGGACAACAAGGAATGTGAGATCATCAGTTTCTTCTTGTGCCAGGATTGTCTGGACATTAGCAGTCTTGACTTTAGTGCGGAAGTACTCCACAATGGCATTAACAAACTCCTCAATTGACAGTTCCAAGGCACGGAGGATGGCAACATCAGTCAGCAACTCAAAGTGAGAAAAAATTCCACGTTGTGTAAACAGGTAAGGCCAGCTGGTTTGCAGATCAGTTAAGGAGGGAGCAGGGATCCTGTTTATATGTTTGCACTGAAGGCTAAATGTGGTGTTCATCAAATCAGTCACTTCGGGTCTATCCTGTCTGTTAATGCCATACTTGCTGTGAGTGCTCTGTAATCTTTGACGTTTCTCTTCCACTGTGTCATCAGTTTCCTCCGGAGGAAGTTCTGGCTGGAATCTTGTACATCCATACATATCAGTTGGTCCCCGCTTGCAAGTGATTCGGACACAATCACACTGCCATCTTTTTATTATTTTTACAAAATGCAGGACCAGAGTGAATACGGTTTGGTTAGAAAAATGAGACAGTCCAAATGTTACAGTTTTTTTCGATTGCTAAAACACGTTTTTCAAAACTGTACGTTTCTTTCAAAACTGCACACACAAAACCCCAAACATAACACACAAATTCCTAAACCGTGGCTTCCCTTTGCAACATAACCCTGCCATCACGCATCTTAACATGTTCCCAAAATGGAACACGTGTTTTCATTTGATAAACACAGCCACATTTTCACATGACACACACATACTATTCATTGCTAAAACACAAGTAGCCTTTGGGTGAACACTACCAAGCATGGAAAGGACACTGAAGAGCAAAACTGAAAACACAGTTGTCTAAATGGAACACAATGAATTACACACTGAATGTATGACAGTGCCCACTTTTCTCTGAGGCCTAGTCCACACATAGCCGGGTTTTTTTTAAACGAATATCCACCCCTCCAAAAACTTGCATCCACACCACCTCATTTAAAAAAAAACGGACATGCCAGACGTGTAGGCGGCAGTACTTCCCTCGTTCTTAACCTCGTCCTTCGTCTGTGGTCTTCCGCAAGGAGCAGTAATTCCGCTTTCAAAAACAAACAAGCAGAAAGCGCTTGGACAATTGATAAAGCGAGCGCAGCTCTGAGGGCATCCATGCTGTCGGCTAGTGTAAACACAGGTCGCACACGTGATGTCAGCATTTTTCTGTCACGGAAAGTGACGTTGCGGACCTTAAAACTCCGGTTTTGTCTGTCCACACGCAGACACCCAAAACGGAGAAAATGCAGATCTTCACTTTGGCCGGAGTTTTTAAAAAGATCCATTTTCGTGTGGATGACAGGCCAAAACATGGAAAAATATCTATGTTTTGGCAGATCCCCGGCTACGTGTGGACAGGGCCTAAGACAAACATTAGACATCACACAAATTTTGAAACAAAACATTTTATTTTTACAGTTAACCCCCCACCCCCTCTCCCATTCAAGCATAATCATGGGCATCATGCCTTCTGACTCTGTCTGGCCAGAGGGCCTCATCAACATCACAGGCGATGTCCTCCTGGTCCAAATAGCGCTGGAAGTACTGCCTCGAGTGCCTCATGAAGCCCTGACAGGCCTCAAAGGCCACACCTCTACAAGCCTCCTCCATGGCTTGAAGCAGTGGGACCTTGCTCTGTGGATTCCTTTCGTACACCTTCCACCTCCAGGCTGATAAAAACTCCCCAGTGGGATTGAGGAAGGGGGAATAAGGTGGAAGGTATAAAATGGAAAACCGTGGGTGGTCCTGAAACCACTCATATACCTGGGTAGCCTTGTGGAAACTTACTTTTATGCTGCAGTCCCTGATTGCAAATTGCTCGCCAGACCCGACAGTTTAGAGATTTGAATATTTGTGTGTTGTTGATCGAAGCTTTAAGAATTTATGTGAGAAGTGTTTGTAAACCTGAAAATTGTGTGTTGTGTTTTGACAGCAAGGTAATGTGAAATTGACATCAGAGTTTAAAGGAGGAAAATCAGAGTTCAAATATGATAAGGAAATCTTAAGTAGTGATAAACTGAGTCAAGCGATTGGGAACAGAAGTAGAGGTTGTGAAAACTGTGCCTCATTTTTGCTTTTTGAGTTTTAGCAATAGAAAAAACTGTAATAGGACCACTAATAGCTTACTGCTATTGTGGACCAGTCCGAAGTCGGCATAAAAAGCATTGGTAGTATCAAGCCCCCACAATGCGGCTCAAAAATTGAGGCCAACCCGGAAGTACCAAAAATTGCAGCTCCACCCACATCCGCTGGGGGCTGGTGTCAGAAGCGAGCAAATCCTCATTGACTCCCATGTTAAAAATACCAATTTCACAGCAGAAATAAACATGTTTACAGCCTGGTACCAAAACATGTTTTTTGTTTAAATGATCTAGTTTACACTCATGACAACTCTGAGGGGGGTGAATTTTTTTCTCACTCTTCTGTTTAAGTGTATTAAAAGCCTAAAATTCTGTATAATTAATGAGCATCAGACCCACGTGACCACAGAGCTAGCTCCGTGGAAAGGACTCAGTAGAGCATCGGCCTGGCCTCGAAACTGCTCCGGGATTTTGAGTCTCTGTGTTTGTGTGTTCGTTTTTGGATATTTTTTGTGCAATTGTTGGACAAAATGACTTGCTGTGGCATTAATTGCATTAATAGAGCGTCCAAGGAGTCTCCACTTCATTTTTTTCGGTAAGTAAAATTATATTTATGTATTTTAGGTCACTGCCGAGCTGAGCTTAGATTTTAAAAAGTACTGTTTAACCATGAAATTTAAATGTAATAGGGTAAACCCAGTGTATTTAACATAATGCTGCACTTTAGAAAATGGGTTGAAATATAACATGTTGGTGGAGCTGGGATCCGACTATCGGCTTGTGGAGCTCTTGGGAGACCGATGTTTTCCACCCGTCCTCCCCTCCCCGCAGCTCCGCGCATCTCTGATCGCGGCTTCTGTCTGCTGCGCGGTAGAGCCCTGCACGGGCCTAAAATCTGAGCCCGTGTTCGGCCCGGCCCGAGGGGGTGGAGCCCCAGCCTGACCCGGCCCGAAAAGGTTTTCAGGAGTCTCTGGCCTGACCCGAGCCCAACTTTTTTTAACCAACTAAATGAAAATAAAGTGTGTCAATCCTGACAAATGTGTTAAAAGACGTGCAGGCTTTGGTTTTCTTCGACGCCGGTCAGGAGCCGGCTGGCTTCAACCGGCTGGATGACCAGCTGCTGACGCGGCTCACCGACCGCGCACATCAGTGTGCCTTTCAGACCGGCGCTGCAGGGAATAACATCGCCCTTCTTGCCTTCGGCGTCTCCAAGATGATGGAGGAGCTGGAAGCTCCCGAGGAGTCGAAAGCCGTCATAACTAAGACTGCTGATGCTATCCTCAATCTGTGTGCTGCTGTGCTCACCGGTTCTGCTCGCATCGCTGCCTGGCAGACCCTCATCCAGCGAGCGATCTGGCTGAAGGCCCTGCCCTCCATTCCGGAACATCTGCAAAGGGAGATGCTGGATGGCCCATCACCACCAATGTTCTGTTTGGTCCCCATCTTAGGGGCGTCATTGAGAGGGCTCAGAAGACGGCCGAACTATCGGCTACGGTGCGAGACCTGGTCCACCCTCGGTCAGCCTCGCACTCCGGCTGTTCAGCCAGAGGATGGGACGAACGGCGCGGAAGCTTCAGACGTCCAGCTGCACCGCCCGCTCCACGGATCCGGCCTCCCGCTTCGGCTCCGCATCAGCGGGACCAGCGAGATGGCGGACAACGGTTCCGGCGGGGCCAGCAGACGCCGTCTTGGCAGTCCCAGGTGCAGGAGCCTCGCCGAAAGCAGCCACGGAAGTGACTCTTTGGGGGGAATGTGTGTGTACATGATTGTTCTGATGTTGTTGGTTTTGAAATAAAACCCAAAAAACGTCACTCAAAGAGCTCAATCCTACAGTCCTCCGCAGAATCCTCTGCCGAGTTTTCACACATGTTCCCCACACCAAGCACTGCTGCACGCACACATGTTCCTGCAGGTAGTCATAATACACGGCCAGCCGTAAGGGGGCGCTCCATTTGCGCTCTGGCCCCAGCATCCGGCCAGGCCCAACTCGTCCCGCTCTCCCCACGCCGTTGGGTGGGGCGGGATGTCATGTCGCTGTCTCGACCACGCGCGGCGGCACAGTGCGCGGCTCCATCCGCTTGCACTCTGTCGCCCCCGTGCACAGGCCCGGCTCCCACTCGTCCTTCACTCTCGGACTCCACGCTCCGCGGTGTGGACCAGCCTGTTCCAGCTGTTTCGCACTCGCCCTTTCGAGCGCAGCCCTCCATGGGTCGCCCCCAGTTCTCTGGTACGGGCGACGGCGGTAAGGGCGCATGCACAACCCTCAGACGTTGTTCACGTGACCGCGCACACGCGTCCATTGTCGGAACGCGCGCACGAGTGGCGCCGCCTTTGCATCATGAGCAAATGGATTTCGGACACCATTCATTGCGGTCACACACTTCATTTTCAGGCCACTCCACCTCCCTTCAACGGGATCGTGGAGACGACGTTCACATCGCAAGGACAGTCTCAGGCGCTAGAGCTGGAGCTGCGGGAACTTCTGTCCAAAGACGCTATTTCCCGAGTCCCTCGCGGACAAGAACTCTTGGGTTTCTACTCCCGCTACTTCGTAGTACCGAAGAAGTCGGTAGGAATGAGGCCGATTCTCGACCTGTCCCTGTTCAACTGCTCCATAGCAGTAATGCATGTGATGAACAGAAGACGGGAGCTGCCGAGCTCCGAGGGTGTGGTGATTGGACACCAGCTGGTCCTCGTTATGGATAACGAGGCCAGGGAGGATAAAAGGGTGACAGACCTACTGAGAGGTGTGCGTGGTCGACCTGTCATTGTGGCATCGGACTTTGGGGGGTGGGGTCGTTCGCAGCTGGTTAGGGCTGCCGGCGACGAAGATAGCTAAACAGGTGGTTAGAGTTCCAGCGTCAGGAGGGAAGGCTGGTCGCCTTCTTTAGACAGCTAGGGCTGGGCTTAGGTGGTGCCAAGACCACGCCGACATCTGCCGCTACGGACTCTGGCAGTGGATTTACTTGTGGATTTACCCGCCGTCCTCGCAAGCTACATCCCGGGGCGTTGGACGGTGCTGGAAGCTCAGACCCCGGGGAGGGGGGTCACACCATCCGTGACAGCTAAGTACCGCTGCTTGTGTGTCTTATGCCGGACTGTGATTTTAGGAGTGGAGACTTTGGCCACAGTATTTTAGTATAGGTTTTATGATTGGGGTTGATTTGTGTGTTTTAATAGATTGTATAATAAAGTATATCCTTTTATAAATCAGTGCCTATTGGTGGTGTGTTCAGGTTCTGACTGGAGGGCAAGATATTCTGCCCGTGCTGCCCACGGCTACTTTTATTACACTGGTGTCAGAAGTGGGATTTAGCAATCCAAAATGTCAGAACCTGGAAATAACACACCTCCTCCGTCAGGACTAGCTGAAAATCAGCCCGTAAGCACAGCAGCTCGGCCGATTTTTATGCCGGAGAGCTTTTCCGGTGTTGGCCGGGAATGGACAGACTGGGTTGAACAATTTGAAATGGCAGCCGATATAAATAACTGGGATGAGCCCCTTAAGTTGAAGTTTTTGTGTCTCCTGTTGTCTGACAAAGCTCGAGAGTTTTATAATGACTTGTCAGGGAGTGTTAAAGCAAATTATGCCATGTTGAAGGAGCAAATGGGCAAGTGTTTGGATCCGTGCGACAGCGCCGACTGGAATAGAGCTGTTTTCTCCGCTCGACGTAGATGGCATAATGAAAGTGTCCGAGAATTTGGGATGGCATTACGACGATCTGCTGTTAAAGCTTACCCGACAGCGGATCCCAACACACAAGATTTGTTGGCTAAAGATCAGTTCATAGCTCATGTGGGGAACGGGGACATGAGAGTGTGTTTACGGAGTGCCAAACCCGTGTCACTTGAGGAGGCCATCAACCTAGCGGCGGAGCTTGAGCTCATTAAGGGTTTGGAGACCAGCTCAGTATCTGACACAAGAGTGAGAGGGATAACCGAGAAAGATGTTGATGATGGACGCATTGCTTCGCTAGTGGGGGTGGTTGAGAGCTTGAGGCAGGAGGTGAAATCCCTCCAGAATGTGGTGCACACACTTTCTGTACCTGTTGCATCGGGTCCCCACCATGACACTCAGAATACGAACTTGCAGCCTAGGCAAGAATATTCCCGGAAAAAGGGAAATGGGAGGTTGGGAGGCTGCTGGGAGTGTGGCTGTAACCGGCATTTACGTCGGGACTGCCCTTACGTGCAGGGAAACTAGAGGGGGCGTGTACAGTGGGTCAAATGCCCGCCCCCCTCTCTGTTGTTGAGACCCCTGTAAGAAGAGGAAATGCTGGGTACTTGAAAGCCAGGATAGGTGGGTGTGACTGCCAGGTTCTGGTAGATACAGGAGCCTCCCGTTCTGTGATTTCGCGAAAGCTGTGGTTGTCCTTCACTCGAGGGGTGGGTGAACTAACTCCATATGAGGGTAATGTTACAGCTGCGAATGGGGGAGGAATGTGCATTATGGGATGTTGGCAAACAACGTGTCAGCTGGGCCCCCTGGCTTTCGTGGCGGAATTCTTGGTATCAGACATCCCCTCAGATGAGGTGTTATTAGGATTTGATTTTCTGTCCAAACATGGCATGGTGGTCGATCTGGGCACCAAAACGTGTAAGATCATGGGCAGAGTGTTCCCACTGCTCGACTTGGAACCTTCTTTAAACCCACAGGTCGTAGTGGTGCAAACGGATACCGTAGTTCCGCCGCGGAGTGAAGCTATAATACCAGGACAAATTAAGGATAGCTGGGGTGATTATGCCCAGGGGTTGCTAGAGCCGTCTGAACACCTTTCTAAGCGCTGTGACTTGCTTGTGGCTAGAGTTATTTGCAAGGTTGACCAGGGCCAACTCCCAGTGCGGGTGATAAATGTGAGCGATGACCCACTAATGTTAAAAGGCGGCATGAGAGTGGGCACGCTTTTCACTGATGTTGAGGTGGAAGACGAGCGGACAGATCGGGTGAATAAGGAGCAAGGCTCTCAGCCTTGGACCGTAGAATCTTTGATGACCCAGTTTAAAGTTGGTGAGAAAGGATTCGCCCCTGCGGAAGTTGCAGCAGTTAGACAGCTGCTCCTACAAAATCTGTCTCTATTTAGTCAAGGGGAAACAGACTTAGGAAGAACACAGATCATCTCGCATGAAATTGACACTGGGGAGGCTGCACCCATAAAAATGCACCCCCGAAGGATTCCACTTCATTTACAACAGGAAGTGACAGATAATTTGAGAGACATGTTGGCAAATGACATTATTCGCCCCTCATGTAGTCCGTGGGCTGCCCCAGTGGTTCTGGTTAAAAAGAAAGGGGGTGGATATAGGTTTTGTGTGGACTATAGGAAACTGAATGAGGTCACTAGAAAAGACGCTTATCCTCTGCCCCGAATCGATGATGCTTTGGACAGCTTGGTGCATGCCAAATGGTTTTCAACCTTAGACTTGGCTAGTGGTTATTGGCAGGTAGAAGTAGACCCTAGGGACCGGCACAATACTGCTTTTATCACTCGCCAGGGATTGTTTGAATTTAATGTGCTCAGTTTTGGGCTGTGTAACGCCCCTGGTACATTTCAGCGCCTTATGGACCTGATTCTGGCTGATTTGCAGTGGACTGTTTGTCTAGTTTACCTGGATGACATTATCGTGTTCGGGCGTGATTTCCAGGAGCACCTAGCACGTCTGGGCACGGTTTTGGAGAAGTTGAGGCAGTCTAATCTAAAAGTAAAGCCTTCTAAGTGTGACCTTTTTTCTACACAGGTCCATTATCTAGGTCACGTGATTTCTGCTGAAGGTGTTAAACCAGATCCAGCTAAAATAGAGGCAGTAAGAGAGTGGCCCATCCCAGCTAATCAGACGGAGGTCCAGAGCTTTTTGGGCCTGGCGTCTTATTATAGACGGTTCGTGAAAGGCTTTGCGGACATTGCTCGCCCATTGCACCGGTTACAAGAAAGAGGAAAACGCTTTCAGTGGAGTGAAGAGTGTCAGGAGTCCTTTGAGAAACTTAAAACCTGTTTAATAACTGCTCCTGTATTGACCTACCCCGACCCCAAGAAATCATTTATTTTAGATACAGACGCTAGCGAGGTGGGGATTGGGGCTGTATTATCACAGGTTGAAGGGGAAACAGAGCAGGTTATAGCTTATGCTAGTAGGGCTCTTACAAGGCAGGAACGCAAATATGCCACGACAAAGAAGGAGCTCTTGAGTCTGGTTACATTTACTAAGCACTTCAAACATTATTTGTTGGGTAAAGAATTTGTGCTAAGGACAGACCACAACTCTCTACGATGGCTGCATAACTTCCAGGGTTTGGAGGGACAACTGGCTAGATGGGTAGAGCAGCTGGCCAATTTCCAATACAAAATCATTCATCGGCCAGGTAGACTGCATAGTAACGCGGATGCCCTTTCCAGACTGCCAAATTGGAAACCAGAAAACTTATCAGCTGACCAGGGAGCGCAGCCCTTGGGAGCTGAGTCGAGGGTGTGCTCGCTTCAAGAGGGAGGCTCAGGAGCTAGCCGGACTTCAGAGATGGTCGAACTCAGCCAGGCGCAGCTAGATGATCCAGTGCTGAAGCGAATCGGGGATGCCAAACAGGGTGTAGAGAGTATAGGCCCCGATGACCCAGAACTAAAACCATTTGCACCTGTGTGGGATCAACTCGAAATTCGGGGTTCCCAGTTGGTGCGGGTAGCACCAGCGAATTCTGATGCTGCGCAGGTGATCCAGGTTGTTTTGCCTCGGGCTTTGGTGCCAGGGGTCCTGAAGCAGTTGCATAATGCCCCCACAGGAGGCCATCTGGGGGTTCAAAAACTGCAGGGCAAGATAAAAGACCGTTTTTATTGGCCCGATTGGTTTAAGGACGTAAGGGCTTGGGTTCGTGAGTGTGCGGACTGTGGCTCTGTTAAAATGCATGGAGGAACGCCACGTGCACCCTTGGAGCAGTCACTGACCTCTAGGCCCTTCGAGCGCATTGCCGTGGATATTTTGGGTCCACTTCCTGAAACTGGACTGAGAAATAAATACATCATGGTAGTAGGTGACTATTTCTCTAAATGGACAGAAGCCTTCCCACTCCCTAATCAAGAGGCTAAAACAATTGCGAGGGTGCTGACCGAGGAATGGGTGTGTCGGTTTGGGGTACCGCGGAGCCTCCATTCCGACCAGGGGAGGAATTTCGAGTCAAAACTGTTCCGAGAGCTATGTGAACTTTTGCAGATCCACAAAACGAGGACAACCCCCTATCACCCCCAGTCAGACGGATTAGTGGAGAGGTTTAATCGAACGTTGCTGACTATGTTGACCTTCTTTGTGGAAGACAACCAGCTTAACTGGGACACCTTGCTGCCATATGTAATGTTGGCTTATAGAAGTAGTGTTCCTGCTAGCACATCTGTCACCCCTTATAAGGTTCTGTTTGGGCGGGAGATCGTACTGCCTGTTGACGTTATGCTGGGCCTGGATCAGGGAGAACTCTTTGCCTCGGTAGATGAGTATGTGACAGGTTTGCAGGAAACCTTAACTTCGGTGGTAGAGGCAGTGAAACGTCATCAGAGCAGAGCCGCGGTGCAACAAAAGAGGGCCTATGATTTTAGGGCCACCTACCAGTTCTACTCGGAAGGTGAATTGGTGTGGGTCCGAAATAAGCTGAGGAGGCGAGGGGTGTGTCCCAAGCTGCAGAGACGATATAAAGGACCGTTTAGGGTCCTGGAGCGACTAACAGATGTGCTATACAGGCTTATACCCGTTGAGGGGGGTCCTGAGAAGGTGATTCATTTCAACCGACTTAAGCCGTGCACTTCTCTTTCAGCAGTCGAAGCACCGCTGGCTGTGGGGTCCCGAGAGCGAGCGAGGCAGAGTCTGCGTCAGCAGGATGCCACCTGGGAGGACACCAGCAGGATTCATCATTGGTCTGCAGAGACGAGCAGGTCTGGCGGCGCAAGTGACCCGGCCCCATCACGTGGAGAGGCTGCTCGAGGAGGTGCTGTTGCAGGAGGACCGGAAGGACGTCCCCCTGGGGAGATCGATAGACGTGGAGCTGCGGAACAGCGGGTGGTTCATCAGCCAGATGCCACCTGGGAGGACATCGGCAGGAGCGCTCAACGGTCTTCGGAGACGAAGGGCTCCGGTGATTCAAACAACCCCGCCCCATTGCATGGAGAGGCTGCTCGAGGGGGTGTGGTTGGAGGAGGATCGGGAGGACGTATCCCTGGGACGGTCGAGGAACCTAGAGCTGTGGAGCAACGCGTGGTTCGCCAGAGGAAGCCCCCTGCTTGGTATAAGGATTATCAGGTGGAAATCTAGGACTCGAGGGCGAGTCCTTCAGGACAAAGAGGGGGAGAGTGTGATGAACAGTAGACGGGAGCTGCCGAGCTCCGAGGGTGTGGTGATTGGACACCAGCTGGTCCTCGTTATGGATAACGAGGCCAGGGAGGATAAAAGGGTGACAGACCTACTGAGAGGTGTGCGTGGTCGACCTGTCATTGTGGCATCGGACTTTGGGGGGTGGGGTCGTTCGCAGCTGGTTAGGGCTGCCGGCGACGAAGATAGCTAAACAGGTGGTTAGAGTTCCAGCGTCAGGAGGGAAGGCTGGTCGCCTTCTTTAGACAGCTAGGGCTGGGCTTAGGTGGTGCCAAGACCACGCCGACATCTGCCGCTACGGACTCTGGCAGTGGATTTACTTGTGGATTTACCCGCCGTCCTCGCAAGCTACATCCCGGGGCGTTGGACGGTGCTGGAAGCTCAGACCCCGGGGAGGGGGGTCACACCATCCGTGACAGCTAAGTACCGCTGCTTGTGTGTCTTATGCCGGACTGTGATTTTAGGAGTGGAGACTTTGGCCACAGTATTTTAGTATAGGTTTTATGATTGGGGTTGATTTGTGTGTTTTAATAGATTGTATAATAAAGTATATCCTTTTATAAATCAGTGCCTATTGGTGGTGTGTTCAGGTTCTGACTGGAGGGCAAGATATTCTGCCCGTGCTGCCCACGGCTACTTTTATTACATGCATTTCCGCATGTTAACGATGAGACAAGTCCTGGAATATGTGCGCCCCGGGGATTGGTTCACGTCAATCGACCTGAAAGACGCATACTTCCACATACCAGTAGTTCCAAACCACCGGAAGTTTCTGCGTTTTTCGTTCAAGGGAGTTCAATATCAGTTCAATCGCCTCCCTTTCGGCTACTCGCTAGCCCCGCGCACTTTCTCCAAATGTCTGGAGACCGCGCTGCAGCCACTGCGCACGGAGGGAATGAGGGTCTTATTTTACTTGGACGATCTTCTCCTGTGCGCTCGGTCCAAGGACGAGGCGTCACGGCAAACCAGGAGGTTGACAGAGCATCTGTCGACCCTGGGGTTTTCTATAAACTGGGAAAAGAGCTCCATCCTTCCATCCCAGTCGATTGTGTATCTCGGGGTGGAGTTGGACGCCTCCCTAATGAGAGCACGTTTGTCGCCTGCAAGAGCGGCAGATCTCTCCTCGGTGATCTCCCGTGTTCAACCCCGCAAGATCGTGAGAGCCCTGTTAGTCATGAAACTCCTGGGCATGATGTCCGCAGCCCATTCAGTAGTGCCGCTAGGTTTGCTGCGCACGAGGCGCTTGCAACGCTGGTTCGTCCGCCTCCGGGTACACCCAATACGTCAGAAGAGACGCATGTTGAGGATTCCCCCTTCAGTGGGCGGGGACCTCGCTCACTGGGGGAACCCCTGCATCCTCTCACGCGGGGTTCCCATCGGACGTCCTGCGTCACACGTATCTGTGTTTACGGATGCGTCACTGTCGGGGTGGGGGGGCACGTGCTTGTCCCACACGGTGGCAGATCGTTGGCCCTCCCACACGCACGAGCACATAAATGTGTTGGAGCTTATGACAGTGAGGAATGTGATCAGACACTTCGCTGCCCTTCTCGAGGGCCGTCATGTCGAAGTTCACACAGACAACCGGGTAGCGGCAGCCTACATAAATCGCCAAGGGGGAGTTCGATCCCTCCCACTGTTGCGTGTCGCCACAGATTTACTGTGTTGGACACATGTCCACCTGCTGTCCATCAGAGCCATCTACATTCCGGGGGTACTGAATGTAGCGGCAGACATCCTGTCGAGAGGGGGACCCCGCGACTCCGACTGGCGTCTACATCCTGCACTGATATCACAGATCTGGATCAGGTTCGGGGAACCGTCTGTGGATCTGTTCGCGGCTCGCGAAAACGCTCAGTGTCGCCTGTGGTTTTCCCTGAGTCCCCGGGACGGACCCCCGCTTGGGGCGGACGCCTTCTCACACCAGCCCTGGCCTCGAACGCTCCTTTACGCGTTTCCACCAGTCCCTCTGATTCCCCGTCTCCTGGACCGAATTCGATCGGAACAGCTCTCGGTGATTCTGGTGGCTCCCAGGCGCGTGTCCGCGTCATGGTTTCCGGACCTGCAAGCGCTAGTGTCCGGCTCCCCGTGGAGGCTCCCGTGGAGGGCGGACGCCCTTCTCCAGGCGGATGGGATAATCAAACATCCTCCGGAAATAGGCCAACGGTTGTGGGTCTGGCCGCTGAGCGGTCACGCTTAGAGGCTTCTGGGCTGCCGCATGATGTGGTGGCCACGATTCAGAGTGCGCGGGCGCCCTCTACCATTGCCTCTTACGCTGCTAAATGGGCAGCTTTCCAGAACTGGTGCGCAGAACGGAATGTTCAAGCGCTCTCCTGCCAGCTGGCGGATGTTCTATCGTTTCTGCAGATACTGATGGACAGGGGCCTCGCATTCAGCACTGTTAAGACATATGCTGCAGCTATCTCATCATGTCATCAGGGTTTTGGAGATAGATCTGTTTTCAATCATCCCCTCACAAAACGTTTTCTAAAAGGTGTCAGAAGGAACAGACCTGTGTCCCGCCCGCTTTTTCCCCAATGGGATCTAACGGTGGTTCTGCACGGCTTATCTGAAGCTCCATTTGAACCCTTGGACCAGGTCTCACTCAAGTTCCTGTCGCTTAAAACTGCATTGCTGCTAGCGCTAGCATCAGTTAAGAGAGTGAGTGACCTAACCGCCCTCTCAGTGGCTCCCGCATGCCTCAGGATCCGGGAGGATGGCGGGTCTGCTGTTTTATGCCCCAACCCAGCCTTTGTGCCCAAAAGCATTAATGCTTCCTTCAAATCCAGGTCAATTTCATTGGCTGGACTTTTTCCTCCTCCCCATAATTCTGAGGAGGAGGCGGCTTCTCACCTTCTCTGCCCGGTGCGCGCGCTTGCACGATATGTGTCACGCACTTCAGGGATTCGTCGCTCACAAAACCTGTTTGTGCACTACAGGGAGTCTTCCCTTGGTCAGGCGCTGTCGGCCCAGCGCCTTTCACGCTGGCTGTGTGACGCCATTTCCCTCGCTTACACATCATCAGGGCGGGATCCCCCTGAGGCACTCAGGGCTCACTCGGCCAGAGGGATTTCCTCTTCGATGGCGCTCCTCAGTGGTGTGTCAATGGAAGACATTTGTCAGGCTGCTTCATGGGCTTCACCCTGTTCCTTTACTCGTTATTATTTACGAGATGTGTCTTCAGGTTCCATCACTCGTTCAGTGCTTGGACCCCAGCAGGCTAAATGAGTGCTTATGGCACCTCATTGGCCTTGCTGAGATGGATTTTATCCTCTTGTGGATGATGTTTTTTAGTGGGGGCCCCTCTCTTATCGTGCCTGCCTCAGTCTTTAGGCCTGGTCTGAGGCTGAACGTCCCCCACTAGAGGAGATTGATTGGGTGTGTCCATTGGTTGTGTTAACCAGTGGGGCGTAAACCCATCCAGCTGCGCTTTATTCCAATAGCAGCTAGCTTAAGGGCTAAGACTAGACGAAATAGAACGTTGGTTACGTATTGTAACCCCAGATTCTATGAGTCTAGTCGCAGCCCTTAAGCCACTGGCCCCACTGGTTATGATGGGAAAAAGAGCCATTGGAGGTGAGCAGTGGGGTCACTGCGGTTATATACCATGAGGGGGCCCACTATTGGTGGGCGTACATTTAAGCTCTTCATGATTGGCTGATGCGGAGATCATCCTTCCAATAGCAGCTAGCTTAAGGGCTGCGACTAGACTCATAGAATCTGGGGTTACAATACGTAACCAACGTTCCCAGCGCCCTATTTATAGGCTGGCAGGATGACGTCACAAAGCGACGTAATAAAGCGTAAACAGGCAGCGTCACGTGCAGCGCCACGTGCGTTTTCAGCGTTTGTGAGATCATCATAAAGGTGTGTGTGTGTGTGTGCGTGCACGCCATAGACTGTGCACGCACACTCTTTGACTCATAAATATAATGTGAAAAAATAAGTCACGCAACATTTTCCACAAATGCACACGCTAATTCTGAAGTTCACACTCTGTGGTTCACAAATATAATTTGTAAGAACACTTGTAATATAAACTCACAGATCATACGAATTGCTGAACGTGCATTTACGAACAGCTTCTCATTTGTGAACCTTCCTGCGTTTGTGAGTGAAATCAGTGTGGTGCATTCACGAACAGCTTCTCATTTGTGAACCTTCCTTCATTCGTGAGAGAAATCAGTGTGCTGAATTTTGAGACACTCCTAACGTCGCAGATCAACAAACGTCACCATTGGCTAATGAATCTGTCAATCAAATATAGGATTCTGCCAGGGCTGTTCGCTTTCAGCCAATCATATGGCTCCTTATGTTACGGAACAGATCTGCTGTGCGCATGCGTCTTGCAGTTCACACGGCATAGCGGGATGGACCGGTCACAATCTGTGAGTAACAGTTTTATCTTATTCCCTCGTTGTAATTGATGCAATGTTATGAATTATGAGTAGAAGCGTTCTTCATTGTCAAGTAAAATGTTTTATGTTCAATTCAGTCCAGACGTTAGTGAAGTCTGGTCCATTCTTCATCTAGTTTAACATCAAGCTAAACTCAAGCAAACATTTGTTTAGTTAGCGTGTCTAGGTACCATTTTTTTAGGCCACGGTTGTCAAACTCAAGCCCTTGGTCTATTTTTATTTGCCCCGCGAAATCAAATATCAAATATATAATATTTTGCTGATAAGATTACTAATCCCACAGTGCTTTGCGGTGTTAGCGCGCGGGACGCAAGCCCTCTTTTATGTTTACGATCATTAGCATCCATGCTAGTAGAATCAGCGTGTGCAGCGTTACCCTCAGTCTTAAACAACTGAAGATACTCCTCTAAGCGCCCAGTTTACTCAGCGAGTTTCCGACTTTGAACGCCTAGAAAGAAGGTATCTGGCTGGAACAGGTGACCATCAGAGTGGAGAGAACTGAGCTTGAAACATTTAATTGTCATGAACTTTTTCTGCTCCAAAGCATGAAAGTTAATAACTGAGATATTTTCATAGAAGATAATTGCTATTTTTGGTTTTTGTTGTTGGCCTGTAAAAAAAAGATTCAACTTACTCTAAAATGGGAACTGGACAGACTACAAATTGAAGAATAGAATAGAAAATCCCTTTATTGTCCCTCAGTGGGGAAACTGTGATGTCACAGCAGCAATAACGTTCATTGTAGAAGCCAAACAGGAGAGTAAAACATAACAATAAAGAGTAAACTAAAAGAAAACATAAAACAGACAAACTTAAAATATCCAAAAGGTAAAACAATCTAAATACTGAATATGTACACATTGTAAGGAGTAAAACGAGTAAATAAAAATTGAGACATAAGTAACGAGTAATGTGTTTTATTTAAAATGTACTTGCTCGTGTGTAATTTGGTCATATCAGATTCTGTGTTCAGATGCAAAAATAAGTTTCTTTCCAAATGAATAACAAGACATCTGTAAATAAACTTTTCAACAAATATTGAGTTTGGCCCGCAATTTTGTCCCAGTTTTTAATTTTGTCCCATTGTGAATTTGAGTTTGACACCCTTGCTTTAGGCTGTGCGTGCAGTAATAAGGAGACAGACACTGGCTGAGCCGGTGCATAAATGTTAGATTTTCTGGTGGTGTGCGATAGTTAAAGAAATATTACTTTTAAAAAAATAAAATACATCTTTAAATTTTGGCCAATGAGCTCTGGCACATAATAAACAGAAATACTGCTTCATCATTTCATGTACCTTTGAATCTACAGTTGGTCTTATTTAAAAATGTTTTTTTATTAAAACTATCATAGCTGGAGTGTTAAAAAAATAAAAGTGCCATAAGATATTTGGAAGTTGTTATTTTATTTCTATTACCCAACAGTTATCCAATTCATGTTTGTTCTGTTTTTGTTTTTTTTTTTCCTCTAGGAATCATTGAGGCGTGACATCCTTCAGAGGTTTTACGATCGATTGTCAAGCATCTTGGAGAAGCAACCTGTTGATGGGGAAAGGCTATAGAGCTCCGAGAGTTGACGTCACTTCTCCCGGCATGCAACAGTTCAAATCGAAACGGCGCCATTTGGCAGGCAGAAGCCGGCAGCTGGGCTATTTGTTATTGTCAGAAAACTCAATCAAACAGGAAATATGGTAGATTCCTGTTGTGCCCCAGGATGCAGAACAGACACGGACAACATAAGGAATGAGCCATCTACAGGATTCCTTAAGATCCGGAGCGCCGCAAACGCTGGATCATTATAATAAAACGCACTAGTGACCAGGCTAAAATGAAGCTGTGGGATCCTGAGAGTAAAGGATTTCGCTTATGCAGCGACCGCTTCATATCAGGTACTTAAACCAACGTTTCCTCAACTGTGTATGGTATTTATTTTAAATGCTTTTATTATGATTCTTAGTGGGCTTCCTAAACTTATTTTGGCGTGGCTTTTTCTGTCTTATTACTCATAGCAGCAAGTAAACATCACGTAAAACGTTGCCTCGTGAGTTCTGCGTGCTGCCGTTTCCGTGTTTTATGATCACAATAATTAACCGGCTAAGCTGTATTTAATTTTTAAGCAATGGTTGATCATTTGTCAGATCACACATAAAAAGCACTTTGGATTGCTATTATCTGTCTCACCGAGACTACTTACGTGTAAATCTGTTATTTGTCCGTCCATCCATCCATTTTCATCCGCGTATCCGGAGTCGGGTTGCGGGGGCAGTAGCGTGACTTCCCTCTCCCCAGCCGCCGGAGCCAGCTCCTCCGGGTAAATCCCAAGGGGTTCCCCAGTCAGGTCCGGTGTTGTGCCGGTAAGAAGCCCGCTCCGACAGCTTCTGGCGTCGGAGCGGGCAGTAGAGTCGAGAGTCCCAGACCTTCTCCCCAGCTCCTCCGGCCGGGGGAATCCCAAGGGGTTCCCCCGGCCAGGTCCGGTGTTGTGCCGGTAACAAGTCCGCTCCGACAGCTTCTGGCGTTTTTAAAAAGTATCCCAGGGGCACGGTAAGGGTTGGAGATGTTTAGTCTATTTAATTTCTGACTATAAAACGATTTCTTCTGTTTTAAAGTGTGAAGTAAACTCCGACGAAGTAAAATCCAAGCGGATCCCGTTCATGTTCATGGTTACATCCGTGTTTGTTTACCTTTTTTGCATGCCAAAATGGCGTCCACTAACTGAGAGTCACGTGGGGTCCGGAACTCTATTAGGTGCTCTAGGTGACATTGTTGATGTGGGAGGGAGAGGATATACTTTCTGCTCTTTCCGATCTGAATACTATTATCCAGCAGGAAAGAGATAATCAAAAGACATTAATAACAGTAGACGTTGAAAGAGGTTCTCGTGGCCGTCAACGATTGGCGGTGTCGCGAGAGGCTCTCGAACACCTTGTGGAAATGGGTCTGCCAACAAGTGTCATTACCAAACTCCTTGGTGTATCCAGAGCAACTCTATTTAGACGGATGTCTGAAAATAATATATTTATTTATATATTTGTATCTGCCACATACAGTAAATGCAGTGATGAGGAACTAGATTATTTTATCACAGTAATTAAGAGCAACATGCCAGATGCTGGGTACAGGGTAGTCCGAGGTGCTCTACTTGCCCAGGGACATAGAGTACAGTGGGACCGACTGTATGCATCCATGCATCGTGTGGACAGTGCGGGTGTACTTGCTCGAATGACACATCTGGGATGTGTAGTGAGAAGGACGCACACAGTTCCTTGCCCAAAGTATATGGTGCACATTGACACCAATCACAAGCTCATCAGGTAATGTCTGTGTGTAATTGGAGATGTTATTTTTTGTTTTGGGAGTTACATTTTTAATTGTCTGTGTTTTAACCAAGCCCCCACAATGCCGCTCTAAAAATGGTCCCATCCCAGAAGTAAGAAAAATTGCAGTTCCACCCTCATCCGCTGGGGGCTGGTGCCAGAAGCGAGCAAATCCTCATTGACTCCCATGTTAAAAATACCAATTTCACAGCAGAAATGAACATGTTTACAGCCTGGTACCAGAACATGTTTTTGTCTAAATTATCTAGTTTATACTCATGACAACTCTGAGGGGGGTGAATTTTTTTCTCACTCTTCTGTTTAAGTGTATTGAAAGCCTAAAATTCTGTATAATTAATGAGCATCCGACCCACGTGACCACAGAGCTAACTCTGTGGAAAGGCCTCAGTACAGCCTCGGTCCCTCCTGGAAACTGTTACGGGATTTTGAGTCTCTGTGCTTGTGAATTCTGTTTTGGATATTATTTGTGCAATTGTTAGACAAAATGACTTGCTGTGGTATTAATTGCACTAACAGAGCGTCCAAGGAGTCCACTTCATTTTTTTCGGTAAGTTAAAATCTATATTTGTAGTTTACGTCACTGCCGCCTTTAAACTAGCTGTTTACCGAAGTAGCTAGCTAACTATCAGTTTAACATGTAGCATGTACTGTTTAACCCATAGACTGTACATACAGTTTATTTAACCATGAAATTTAAATGTAAAATACGGTAAAATAATTAAGAGTGCATATTTCGATGGGTAAAAGGGTAAAACCCAGTGCATTTAAGATAAAAATGGGTTGAAATATGACCGCTTGGAGGGACACTTCTGTGTTCCATTGTTCCATCCGGTACTCCGCAGCGGTCAGGCCGGGCAGCCTGACCGATGCGGCGGCTAGCTTCTGCGCGAGCTGACCGCTCGTGTAGCTCTCGGACTCTGAGACAGATCTGACCGTGGGGGAAACCGGAGCACCCGGAGGAAACCCACGCATGCATGGGGAGAACACGCAACTCCACGCAGAAAGGCCGCAGCCGAGTTTCAAACCTGCAACTTTCATGCTGCGAGGCAACAGTGCTAACAACTGTGACACCATGCAGCCATTGATGCCCGAATGTTGTTCCTAACATCAGACACTGGTCCTCCATGTAGGTATCAACCATATAGATCAGGAGAGGGGCAGTTTAAGGAGTTCTGGTCTGCTTCTGGTCCAGCTGCTTCTTTAGGTGTTGCTAAGATCGTCCATTAAGAGGTCTGTTTATAGGTTCATCATCCATTTTTGTCTGACGTTCCCTAATCCCAGCCTCTAATCCCATTCCAGCAGCTGTTTTCCTGGTTGAGACTGCAGGTGTTCTGTGGCAGTGAGTGAATCCTCACACAATTCCTTCACTCGTAGTCATATAGACAGCATGATGGTTTGTGTGACCCGCGCGGTTTCACTTACACCCCTTTAATGATCAGGCTGTTTTTATTATTTTTATCAGCTGATAGCAGTTAAAATTATGGGGGGGGAAAAAAACCTTTTATCTGTTTTTGATAACTTAATGCCCAGGAAGAGCATCTTCTCTAGACATTAAATATAACCCAAATGTTTTATTATGAGCAGATCTGATGAAGGTGTAGACAAGCAGTCTGCAAAGTAAAACTTGTTTAGAGTCCAAACTCTTACTAAAGCTTTTGAAAAGAAAAAATGGTTGAATTTTGAGAAATATCCACAGCAGGGGAGCGAGACCTCTGAAAAATGTATATTTTCTCTGAATTCATAGAATAATGTGAGGATTCTGGGAAAAATTGGGATTCTGAGATTAAAACGTAAATCTGTCTAATCATAATTCTGCCAGTTTTTGTGTCCTTCTGCTGTGGAAAGTCGTGCAACATGAAGATACTGAGAAGATGCTTAAACCTGTATTTTTATTCCATCCATAAATAAAATCATGAGCTATTTTTTAATCCAAATTTGATCCAAAGGGCCATCGTTGGTTCCAGACCCGTTCTAGAAAATTCCTCTAATCTTAAAGTCATCATCAGTTTCTTCCTTTTAACAAATATTTATTTGTTCAAATATTTAATATTTATAACTGGAATATTTGTTCCTCCCTCTCCCACTGCAGTTAGTCCTGTCCTGCAACCCTGTTTTTGCAGCTTAGTGAAGCCAACCATCACTAACCTGGGGGTGGTTTTGGACCCAGAGATGCAGATGGACTCCCACATTAGCCAGGTGGTTAGATCCTGCTTTTCCTGGCTTCGCCAGCTACCAAAGATGAAGTCCATCCTGAAAGACGTGTCATATTTTCTCCCCAAGCCTGACCTGACCGTAGATATACTGCAGCTCGGTGAGTTGGTAGATAGTGCTTGATGTTAGAAGTCTGTATGCCATCAGATAAACTCGCTCTTTTTTTTTTGGGGTGAGGCTTATATTGCAGTACGCTCGAGTCAGTAATTTCCGGTAAGTATTTTAAAGCCATATACTTAATTAGTTCTTTGTATGAATTTTTCCTCTAGGTGATCCAGAGAGGCTTGACCTTTGGGTGAGCAACCAAAGAAGAGAGGGCTGGACTCCCAATTCATTCTCCCGCTTGTGCAGTGAACACTTTGAGAGTCGTCACTTCACCACGGACTCCAGGGTACAAACACATTACTTCATATTTTGTTTGAGATTTAAAAAATTGAAGCATTAGCTGTATAACATACCGACGTTACATTGCTGTGTAACTAGAAGAAAATCTTCCCCACCCTTGAATTGTGTGACTAGGGCTGTTTAGATGGGAAACAATCATGTTATTAATTTCCATCTAATTCTATGGTTAATTACTCAGAGAAACAATTTAATTTTTGGACAGTCTTTAATGTGTAACTTTATGTATTGGGATGAATGACAAATATTCATGTTAAACTAAAACGTTAGGCATTTAGGGGGAAAAAACTAAATAATAAACATTATACAGATGTCAAATAAATCAAACTGTAATTAAACTATATATTTTCAAAGTCTCGATTCTGGATAAAATCCTACAACATATGCTTTATAAATAACAAACACTACACATGCCTTTTACACACACACACACACACACACACACATGCAAGCACATTCACTCACACACACACAGTGCTCTGGTGTACCAGTGTGTTCTTCAGAAGCTGACCTTGTCTGATGTGTGTATATGTGAATCTCTTTTTTTTAATTAAGTAATTATGTTTTTTCATTTTAGGGGAGAGTTTGCCTGAAGGACACAGCCGTACCTACAATCTTCTCGTCCTTTAAGGTCAAAAAACCTGTTCCAAGAAGGGAAGAACAGGTAAGTAGGAATGACAAGGTACGTTTTGAGAAGGTTGCAGATGTAGATGCAGGTGTACACAGTCCCATAAAAGTTGGTGTTGATCTGAGCAATATATTGATGTGTGGAGTCACCTCGAGGTCTTTGTTACTCAAAATGTAACACAGTATAACACTTCCTCTGCAAGCAGTTGAGTGTTATACTGCTCATTCTGGTCACAGTGTTCAACACCAGAATGACTCAGACTCTGGTCAGTTTAACGCTGTGCCATTACAGCCAAATAGCATCCTGAGTGACCATTGCTATCAGATCAGAGTCTCCCAAAACACTTAAAAGGAGAGTTCTGTCGGCAAATGAAAAGGTATGCGTAGTTCAGAAAAAGCTTAGATTGCAATCCTGGAAGACAAGGTGTCATGGTCTGTGTCGGCGTCTCATCTCATGTGTCTCCTTATGTCCTCCATTTGTTCTCTAGGTGCTCCTTTTGTTGTCCTCTAGCGCCCTCATGTGTCATGTCTGCGTCTCTATATGGTGTGTTCTGTTTGTAGACCTTTTTATCATCCCCTCGGGTCCAGTGTTCATTTAGTTATCCTCTGTGCCCCAAGTTGCAGCTCCAGCCTCTTTGTCCCCAGCTGTGTGTGTGTGTCCATTCCCCATTCCTGTTTATATTAGTGCATTTGTGTCTGTGTGATGGTGTGTGTGTGTGTTAATTCTTCCCGCAGCCTTTAGGTTTAGTTTGCCCTCCTCTGTTTCTGTTTGCCCATTTTGATTATTAGGTTCACCTGTCTTCCCTCCAGCTCTCACTCCACACACCTGCCACCATTTTCCCTAATCACTTCTCCCTGTGTATATAAGCTCTGTCTTGTCTGTGTCTGGTGTCGGTCATTGTTGTATGTTGTCAACGTTGCTCGTGCTCTGTATGAGCTTTTGCCTCCAGGTCTTCGTGCTCTTTGTTGAACTTTTGTCTCCAGGTTTTTTGTGCTCTAAGAAGAGCTTTGGGTGTTCCTGTTCCCCAGGACGTTTTGGACTTTGGCTCGCTGCCTCGGATTACTTTTGTTCTTTATCCTAAAATAAAAGGATTTTTACTTTGAACCTCCTTCTGCCTCTTGTCATCCTGGGTTCTGCATTTTGGGTCCTTCCATCCTCAGAACGTGACACAAGGAGACTGAAGGCAAGAATTTCTTCTTTGAAAAGTGTCACCAAAATTCTTCAGAAGAAAGTAATCATGTCCATGTGCTTGTAAAGATGGCTTCAGCGTGGTGCTGCAAAATTAGATTAAATCATGTAGCACGGCAGGAGACGGACCGGATAAAAGAAGGCAAAACTGTCCGCAAGAAGCTCACAAAATTAATCCATTTTTATGGAGATTAGAGAAAAACTGTCCTCGTCATATCTTTTAGTCTGTCTGTACATTTTGTTATGTGCTTGTCAGAAGTTGTGACCATGAACATTTTTCTGATATTTGCAGACAGAACATAACATATGAAGAGGCTTCCTTTTATTGGACATCCTTTTAACTGTTACTTAGAGCCTGCATGAACGGGGCCTAAGTATACACTGACGAAGCTCTTTATCCTTGAAGTTTGACCCCAACATACAGGATGCTACACTAAGTTGTAAATGGACTTTTAAACAGTCAGGCACGGTTTCATTTACTGTTACATATATGTTACTATCTATCCCTTAGAGTCTGCATGAACGAGACCTAAGGTGATATTCTAACATTTATGTAAGTGACAGTCGTGTGACTCAGCAGTTTTTCACTGAAATATAAATTAACGAGTGGATGACTGAGACCTTCGATGGTGCAGTTCCCCGTTCTACCACTAGATGCTTTTCCTACACGTGGTCTGAGGTTTTCTGGTGTTTAGGAACATTTCCACAAACAGGTACGACATGATGACCACCACACAGTGTGTAGTTTGTTCCTACACACGTGTGTGAGTACGGTTGGGACCCCTGGGTGTGTGTGAATGTCTGAGTAAAATGAAAGTCTAGGTAACTTCTACACCATAATACATGTTCCGACAGACCGAGACAGTCTATTTGAGAAATGTGTCATTTGCTAAACTTGGGATTTTGATGCCACGGAGAATAATTTACTTTTGTTTTTATACCTATAGTGGAGGAGTTTAAGTATTTCGGGGTCTTGTTCACGAGTGAGGGTTGGAGGGATCGGGAGATCGACAGGCGGATTGGTTCGGCGTCTGCAGTGATGCGGACGCTGAGCCGATCTGTCGTGGTGAAGAGGGAGCTGAGCCAGAAAGCCAGGCTCTCTATTTACCGGTCGATCTACGTCCCAATCCTCACCTATGGTCATGAGCTTTGGGTAATGACCGAAAGAACGAGATCACGGATACAAGCGGCCGAAATGAGTTTCCTCCGTAGGGTGGCCGGGCTCAGCCTTAGAGATAGGGTGAGGAGCTCGGACATTCGGGAGGGACTCGGAGTAGAACCGCTGCTCCTCCGGATCGAAAGGAGCCAGTTGAGGTGGTTTGGGCATCTGGTCAGGATGCCTCCTGGACGCCTCCCTGGGGAGGTGTTTCGGGCATGTCCTGCCGGCAGGAGGCCCCCGGGTCGACCCAGGACACGCTGGAGAGGTTACATCTCCAATCTGGTCCGGGAACGCCTTGGGGTCCTGCCGGAGGAGCTGGTGGAGGTGGCCGGGGAGAGGACGGTCTGGAGCTCCCTAGTTGGGATGCTGCCCCCGCGACCCGGACCCGGATAAGCAGAGGAAGACGACAACGACGACTCAAAATAGTATTTTTTAATAATAGGGAGTTTGTCTTACCAGTCAGTGTAAAGATGGAACGGTTTCATCAAACATTTTATAAAACTCAGGATAGTTTCTGGTTTAGTTTGGGAATCCCGCTCAAATCTAACTTTGGACACTAAACTGTTCAGTAATCAGATTACCACAAGGTCCAATTTGGTGTGTAACCCCAAACATTTCTTTGGCCCCATCCACCCTTATCCAACCTTTCTGGGGGCGCCCCTGAATCTCACCAATACTTACCCAGATGGGTTTTAATAATCTGAACTTTTGTTCGGTTATTTGTAAGAAATCCTGGATTCACATTAAAATGGTTTGAAGCCTAAATAAAGTGGTGTGGTGTTAACGCCACGGGATAAGCTAACCCCGGGTTTCCACGGGAGCCGTCAGCAGCACGTTACTGCAGCAGCACGTCTTGCTCGCGTAAGCTGCTGCTTGGCCCTTCCCACGAGACGCGAAGCAGCAGGGGAGCAGCTGTCACCGACCGAGCACGAAGTCACACGAGTGACTTCGTCAGTAAACACAACAACAAGCAGGAGAAAACTACAACATGGTTTGTGTTTTATGTTCTGTCCGTTTTATAATCGCCAATACGGACCTGAAAAACAAAGGAGACCGCTAGCTAGGTGATAACTTCTCACGGGTACGCACAGTTAGTAACATTTTTTAAAAGTAAAGCGACCGGAAGGCAGTACGTTCTTTATTCTGAAAATCTCGGTAGATTCTCTCCATTTCCGCGTCCGATTTCCTGTCTTTCCTTCCCCAAAAATGTCGAACTTGACCCGTTTCAGAGGCGTCGCACGTAGAAAATAGAACCGGCGCGTAAAGGCCGCGACATGCTGCTCCTGAGACGCGGCCGACTCGCGCTGCTGTCGGCTCCAGTGGAAAAGGTTCTGCTGACCACAGCGGTTCCTATCAGCAGCTATGACGTGCTGCTGCAGTAACGTGCTGCTGACGGCTCCTGTGGAAAGCCGGGGTAGGAGTAAAACATCACAGAGCCATTATGACACTGGGAGCCACAGCACCGCAGCGTGGTGGGTGGGGCCCACCTGACCACAGCCGAGAGCTGCTTTTAACAGCAACCAGTACCGGCCGCTCGTGTACGTCAGAGTTATCTTTCAACAGAAGATAGTTAATAAAACACTGATCCAGAAGTTGTACCTACAGTATTCTGGTACTTTTATCCCTGTTAGTGGTTTTCTGGTGGAGCAGGTGATGCTTTTTTACACGTGACACATGTTTTCTTTTAAAACACGTTTAAACTGTTCAGAACACAAACCCAGGCTGTGTTTCATTGGTTGTTGTAACTAAACTTTGTGCTGGACGAAACTTTACATTAAACAGTGTTGAAAAGGATCCGATCGTCTGGTTTTCCCTCATTTACAGCGACGGAGATGAAGCGCACGTCTCTGGTGTTAGACAAGTTTAATGTTTCTGTTTTCAACAATCCTCACAAGAAAGCAGAACCGTTAAAGGACGGGTTCACATCCGACCGTTTAGTTTGACAGAGAAACCTCAAAGCTGCAGGTGCGCTGACATTTTAATCGTTACGCACATCGCAGAGGCAGCTAAGGTCAGCGCAGTGCGCTGTCAGCGCGTACGTCAGGTGGACAGCGAGCTGAAGGTGTGGAGAGGGGCTTGGAGTGGGTCCGCCACAGGCAGCAGCAGAACAAGAACCATGCAGGAAGGTTCCTCTCACTGATGCGAGTGTTCTCCAAACCCTGTCTCTCAGACAGACGTGTCACTTAGAAAATGTTCCTGATGATGAAACTTTGGCTGAATAGCGCTTGTTCCTGTCTCCAATGTGGCGACTCGATCCATGAGCCTGTCTGAGGAAGAGTCTCACATCCTCTTCAGCTCAGAAAGCTCCTGTAGAGACATCTGATTTCACACAAGCAGGTGACCTGTCACTTCAGGTCTTTATCATTTTTGTTTAAATATGTCTTACATGTCCTTAGAGTAGACCCGCTGCTCCTCCACATCGAGAGGAGCCAGTTGAGGTGGCTCAGGCATCTGGTTAGGATGCCTCCTGGACGCCTCCCTGGTGAGGTTTTCTGGGCACGTCCAACTGGGAAGAGACCGAAAGTAGGCCCAGGACACGGTGGAGGGACTATGTCTCTCACCTGGCCAGGGAACGCCTTGGGATTCCCCCGGAGGAGCTGACCCAAGTGGCTGGGGAGAGGGAAGTCTGGGCCTCTCGCGTTAGGCTACTGCCCCCCAGCGACCCGACTCCGGATAAGCGGAGGAAAATGGAAAAATGGATATGACTATCTTTACGTTTTGAGTTGGCACACAGATTAAAATAAATGCAGTAAAATAAAACACTGTTTAATTAAATATTAATTTGTTATTTTACGAGCAGAGATCAGATGGATGAACGAGCCGACCCCTGCCTCAGAGGAACTCGTAGATCACCACCTCCTTCAGCGAACGGGAGGACACCTCCCCCCTCTCTGCGTCCCTCAGGGCGGTCAGCTCGTCCTGCAGCTGGGCCACGGGCCGACCCAGCTGGTACCCCACCTCCAGCAGTAGCTCCAGCAGCGCCGCTCGGTACTGCTGCAGTCCGTAGCGTCGGGCTGCAGGCAGGGCTCTGTGGGCGTTACCGAAGGCTCGCTCCGGCTCATCTAGGTCACGGTAGCACACGGCGAGGGCGGACAGGGTCGGGACGGTCAAGGTGGGCTTCTGCCACGGCACCAGCTTCTCTTGGATCTCCAGAACTGTCTGCAGCAGCTCCACAGCCAGTGTAAACTGTCCGGACCGGAGGAGTGTGTGGGCCTGCTTCAGCTCAGGTTCCGTGAAGAACTTGGAGAAGTGAGGTGAGTGTCTGACACAGCGGGTGGAGAAGAGCTGGGCCAGGTAGTCCTGCAAGGCCAGGCGGCGCTCCGAGATGTTTTCCGGGCTGAAGTTCCCTGTCAGGAGCTTCCGGGGCAGAACCAGGTCCTCCAGCTCCTCCTCAAACTCCTCCAGCAGCTGCTGGTGGAAGCAGCTGAAGTCTTGGTAGCGCCGCTCCACCCACACCTGGTGGGAGTCGAAGCTGCCAGAGCGCATCACCACCACCCGGTACACCTGGATATGGGCGGGGCCATGAAGTAGTTAGAGCACTGCTCACACACACACACACACACACACACACACACACACACACACACACAACTGTATTTATATGTTTGTGTGGATTGACTTCCACTCACGTTAATGGCTCCACTAACCCTAACTAAAACTTTATTCACACCAGACCTCTGAGGAAGCTTCTGGAACGCTTCTAAAAAAAAGTGAGGCCCAAAATAATGTCTTCACTTTGTAGGGAAAATGGTCCTCAGTATGTAGTAAGTCTAAGAACACACACACACACACACACACACACACACACACACACACACACACACACCCTCCTCACCACGTGCTTCCGGAGCGGTTCCTGGACGACCCGACTGGACGGAACCTGGAACAGCAGCCGGACCGGAATCTCTCTACTCTTCAGCTGCTTCCAGTTCTGCCGCAGCTCACTGGTGGTTAAACTAGAACCAGACAATCCATCTGAGACAGAAACAGAACGCTGAAGTCCAGAAGAACATGATCTGATAAAATCACAATCACAGATAGGAACTGTACTGTTAAAGTTTAAGTCCCATCCCACATTCGACCCGTCCACTTGGGGAGCGGTGAGCTGCAGACACGGCTGCGCTCGGGCACCATTGGGTGGTTTAACCCCTCCATCCAACCCCTTCATGCTGATTGTCCAGCAGGGAGGCGTTGGGTCCCATTTTTGGAACGACCCAACCAGGAATCAAACCCTGATCTCCCATTTTCAGGGCAGACACTTTACCACTAGAACACTGAGCTGGTAATCAATCAATCAATCAATCAATCAAAGTATTTATTGTCAATGTAATGGAATTGAATTACAATTTAATTAATGACCATAAGACATTAAAGATCCATATCGAGTATGAATCCCATCTAATGGACACTGGGTTATTTAAATCAGAAGATTGGATCTTTTTATTACAGGGAAATTAAATGAACACTTTGCATGAACTGAGAGACAAGAGAAGAGAGAGAGACTTTCAAACGTTTAAGAAAATTTATTACTAAAATGGTTTTTAAACAATTTAACGAGACCAACTCTCTAATGATGGATGTTTGTTGGAATGAAGTGTGAGGTGGAGTGTGTGTGTGAACGATGTCAAGTTCAGAACCTCCGTGTCCGGAGAAGCGGAGTCTGAGTGGGAGATGTTGTTTTGCTCCTAACTGATCAAGTTTGAACCGTGGTCATGAACACATGAGACGCCAGTATTGTTGCATCCACATACCCTTCAGTGAGACCTCCGTACAGATCTGGATGCCAGGTCTACGGACCCTCCTCTGGTACCGGAGCCGATGAAACAGCGTCACAGCACGACAAACCGGTCTTTGAATTGTCTCCAGGTAAAAAGCGACAGGTGGTTCACAGCGTCAAAAAGAGGACCCTCCTTGGGTCAGCGAGTTCAGCTTTCATTCTGAAGGAACCACTGTTGGTTGGTAATAATGACAGGGTTTTCCCAGCTTGATAGTTCTTAGCTTAAAAAGAAAAGTATAGATGGCCTTTCCATACTTCACTTAACATGCGGAGGACTTCAGGGGGATGTTGAGATCTTGTTGAATACTGAATTAAAATGGCGTTGGAACTGTTTTATTAATATGGTTGTTCTTGATTCTGGATGAATCAAAGCTGACAGAATTAATAAACACCACAGAGACTATGCCACGCTTCAGACTAGGAAGGCTCTGATTGGATCAGCACAGCAATGTGTCATGTGATTATTTACCTTAATGTATCAGCGTGTCTAGTGACTAAAATGAGTCATTTACTTATTAAAACATATCAATCATAATATTGTGATTTCACAGATCGGTCACATTGTTATTATTGACTAACAGTTGTTTTGATTAGCTTAATTGAAAATAGAGTTCTTTGATCTAATGAAAGAAAAGAAAAGAAAAGAGTCTTCATCTCCTGTCTTCATTGCTGGAACGTAAACAGTTGAGAAGCGAATGCATGACCTTGAGGCTGTTTCATGCACTCTGGCGCTGTGTCAAAGGGGAACAGTGGTTCGAAGATAATAACCCTGAGAAATGACTCCTTCATCACGTTACATCAATTATGCACTGAAATTCTTACTTTGTCCCACAACCCCCCACCAAAACGCCATAAATTACGAAGGAATTCATTCGGCGTCCTTGTTATCCTATTCTATAGACCACATGGGCCGCCAAAGCGGCGAGCGCTGGCGCTCCAGCCCGCGCCGTGCAGCGATCGTTTTGGCGTCTGCTCTATTTTTTTTGCGAGCCGCGGGTGAACCACGTCAATTCTGGCAGGAAGTCAAACCTAGACAGAAGAGGCAGGCCGGTAAATTTAACAAAATAAAGCATTTCAAAATACAATTTCGCGATGGTCAAATGTGTTCGTAAACAGACACTGCATAAAAACCACACGAGCACACACACACAGCGAACTTGTGTGTGTGTGTGACCACGTGAAGGGGGTGTGGTTTTGGGTGTCTTTCAACTGGTGCAAACAGGACAGAGAGGCAGAAAGTCGTAGGCCAGCTATTAACAACTGGTTCACACCATAGGTTCACACACACACACACGAACAAACACACACACAAACAGCAAGGGGGAGGGGGGTGTCGAGGAAAAGAGCAGAGAAAAGGCGGAGAGGAAATGGAGGACACCAAGTGATCAAAAGAAAAACTACGAGGCGTGCCTCGACCGGAGCGGAGAAACAAGCTTCTGGTCTGAACTGAGGAGCAGCGAGCAGCGGCCGAATTTTGCGAGCGCTTCGCCTCCCGGCGCTTCGGCGGCCGGTGTGTCCCCGGCCTGAAACAGAACATCATGCGTCTGACTGTGACAGTATGAGCGTCCTGTCACTGTGACCTGATTGATCATGTGCCCTGGCTACTTTGTCAAGGTGGCTCTCCGTTTGGCTGACTGGTTAGTGTGTGTGACTCTCACCTGGGACTCTGGGGTTTGAATCCTGATCAGACCATTTCTTTAATATCCGCCACAGATCTCTCTGAAGAACTCAGCATTGACGGCTTCAGCAACGCTGTGCCACTCTGTGGATTTTCTCTTATTTGTTTTGCAAAAGCACTTCCTTTCATTTCTCCACCTCACCCACAGGTACCTCAATTTCCGCTTGTGACATTGCACTTCCTTGATCTGCGGTCGCCATCATTAATGGTGGATCGCTGCAACGAGCCGGCTTATGTATATGCATGAGATCCACAAGGCACTTTGCGTTCACCATTTATGGCAGAAAGTGGGCGTGTTGAGGGCGGGACGTGATCAAAAACAGCTGAGAACCTGTCTCGTTAGTCTCTGATTTATAAAGCGGAGATTGCGTGAAGCTGTGCGTACTCCATGTTTGATAGGTCAAAAACCTACTTGGTGTGAGGACATTTTTTTGCTGAGCTTAAGTACGGTTTAGTAAGGATTCTACGTAACGTTTTAAGAGACCCCGGGTCTGGTGAACAGTCTCTCTGCACATCTCTACACCACGCACACACCTCCCCTTCCTCGCTCACCGGAGCTGAGGTGCATCAGAACCCTGTAGAACCTTTAAGTGTAAAAGTGAAGAAATAAGATTTCTGGCACCTGTCCTAGTTCTGTCAGCCAATCGGACCTCTGCTTGGTGTGGTTCCTCTTTGGTTTTATGGAACCCTTCAGAACCCATCTGTCAGCCTGACAAAGGCTTGTTAATTCTGAGCAGAATCTGATTTCATTTTTGTTTTACTGGTTCTGATTTGTGGTCCAAATGGACCTTAGTTACAAATCCATCTGCAGCAGAGCTTAGAACCAGACCTAGGACAAAGTCCTGGTTCTGGATCCTTCACCACAAACAGGGTTCTGGCAGCACCACCAGCCTGTAGCTCAGGAGACAAAAACCAGGTTCTGCTGCAGCTTCCAGCAGGTTGGATCTGCTCTCAGAGTCCAGCCAAACCCATCAGAAACACATCTACATTTCAGAATCAGAACCTGCAGGCCTTGGATCCATCTCTGTCAGCTCTCCGCTGCCCCTCTCTGATTCTGCCATCAGGTCTCCGCCTCGGATCCTCCGTCAGAGCTCAAATGTTCTGCAGCAGCTTTTTGTTTTTCTTCAGGAAAGAACACTTGGTTTCGATCACACTAGGAAGTTCCTCTGCAGATTAAAGGCTGCAGGAGGAAGTGAACCAACAACCACCCAGCTGCAAGCAGAGGGAGGAGTGCTCGTTTTATGGCTGCAGCCACCACAGGTGGGTGGGGTCTTCTTCAATGTATGAATGAATGTCAACAAACACAACATAAACAATCCAGACATAACCTGACCCTTGATCTCTGGCCCCAGGTCTCCTCCAGTGTTAATTTCACAAGAAAGTCTAATGTAGTTTTACACTTTTAACTAGAATTCTTTTTAATTTAAGTCTCTCTTTAGTCCAGTAAAATATTTCCTCTGATGCAATAATCTTCAACTTGTGTCCAGGAAGTCTTAACCACGCCTACTTGAAACTGTAAAGAAATATGAAAGATTCACATTTCACACTTTGGATCAATAAAACTCTATTTTTAGAACTGGTTTAATACCAATAATTAATGGGAAATACCAAAATGACCACTGACAGTTTGAAATGGTGTCTCTCATCTTTGATAAAGTAAACAAATCGGTATAATGTGCAGCAATATTTGTAAACAAGACAGGAAATGACATCGTACCATCAAAACATTAAAAGGTGTTAACAGTCATGGCGGATGGCTGCTTATACTGAGCCAGGATCCTCTGGAGGTTTCTTCCTGTTAAAAGGGAGTTTTCCTCTCCACTGTCGCTGCATGCTTGCTTAGTATGAGGATTGCTGTTGTAGCGGAATATAGTTGGTATATTCGTACACTTTTATTAAGGTCCAGAGATATCACTGATCTAACCTGAGCTGGATCATTAATCTTTGGACCGGGCCCTTAGGATCAAAAGAGGTTGTTTTTACTACAGGGAGTTTTATTCAAACACTTTGTATTGAATTAGAGACAAGAAGAGAGAGAGAGGTGGGACGTTTAGAAATATTTATTTTATAATTATTTGAAACAATCACCAGGACTAACTCTCTTATGATGGATGCAGAGGAATGCAATGCTGAAGTGTTGGTGTGTGTGTCAGTTCAGAATCTCCCATCTGGTGGAGGCGAGTCTGAGTGCGAGATGTTGTTTTGCTTTAACTGACAGACGATGGATTTCAGGAGGAAGACATGAGACGCGATCTTGCCGGCCTACGTACCGTGCTAGAGACTTCCTTGTTAGATCTGGATGCCAGGTCCTCGGACCTTCCTTGCGCTGGAGCTGGTGAAACAGCGGTCGGCAGCACGACAAACCAGTCTGAGGATCGTCTCTCGGTACAACGGCAGGGTTCAGCGTCACGTAGAGACAGTTCAGCTTTTATTCTGAAGGAACCGTCATCTTGTTGATAAAACGACAGAATTTTCCAGCTTGACAGTTCTCAGCTTAAAAGTAGAAAATACAGCTGGCCAGTCTACTTCACTTAGCGAGGATGGACATCAGATGGATTTGAGAGCTGGTGGAGTACTCGGTTAGAACTCCGTTGGAACTTAGTTGGAACTCCGTTGAAGACTGACTTAAAATGGCGTTGTTCTGTTTTATTAAACTTAGTTGTTTTTGATTCTTAGCCAATCGGAGTGGACAGATTAATTTAACACCACAGGGCTCTGCCACGCATCAGAAAGGAAGTTCTGATTGGATGAGTGAACAATGTGTCATGTGTTTATCTTATGTGGATCAGGATGTCTGGCTCAGTTAGTCCAAAGATTTGTTATTCATTACACATAAATCATAACATTGTGATTTCACAGATCAGTCACCTGATTATTATTGACCAACAGTTGTTTTGATCAGTTTTATTAGAAATAAAGTTCTTTGAATGAAAAGCGTTCTTCGTTAGGGCTGCAACAACGAATCCATAAATTCGATGAAAATCGATTACTAAAAGCGTTGGCAACGAATTGCGTCATCGATTCGTTGTGTTGCACAACTCTTCCAAAAGCGCCCCCCCCCCCCCCTTCCCGCCCGCCGTTGCGCGCAGACAGATCAGCGCGAGGGAGAGCCGGCAGTTGTTTGGAAGAGGAACATGGCAGAAGCAGCGAGAGTCAAAAAAGTAAAAGCTTTTTAAGTTTGGGAGCATTTTCAGTTAAATCAGGCGAAGACATGCGTTACCTGCAACGTTTAGGTCAGACTTAGCATGGCACGGGATGATGCAGCGTCTTAAACGCAAGCATGTCGGGATCATCAGCGAGGAAGGAGAGAACTCTGTGTCCGGGTAAATTAAAAACTTTTCAAAAGTGATTCATCCAAGTCCCGGATTATTACACAGGCTAGACATGCCCTAAGCTCGTAAAAAAAGAGTCTAAAGTCGTGAGCGCGACGCTTATTAGATGAGCGGGGGGACTCGCGCTGCTGCGAACTGGTTCCAAGGCGAATTAACTGGGCAATTGCCCAGGGCCCACGGACTCTAAAGGGCCCAGGGCACGAGCACAATACTGTATCTATAATTTCCCGCTTTATGAGGACTATGGTGACCGTACGTTCCGTTTTCCCCGGACGTGTCCACTTTTCACTCTCTGTCCGGCGCGTCCGGACTGCGGGTTCTTGTATTGATGAAAATGTCCGGCTTTTCATCCAGGAGCAGGGATCGAATTATGGGGGAGCTGTATATCCTACACATCAGGGGAGCCGGAAAAAAGTTTTCTATATTATATCATTTTTGGACTCTTTTGAGCAGAGAGCGGCACAGCGCATTTTTGCGCTGCGATCCAGGCAGCTGCTTCCAGCGCACGGTCCATTCTCAAAGTGGCGCAACCAAAAAACTATAATTAGCACACGATCGTTCATGTCTGCACATGTTCTCTATTTTCTGTCTTATTTGTGCCTGCTGCGCTCTGCTATTGCGGAGCTCATCACCTGTGCTGCGGTGATTTCACCTCACGCAGCATCGAAAACGCGCTCTGCGCTTTGCGGTCAGGAGATCCCTTTGATCTGCTCAGAAGTAACTGATGAGGTGAAAAAGTAAGAATCCAGGCAGCAGTTTTTCTGGAGAATTAAGAGGAGATGCAGGAAGATGAGAGACAGACAGGACAGGAAAATAGTTAAATAAAAACAAAACAAAGTGTTGAAAAGTAAAATGTAGGTAGATTTACCTCCACTACACGTTTTTACCTGTATAAAACAATAAGTTACACACATGTAATATTTATAAATTTCATACAATTCAGGTCACCTTCAACACTCAGTCACACACCCAGGGCCGTTTCAAGTCATTTTGGGGGCCAAGGCAAAATGCCCCCCCATAACTGGGCTCCCCAGAAGCCTCTGTGTAATTCATACCCTCTCCAGTAGTGTTAGTTATACAGTGTTTATAAAAGCCGCTCAGACATTACTGACATGTTCTAATATTATCAGATGAAAAACTAAATTATCAGACATGCTGTCTCATCTGCTTCTTTTCTAAACTTGCATCATTTTTGGAAATAGTGATCAATTTTGATTAATTCACAGCCTATGTTTAATTACATTTAAAAATTAGTTGTTTGACATCCCCAGTTATAATAAATGTCAACAGATGAGATCAAACAAAACAGATGAGAATTGCCCTTAAGCTGTTTAATTGGACCAAGCATTTTAGGTCACAGATAGATGTAGCTTAGGGTCTCTGTCTGTACACTTATAAGACAATTTAGGTGATGGTATGTTGTTTTTCTTCTATTGAACTGTTTTCTAATAATGTTGTGTTAAATAAAGTGAAGGAAGGAGAGAAATAACGTTTCCCTAGCAGTTTTTAAAAATTTCCCCATGTAATCCGATTAATCGATTAATCGTGTCGAGACCCCATCCGAATCATCGATTATCCAAATAATCGTTTGTTGCAGCCCTATTCTTCGTCCTTCTTATGTCTTCTTTGCTGGAATGTAAACACCAGAAGCAAGCGTACGACCTTGGCAATTTATGCACACTGCACTGTGTCAAAGGGCAGCTGTTAAGGGCAGAAATGGCATGTTCATAACGCTACACTGTAAAGACTCTGACACTAGTCAGTGACTCGATGCAGCCTGCTGGGTTCCTTATATAGGAAAGTTTTTACTGATTGGCTTAATGAACTGAACTCAGTGCACTTATAAGTAGGTTCATTGGAATGTTTGCCTTCAAACAGTGTACGTTTAAGATTTGGTGCTATGTAAATATGAACTGGTATGCTAATTCAAGGGAGCCTCAGTTTTCTGAGCTGCTCTGTGGGACAGCCCTCAGGGCAGAGGAGATAGGCTGGTGTTGTGGAGAAAAATGTTGGTGGTGGGTGGGTGTTAGAGGAACAATGATGTAGAAATTGGTGTAGCTCCTCAAAATGTTGTTCTACCTTCCTGGTTCGTTAATTTCTGATTGGGCAAGAAGTAAGCCACCAAGTTGCCTTATATTTCAATCATCCACACTTTATTTACCCGTAATGCATGGGGAGATTCTGCCACCTCCAGTTCCTGTGACAAGTCTGAAGATTTTACAAGATGCCCAACTTTTTATCCTTTCTCTCCTGCAGTTTCCTGCTGACACCTCCCTAGCTTTACTGAAGGCCATCACCCGTTGCCTTGGTAACTGGCACTCCTCTCTGCACTCACTCCCTGCTTCCTGTCCTATCTTCCCTGCCAAGGTTGCGATGACCCTTTGCCCTGGCCTTCTCCCTTTGAACAGCTTTTAGATGCTCTAATCTGGCCTGTTAATAATCTCCTTCAGCGTAGCCTTAACTTGTAGGACATGTGTGATCAAACAAAGCATACGGATGATTCACCGTAAAAATGAATATGTGAACGTTACATATGTGATCAGTCGGGGTTTCCGCTGCCCGCCAGGCTCGTGCTATCGGAAGAAACGCGTATATTTTCTTTAGTATCATTCTGGTCCTGGTGGTGGCGCGAATGCACCGCAAAGGCGTTGACCAACCGCAATAGAAAGGGGGAAGAAGAAGAAGGTGGCAAAGTCTCGTACAACAAGCTTACATCGCGATAGTTGGGGCTAACATTCCAGCTAACAGTGTGCTAATTCCCGTATCTGTCAGAGGACCTGGAGAAGACGGAGAACCAAGAATCCCCGCGCCCGCCCGTTGATCCACAGCACAGCAAGCTGGCCCCGGTACGTTCATCCCGACATGGACCCAAACACTGCCCATCGGTCTCTGGCGGAGGACGGCGAGCTCGAAGACGGTGAAATCTGCGACGACGAAATCGAAGAGAGTGTTCCGGTGCGGCGGGGGGATGGGAGAAGGCCGCGCGGCGGCGCTCGTCCCCGGCCAAGAAAGCCGCACAAACAACCGTACATACGACCGCTCATGGACCACTCGTTGCCAGATTTCAGCCTCCGGTTGCCCTACAACCCCGGACCTCACCTCCACGGCCCGTTCCTCCCGAACCACCGGCAGCTATGCGAACAAAACGTTCCTGAACGACCTCCTGTTCTGCCCGCTCCACTCGGGATGTCCATGCCCCAGTCACCTGGACCTGGTCTGCACTGCGAGTCAAGCCCCCGATCCAACTTCTGGGAGCGGAGCCACGGGGCCCTGGGACGGTTCAGGCACCGAGTCACACCGAACGGTGGACGCGGGTCCTGGATTCGAGGCGGTCCGGGTGGGAACAGCAGAAACCCCCCCTGTCGCCACGGACCGGGAGAGAGTCACGGGTCTCCGTCAAAGAAACGTATCCTTGTTTCCGTTAGCGAGTCAGGCGCTGCGTGGTTCCTACTGTGTACACAAAGCGGTACAAGTGGTAACGTGTGTGACGTGTAATACTGTAATGTGTATGTGTGTGTGTGTGTGTAATATATGTGCGTGTGTGTAATCCTGTAATTGTGTGTGTTACGTGTGTGTGTGTGTGTGTGTAATGTGTGTGTGTGTGTGTGTGTAATCCTGTAATTGTGTGTGTTACGTGTGTGTGTGTGTGTGTAATGTGTGTGTGTGTGTGTGTGTAATGTGTGTGTGTGTGTTACGTGTGTGTAATGTGTGTGGGATTTCAGGTGAATAGTTAATTATCAGAACTTCTTCAACACTTAAATATTTGATCTGCTTTCATGTAAACTTCAGGATGCGTAAAAGTTTGTTGTAATCAAATTTAATCAGGATTGATGAAGTGGGACTTTTCCTGACTCGAGCCTCCAGAGTGGCCTTTAGGGAGGATTCGGGTCAGGAAAGTACCGGCCATTTTTGACAGAACCGATACCAGTATGGACGAAAGCTTTGAGGACCTTCTGACCAAATACAAACAGATCCAGCTGGAGCTGGAGTGCATCCGGAAGGCTGAGACAATGGCGCTGGAGCCAGAGTCTTCTCCAGTTTCTGAAGGCCCTGCTGGTGCTGCTGGTACTGGTGCTGCTGCTCCGCCAGACTTCAGACCAGAACCAGAAGGGGCTCCTGAAGGGAACGATCAGCAGGACAAGGATGAAAAGAAAGTGTTCCAGGCGTTCAACATCAAACCTCTGCGTCAGAAACTTCCTACACCTGCAGAACTGGACCAGCTGCACATCAAGTGGGAGGAGCAAGAAGCAGGTGGTGGTGCTGAGGGTGAGTCTGGATGATGACAGGTACTCGAGTTTACCTGTGAGTGAGTTTAGTACCTGATGGTGGACTGTGGTGTTTGAGATGTGGGCTAGTGAGTCACACTTCCTGTGTTCTGATTCATCAGAACCCCCGAGAAGCTCAGAGGCCCCGGAGTCGGAAGGACCTGGTTCTGCAGAGTCTGACAAAGCCAGGAAACATCAGGAAGTCAACCCTGCTCCCAGCGAATCCTCTGCTTCCAGCGAGGACTCGACAGTTTCACCTGACAAGGTGAGTTCTTATGGTCCACCATCCTGCAGGTTCTAGATGTTTACCTGGTGACGCAGGAAGTTGTGTGCATGAACTGGACTTCCATGTTCTAAACCCAACCCAGTAATGCTAGTACTCTGTTGTCTCTCAGCCTCCAGAGAAGATAGAGGAGGAGGAGCTGTCAGAGCTGCAGCTCCGCCTCCTGGCTCTGCAGTCGGCCAGTAAGAAGTGGCAGCAGAAGGAGCAGCAGGTGATGAAGAATAGCAAAGACCGGATCACTAAAGCCTCCCAGGACAGAACCTCCAGCTCCACTTCTAGTTCTGGTTCTGGAGCAGCGGCACCGGACAAGCAGCGAGTCATTACCAGGTCTGCTGCTGCTGCTGCAGCTGCTGCTGCTGACAGGAGCAGGACCAGGTCCAAAGCAGCAGACAGAACCACGACTGGACCCAGACAAGCTGACCGAGACCGAACCAAACAGAGTCCAAAACCTGGTCCCAGAGTCCTGCCTGACCGGGCCAGGACTCCAGGAAGATCTCACAACACCAAGAGGCTGATCAGTCCAGGTGAGACCAGCCTTCCAGCAGGTAGAGGAAGAGGGCGGGGCCTGTGTGTGAGAGTTCTTTTGGGATTCGGCTGTTCATTGGGTTGGACCACGGGTTGGGGTTCTGGTTCACCCACCAGAACCACTGATGGAGCTGTTGTTTACCTGCCTCTGCCAGGTCCTGCAGCCAAGCAGGCCTTCAGGAAGCAGCAGCTTCACACCTGGAAGTTGCAGCAGCAGAGGAAGCAGCAGCAGGAGGAGGAGGAGCGCCGCAAGCGTGAGGACGAGATCCGTCGAATTCGTGACCTGTCCAACCAGGACGAGCAGTACAACCGGTTCATGAAGCTGGTCGCAGGGAAGAGGACACGAGGCAGGGTAAGAGCTCTGCTCCAGGTGTGTTCAGGTGAGAGCTAACAGTGCTAATGCTAATCAGCTGTCTGTGTTCAGTCCTGGGAGCAGGATCACAGGAAGTCAGCAGGAAAGCTGGGCCTGGAGGTCTCTGGGAACCTCTATCAGTATGACAACTATGACGAGGTTGCCATGGACACTGACAGTGAGACGGGTTCACCAGGTGAGCGGGATGCACCTGAGGGCTCAGTGGTGTCAGGTGTGTTGATGCTAACATGTTGTGTTGGTGTCAGTGCCGTCGCCAGGGCAGAACCTGCCACCTGCAGAAGAGTCTGGGTGTTTCCCTCTGGGCCCGTGTGTGGTGGAGGCTGCAGCCTTCAGCATGGTACGCTCCCTTAGCTTCCAGTAGTATTGGAATTAGGGCTGCACGATGCTAGGAAGCCTGCAATATGCCGTAACAGTGGTTCATATTGCGGTGACGATATCACTTGTGATAAATAAAAACTTAACTCGGGAACAAAAATAATCAAAAACAAAGAAATAAAAAAAATCATAAGAATGAGAAAAGCACACGATGTGAGGAAAGGGAAAAAGAGAAAAGGGAATCGGTGGATCCCGGGAAAGCAGAAAGGGCAGAACGAAGCTAACTCGGGTGTTTGCTAACCATCCAAGTGCCGTTCGCCTTGGGGGCGGGCATCTGACCTGTGAGAACCACCCACATGGGTGAGGAGCTCTGTTGTTAAACATCACACTTCCGTTTGACAGAATGCATCATGGGTAGCAAACATTTGAGCTGACATTCGTTACGATATTTATCTGTTCTTGGCGATATGCATATTATCGCGATGACGATAGATTTGCGATATGTTGTGCAGCCCTAATTGGAATGCTCCCCAATTGTTTTATTTTTTTTGCAGCCATTTTTACCCCTCCCTCTCTCACCCATCAGGATTTACTGCTGCCACCCCCCTCATCAATGCTATCTAGTTTTCTTCCACCACCTCCACCGCTTCCCCCTCCACCTGATGAAGCAGAGCGCCCCCCCAAACCACCGTTTGCTGATGAAGAGGAGGAGGAGGAGATGCTTCTCAGGGAGACCTGTCTGATGTCCATGGCCAACAAGCGGGTGGCGACCAACCAGGTGAGTCTGATTCCACAGCAGCTTCCTGCTCAGACAGGGACCCCTCCACCTCCGTGATGGGTAACCCCCGTGAGGAGTGGTTTTGGTGCAGAGCTAATGGGCTAATGCTAACCCGTGTGTGTGATGTGGCAGCAGATCCAGATGCCCAGCGACCCCCAGGTTCTGGTTACCCTGTGAGGGGGCCATATGACCTCATACCGCTATGGTGATATAGTCTGACACCTGCATAGTAACACAAGACCTTCAGCCATGAACATCTTCATTTGATTTAGCTTCAGGTGTTTCTGAACGTTTCCTGTTTCCTACATTTTATAGCCTTAACATCATGCTGATGCTTGTTTCCATAGCAACCCTGAAGATGATAAATCTTGTAATGGGTTAATTTACATGTTATTTAATGAACCAGAAGACATAAGATTCCATAGCAAATATGAAATCAACCTTATGGAGCTTTGGTTACTGTTTAACTAGAAGATAGGAACTTTTTATTGCAGGGATTAGATAACAGCTACGTATTCACTCAGAGACAACAGAAGAGAGTCCAGTTTAAAAGTTTAGAGATTTATTACTAAACAAACTAAAACTAGACTAACTTTAACACTAAATGTATGGTGTTACTAAGGTGAATGAGACGGAGAATGGTGTAATATGGAATGTTGCTCAGAACTAGCAAATCCGAAGAAACGATTAGTTCTGGTGGGAATGAAGGTGATGTCTTAGCGCTAAGCTATGGTTAGGAGATTCATAAACACATTCGACGCCATTCCGTCGGTCTACTTACCCGTAGCGGAAGTCCCCGTCTAGATCAGGAGGTGTAGAGGTCCAGCTTGACCTTTGTGAAGCCGAAGACTGTAGAAACAGCCGCGGCAGCCGACCAGTCCAGTCTTGAGATACTTCCGGGTCACGACAGTTTTGTTGGCATCTAGCGAGACCCAAACCTGGGTCTTGATGGTTCAGCTGTTATTCTGAAAGGAACCGTTGCAGTGGTTGGAATAGCAACAGATTTAATCCAGCTTGTCGTTGGTTCTTTCGGCTGAAGAGGAAAGTTACGGATTGGCCACTCCGACAACTTCTCTAGAACGCTTTGAACTGGCTTTAAAGATGGCGTGGGCATAGTTTTATACTTCGGATGTTTTGGTTTATGGTCAAATGAAAAGATGACAGATTTACCAAACACCACCAAAACCACGCCTCCGTCAGATCTGGCAGATTCTGATTGGATCAGTAAAAGCAATGTGTCATCTCTTAACGCTACGTGAGATCAGTCCTGTTGGAACATTTAAAGTCATATTACTTATTATATTCTATAGGATTATAATAAAGTAATTAATATTTTGATTTCACAGGTTGGTCACATCTTATTATTGACTAACACTGTTTGATTAGCTTATTAAAAATAGAGTTCTTTGATTTATTAAAAGGAGAGAGTCCTTTTCTTCATTCTTCTCTTGAGCTGGAAAGAAGCAGTTTATAAGCAAATGCATGAGACCTTGAGGCCATATCTCATGCAGACTAGTTCTGTGTCAGAGGAGAGGGAAAATGACTTTTGGTGGAAAACAGTCATTTCATTCCGTTACAATCTGATCCGTTTCTCCGCAGAAGAATTCCAGTGGACCGCCGTCTCCTACCTGGCCTCCACCTGTAGACGTCCAGCTACTTGTGAGGGGGAACCTGAGCACCGTCAGCCTGAACACGGTTCCTCAGACCCGGAACAGCCGGTTCAGCAGAACCCATCATACTGCCAGAGGTCCATTAGTGGTGAGAAGCTGTGGGCCTGCATGTGAAAACTTGAGTTCAGCATGTTAGATGTTCCTCGCGCTGGTCCAGGATCAGCTTGTCTCCTTGCTCTCTGCAGCTGCCCAGACACAAGTCAGTAGTGGTTTCGCTCAATGACTCCGATGACAGTGACTCTGAGGTGGACACCTGCAGCTCCTCTCAGATGGTGTTTGGAGGTCTGGAGAACATGATTAAAGAAGCCCGGAGGACAGTGGAGGTGGGACGTCTTTAAGATGATCTTCTGACCAAGTTATGTTCCTCCTGCTGCATCAGGCAGCTGATTCAGGGATGGGATCGTGGGATCTTGTAAATAATTTAAAATAAGTTTGTGCTAAAATTGCAAACAAACAAAATTGGCGTTCTTGAAGACAAATATGTTGTTTTTTTGGGGGGGGAGGGGTCTTTGGTTGGGTGTTAGTCACTCTAACAATTTTCAGAGAAAAGTCCAGGAGGACTTCTCACAGCAGTTGGAGCGTAAAGTTCGTCAAATCAAAACATCATCAGCCTAAAAACGGCGTTTTTTTGTCCAGGACAGCAGCAGGGTTGTCTCTCGTCAGCCTTTACTGATGTTTCCTGAAGCTCCTTGCATGTGTCGTTAAACATAAACACAGACGTATTTTACCCCGTTAAGCCCTAATGTTGGCTACATAAAGGAAATGGCCGACAGCATGCTGCTGCTTTACTTGTTTAAAGACATCCCAGTTTATTGATCAGGGTGCCGGAAGATTTAACGACACTGGGGAACAAAGACACGAGATAATTTATAATAATATATAACATTTCTTTAGCGCTAAACACAAAGTGACATTTTACGCAATCTCCGCTTCATGAATCAGAAACTATCTAGAATGTTTCTCAGCTGCTTTTTAGTCACATCACGCCCTCACCACGCCCACTTACTGCCATAAATAGTCAATGAAATGTGTCTCGTGGATTGTCTTGTGGTGTTGGTGGGGTGGGGTTGATTTTATAGGGCGCTAGAATTTGAGGCGTGGCACAGCGCCACACCCGAGCCTATGTAGGGAAACTGAAAGATGCAGCGGTGTGACAGAGATTGCGTCTATGGCAGTTTCTTGTGAAGATGAGGTCCGAGTGCTTTACGTACCACATGGCTTTCTGTACCACGTAAATTTCTGTATCATGTGGCTTTACGTACCACGTGGCTTTACTTACCACATGGTTTCTGTACCACATGGCTTTACGTACCACATGGCTTTCTGTATCACGTGGCTTTCTGTACCACGTGGCTTTACGTACCACGTGGCTTTACGTACCACATGGCTTTACGTACCACATGGCTTTCTGTACCACGTAAATTTCTGTATCATGTGGCTTTACGTACCACGTGGCTTTACTTACCACATGGTTTCTGTATCACGTGGCTTTCTGTACCTTGTGAATTTCTGTACCACGTGGCTTTACGTACCACGTGGCTTTACGTACCACGTGGCTTTCTGTATCACGTGGCTTTCTGTACCATGTGAATTTCTGTACCACGTGGCTTTACGTACCACGTGGCTTTACGTACCATGTGGCTTTACGTACCACGTGGCTTTCTGTATCACATGGCTTTCTGTACCATGTGAATTTCTGTACCACGTGGCTTTACGTACCACGTGGCTCTACGTACCACGTGGCTTTACGTACCACATGGCTTTACGTACCACATGGCTTTCTGTACCACGTAAATTTCTGTATCATGTGGCTTTACGTACCACGTGGCTTTACTTACCACATGGTTTCTGTATCACGTGGCTTTCTGTACCATGTGAATTTCTGTACCACGTGGCTTTACGTACCACGTGGCTTTCTGTATCACGTGGCTTTCTGTACCATGTGAATTTCTGTACCACGTGGCTTTACGTACCACTTGGCTTTCTGTATCACATGGCTTTCTGTACCATGTGAATTTCTGTACCATGTGAATTTCTGTACCACGTGGCTTTACGTACCACATGGCTTTCTGTACCATGTGAATTTCTGTACCATGTGAATTTCTGTACCACGTGGCTTTACGTACCACATGGCTTTACGTACCACATGGCTTTCTGTACCATGTGAATTTCTGTACCACGTGGCTTTACGTACCACATGGCTTTATGTACCGCGCGGTCTGTATCACGTGGCTTTACGTACAGTTGCTACAGCCGTGCTGTCCCGAACGTGAAGCATCCCACCAACTGGTTGGGTGGAAATCGAAGCCATGCAGTATTTAAAAACAGTGTTTAACAGTTGTGAAAAAAATCTTAATTTTATTTTAGAAGGTCTTAAAAGTCTTGAAAAGTTCCTACACTTTATTTAGAGATCCCTGCATCAACCCTGTGATCTGATGTCTGACAGGCAGCAAAGCCTAAAGCAGCTTCAGGATGTGAGAAGGAGAACAACCCAGTCCGAACTCCAGAAGCTCTCCCTGAGGAGAAGAAAGCGGAGTACCGTCTACTGAAGGAAGAGATTGCTAGGTAGCTAACCTTAACCCTAACACACATGGGTAAAGACCTTCTCACATATGTTCTGATGATCTCCAGCAGAGAGAAGCAGAAGATGCTGAGGGACCACAGCTGTCCCAGTCCCTCAGCTCCAGAACAGCTTCTGCACTTGTCCCCTAAAGCTGCTGCAGATATCCGGCTGGGCGAGGCCGAGCTGAAGCTCCAGAAACACAGGTCAGACCCTATCCCTGCTGGTTACCGTAGCAACACCTAGCTTCAGACTGACCCTTGTTGTCCACAGAGAGCTGCTGCAGAGGGACGAAGCTGTTCTCAGACACCTGCTTCAGCAGGAGCTGAAGAAGAGGGAGTCTCTGAAAGCCGCTGAAGCAAAGATGGTCAAACTGAAGGAGCAGCTGCAGGCGTCCGAGAAGATCGTAGCTGCTAACAGGACGCTGCTGAAAAAGCTGCAGGAGCAGGTGTGTTCACCTGTCCACTTCCTGTGTTGGTGCTAAGCTGTGTCAACTGATTTGATCAAGTTGTCTGTCCTCTGCAGGTGCAGCGGGTGGAGCAGCGGGTGTCCCTGAAGAAGAATCTGGCTGTCCAACTGGAGCAGGATCTGATCCAGGTTCAGGCGGCTGCAGGCAGAGGACAAAAACGTCCTGTAGAGTCCAGCCAGAACCCGGTGTGTGTGTGTGTGTGTGTCTTTGATATAAGCATTAAACTGTTTGACCTTTGACCTCTGGGTGACACTTTTGGATTGATGTCCAAGTCTAGATGGACCTGATTGTGTGTGTTCTGTCCTCCAGCCCAGTAAGCTCCAGCGTGTGGAACCGGGTCGGCGCGGTTCCGAGCGCCACTTCGCCGAGCTGATCGCTCAGAAGCGACGGTTGCAGCAGCTGGAGTCCGAGTACGCCCTCAAGATCCAAAAACTGAAGGAGGCTCAGGCCCGGTGCAACAAAGCTCCAGCTCCAACTCCAACCTCTAACCCTGCACCAGACCCACAGGCCCGGCCACTGCCCCCCCCCAGCCCCTTCCACCTGCCCCAGCCGTCCTTACACGACCTTTCTCAGGACAAACTGGTTCTGGACAGCGAGGAGATCCCAGAGGTCGATGATCAGGAGCCAGAACTTGCTGCTGCTGCAGGTTTAGGCAAACGCCGTTCCTCTCTCCGACAGTCCAGTTGCTCCTTCACCAAACCCCACCTGGACCCGTCCAGTTCGGCCCCCCCAAAAGACTGCAGAGCCACCAAGCCGGCTAAGCTGGCGACCGACTTGACGCTCCCTGCTCAGTCGTTTGCCGGTCTGGATTTGGACAGTCTGAAGCAAAGGTACCAGCAGCAGGCCCGGCTGGGGGAGCTGCTGCAGATGGAGCTGCACAGACTGGGGGAGGACTTGGACAGCCCACCCCATGCACAGGTAAGGTCCTCTGCACAGGTCCATGAAAGGTGACCTCCTTCTGAGATTCATCTGCTTTCATTAGCCCATTGTAGAAGACACACCATGCCACCACAGTGTGTCGGATGAACGTGCCGTGGCGGCATGGCGATGCGGGAGTGTTGCAGCATTCCTGCCTTCAGGTGTGGTAGTAGCATTACCGTCACACCGTACTTGTGGATGCAAAAGCCTTGGAGCAGGAGAGGGAGGTGTCATGATCATGTGTGGAGCTCCAGCAGGAAACTATTAAAAATGAAAGTAAACACGGCAATAAGTTTAGATTTTAAACAAAATCGGCTGAAATGATGAACTGGAGCGACGCAGAGCTCCAGGAGCTTCTCTCCGTTAGAGCTGGGGCTCAGGTCAGCTGATGGTGTACGGGGACTGTGGAGGACAGACACCTTTAGTAGGGTTGGGTATCGAGCATTGACTGGAACCGGCTCCAACTGTTAGTTTTTCTCGGAGTTGTTCAAAGTTTTTTATTTCGATTCCTAGTTTCGATTCAGCCGACCGGAAGAGGAATCCGCTGCCGATCTCCGTGAAAAATAAACGTCATCTGCAAATTGTGATCAAGGCTTTCCAGAGCTGATCACACCAGCCGTCTGTGTGCAGCACGAGTCCCCCCTCCCCCCACCCAGATGTAAACAAACCCGTCTGCTGAACTTTTACTCCGTAACGTAAACTTTAACTCCTGCAGCGTAGAGGAAACTTGTTAAAATACATCAACACGGTGGATTTAATAGAAGCTTTAAAGAACAAACTCTGGATGGTGTGAGGAGAGTTTGTCTCACTGCAGAAATTAAAACACACACAGAGCGTCAGCAGTCAGACGCAGCCGCTCACCAACAACACTCGTGTGTGTGTGTGTGTGTGTGTGTGTGTGTGTGTGTGTGTGTGTGTGTGTGTGTGTGTGTGTGAGAGAGAGAGTAAGAAGGCTGAACATTAACCTGTAGAATAATAAAAGTCATCATGCTAGAGCAGCTTCTTTGTGGTGGACCACACCAGCGTCTGCCACAATAAATAATAATAATAATAATAATAATAAATAATATTTTAATTTCCTTTCTGAACAATTTCTGTTTAAAATCTGTTAGCTTGTTACTGACAGCAGCTACATTTAAGCTTCACTTCCTGTTGTGACTGAATGCTGCTGCAGCGTGGAGGTGTAGCTCTCAGTCATCCTGGACATGATCGTCCTGAGAGTTTCAGCTGAAAACAGCTGGACGTTTCTGGGTATGTTGGAGACATTTAGCCTCTCATCCCAGAGGCTGCTTCCAGACTTTGGTTGTGGTCAGAAACAAACACACTGGTTGTGCTGCAAGTCTTTTTCTTTTTTCTCCAAAACACATTTTTGTCTAAATGAAGGTGATGTTGTTGTTCCTAGAATTAAAACTCATGTTGAAGTTAAGATTGTTTCATCAAGTAGGACCTGTGGTTAGCCGGCTCATGTAAAACGTGTCATGTCTTCAAAGAATCGGAATCGAAACGAGGAATTGGAATCAGAATTGTTCAAAATCAAACGATGCCCAGCCCTAATCTTTAGGAGCGGCTTGTGTCCAAGTCGAACGGACGTCTGCAGCAGCGCAGAGACCGCCCCCTTACACCGCCTTCGCGCAATCTTTGTAAAAAGGACACGATTGCGCCACATTACCGCCACAGTCTGACCACTTAGAAACAACCTGAGGATACCTGATGCCGGCTCGGCGTTCCGGCAGATTGGCGGCATTGTTTTCTAAAATCGGCTATTCCTGGCTCAGATTTTGATGTTTATGTTGGTCAGGTGATCCTGCTGGAGGCGGAGCCAACGAGCCAATCGTCCGTCGCTGAGCTCATACCCATCCCGTTTGAACAGTACCACAGTCCGCTGCTGGTGTTCAGGTCATACAGGTAGGAGCTGGTGATGAAGGCCTGAAAGGTCAAAGGTCACAGATGTTAGAGGTTCTGGTTCTGTTGCAGGTTCAGTCCATACTACAGAACCAAGGAGAAGCTGTCCCTCAGCTCTGTGACCTACAGCAACGCCATCGAGCCGAACAAGTGCTTCTGCCGCTTCGACCTGACGGGGACCTGCAACGACGACAGCTGCAGATGGTGAGACTGCACGTTTGTTGTCTCATTCCGACCGCGTCCTCGCTAACTTCCTGTGTCCCCGCAGGCAGCACATGAGGAACTGCACGCTGACCGGAGACCAGCTCCTCCAGGACATCCTGTCCTACAGCCTGGTTCTGATTGGCTGTTGTGAGAGCAGCTCAGACCAGGAGGTTGGTACTGCCACAGGTAGGGGCTTTTGGGTAAAGCATCAACTGTTGCTCACATGTTGGAATAGAACCAGAACCAGAACCTTGCTGTGTTATGCAGAGAGTTACATGAAGAAGCTGTTTGGTCCCAACAAAGGCCGCATGGGGGTGGACCAGAAGGCCGTCCTCCTCGTCAGCAAGGTCAACGAAAGCAAGCGACACGGTTGGTGGGCGGCCCCATACCTCGTGACCCTCAGCCGCTGGTCTCTAATCCTGATGTGTTTTCGCTGGTTCCTCAGTTCCTCCGTTCACCACCTGCAAAGACACGAGGAGGTGGAGGCCAAAGCCATGGGCTCAGAGCGGTACCGGCCCAGATGAGCTCGGCAGCGAAGAGGCAGCTGCTGTAGACCTGAAACCTGCAGGAGTCGGTGAGTTGGCCTCAGTTTCTGTGTTCTTCCCCTGATTTTCACACCATCCACCTTCTTCTGACTCCTCCCCTCTATGATTGACAGATGACACCCTGAAGAGCAGCTCGCTTGTGTTGGATGTCATCACGTCGGAGGATCGGCGGTACTTCACCAGCGAGACGGACGACATCTCAAATCTGGAGGCGAGTGTTCTGGAGAGTCCCGAGGCTACTCAGCTGTGGATCAAACTGGCCTTCAAGTACCTGAACCAGAGTGAGATGTGAGTTTACCCACACAGCTGATCTGGTCCGGGTTGGTTCTGGTCTGGAGTCTAACGGTGATGCTGGTTACCTGCAGCCCTGCGGCAGAGGGTCTAGAAGCTGCTCTGAACACACTGTCTCGGGCTCTGGAGAGTAACTGTGAGGACCCGGAGGTGTGGAGTCACTACCTGCTGCTGTTCTCCAGGCGAGGCAGCAGAGAGGAGGTCCAGGAGATGTGTGAGATGGCTGTGGAGCATGCACCTGACCACAGAGTGTGGTGGAACGTAGGTCCAAACGGGCTTCACCTCATTACAGGCTTTACTTCTCACACCAGGCTACATGATGCATTCATCACAGTCCAAACCTTATTTTCTCCTACAGTTTGTCATTTTTCACATCTGAAAGGTGTGTGTGTGTGTGTGTGTGTGTGTGTGTGTGTGTGTGTGTGTGTGTGTGTGTGTGTGTGTGTGTGTGTGTGTGTGTGTGTGTGTGTGTGTGTGTGTGTGTGTGTGTGTGTGTGTGTGTGTGTGTGTGTGTGTGTGTGTGTGTGTGTGTGTGAGACATCTGGAAGTGGTGTGTGTGAGTGAGTGAGTGAGTGTGTGAGTGTGAGAGAGACATCTGGAAGTGGTGTGTGTGTGTGTGTGTGTGTGAGACATCTGGAAGTGGTGTGTGTGTGTGTGGTGGGTGGGTGGGGGGGACTGACCAGAACCACACAACCCTGGCCCGACTCTGGGAAAAGCTTCTGAGCTTGGTGCTGAACTTGTAGCTGGTCTGACGGGTCCATCCAGCTGGATCGGGTCTCATGACTGGTTCTGGTTCTGCCCCTCAGTACTTGAACCTGGAGAGCACCTTTGAGGGGAAGGACTACGTCTGCGACCGGCTGCTGCGGTTCCTTCAGGCTGAGGCGTCTTCAGGCGTGACGGAGAAACTGTCCTTCCAGCTGATGGAGGTTCTGCTCTACAGAGTTCAGTTGAGTCTGTTTTCAGGAAGGATGGAGAGCGCTCTGGCTCTCCTACAGGTAAACACACCTGAGTCTCACAGATGAGTCGGAGTGTTGGACTTGTGCTGACTGGATGGTGTGTTTTGTTTCAGACGGCGTTAAAGTCTGCTGAGGACCACAGCGTGGCGGATCACCTGACAGCCAGCGACCGGGCGCTGCTCTGGCTCTCCTACATTCACCTGACCGAGTTTGACCAGCTGCCATCCAGCCTGTACGACCCGGCAGAATCCGGCCCGGCCCGGCTGGTCTGCACAAAGCCCTTCATGTTGCCATGGCGGAAGGCTGAGGACATCAGCACGCCACCCGACATCCTTGTGGCTCTGTTTAAAGGTGTCATAGAACCACAGAGGATCCATAGAGTGTCATTTGCCAGGTTCTCATGTTGGGTTGCTGTTTCAGATGCGATCCGTCAGTGCAGTGAGGACATCCTGTCCCCCAGCGAGGGCACGCTGGCCTGCATGCCACTGCACACCAACCTTCTGTTCCTCTACAAACTGTTGCAACGGTGAGCCCTGTGCGACCTCATGTCGCCCTGCACAACCCCATGTGACCATAACTCATTCACTGCCAGCTGGTTCCTGATCAGAAAGCCCTTCACTGGCGGCGTTTTTCTGCATTTGCACTGTTTTTTAAGAGCCACAGAACATTGCGCGCTAGGATGATGTCAACGCCAAAACAAAGAGTAGACTCGCAACTCGAGCGTTATCCGTTCTTTCACAATCCCTCGTCGAATTGTGATCGGCAGAAGCTTTTCCGGTTCGCGCCTCACTTTTTTTGCAGCAGCGGCCCAAAACGACCTCCTAACACATGGATGTTCTGCTTCCTGATCACGCAGATCGGCTTTAGAGCTGGGATGTTTGTTCTCACGGTGGGGGGGCTCGTTCCGACGCCCACACAGTAAAAACATGCAGACGACGACTTTAGTCGTGAATGAGTTTCCCCACATGACAATGCACAACCCTACTTGACCCTGTATGACCTTACATGACCCGTGTGACCTCGTTTGACTGAGTGTTTGTGTTGGTGATGGAAGGTGTGCGCTTGCATGAGTCAGGTCAGCACGTTTGGGGGTGAGGGTGGGGTGGGGGTGGGGTGAGTGTGCGGCTGGCTGTGGAGGGTTTTTGGACAAATGAGGAAGGAGAGCGATTGGCGCCACAAGAACAGGCGACGACGAAGGCTTTGAGACATGCATAAAGAACGGAGCCGAGCTCGACAGAAGGTAGATGAGCTGTTGGATCAGAAAAGTACAGGATCATCCTGCTGATAGCAGGGTCATCGGACTGAAGTTCGTCCTCAGAAAGAGCGGTTGAACAATCAGAAGGTTGAGGGCGTACGCGTTGGCAGCTTGAGCCCGAGTCACGACCGATGGTCGCGACACACACCGACAGCTGCACCTTGTTTGGCGAGAGAGTCTGTAAGGTCGTTCATTTCCTCATCAGTTCCGGGTGGTGGTGTAGGAATCCTTACTTTAGGGCTTGTGGTTAATCCACAGTCCAAGCAGTCAACTGAAAGAGTTTTTATATTTTAGTAGAAGTTGCCGTAGTTTGTCCCGCTCGATCTCATTCGTAAGAGCATCTGCTTGGCCCACGACCTGTTCAATGAGAACGACAACATCCGAGGGTAGCGGGTCTTCAACACCCGCCCAAAGTCCGACTCAATTTGTGTCGAGTCTACGCTTCCTTGTACGAAGATCCCCGTTCAGATCCAGGGGTCACGAGGTCGGGATGGACACTGCCGGTTGCATGGACCTCTAGGTACCAGGAACTCGTAGATTAGCTCCGATACGACCCGTCTAGTCTTGAGAGATCTTCTGGTCACGACAGGAAGCTGGAATGCTTGTTTTGCGTCTGAGGCTGTTTGGTGAGGCTGTTTGGTGAGGCTGGTGGCTCTCAGAAGAGCCGTTGTGTCTGAAATCACTCGCAAACGTTGCAGAGAGGCTTTAACCTGAAGAGAAGATGGTTTCAAAATGCTTTTTCACCGATTTGGCCGGACCGGGAGTCCGCTAGGATCTGAATTGGTTCCTGAAACAATTCTGTTTTTTCACCTGCCTTAGTTATAAATTAGGCAAATCAGAATTTGACACATTTGAGGGCGTTACCAAAAATACCTCAGAAGTCACTCCTTCCCTCAGAGACTTAAGCGGTTTGTTCTCAGTGTGAAGTGGAAATCTCTAAACACTTTTGTGAATGTTAAACATGAATAATAATCTTATTATAATGAGTATACTGATAGATTAAGGCCGGCCGCTGCTCCTCAGTTCAGACCAGACGCTTGTTTCTCCGCTCCGGTCGAGGCGCGCCTCGTAGTTTTTCTTTTAACCACTTGGTGTCCTCCATGTCCTCTCCGCCTTTGCCCTTTTCCTCGACACCCCCCTCCCCCTTGCTGTTTTTGTGTGTGTTTGTACGTGTGTGTGTGTGTGTGTGTGTGTGTGAACCAGTTAATAGCTGACGTATGACTTTCTGCCTCTCTGTCCTGTTTGCTCCGGTTGAAAGACACCCAAAAGCACACCCCCTTCACGTGGTCACACACAAGTTCGCTGTGTGTGTGTGTGTGTGCTCGTGGTTTTTATGCAGTGTCTGTTTACGAACACATTTGACTATGGCGGAATTGTATTTTGAAATGCTTTATTTTGTTAAATTTACCGGCCTGCCTCTTATGTCTAGGTTTGACTTCCTGCCAGAATTGACGCGGTTCACCCGCGGCTCGCAAAGAAAATAGAGCAGACGCCGGAACGATCGCTGCACGGCGCGGGCTGGAGACTGAGGCGCACAGCGCATGTACGGCCATAACATAAGATAATTAGACAGAAAGACACTACACGGAGGTTTTTCGTTGTTGTTTTAATTCAACAAAACGAATTTTAAACACGGGTGAACGTGCCTGCAAGTTTAGAAAAGAAAACAGCGCTGATAGCATTCATATTTCTGGATGTTATAAAATAAAAACAGCACTGACACGTTATTACCGGTAATTTGCATGTTTAGAAGAAAAGAACAGCGCTGACACAGCATTAATAAGCCCTAAAACTGCACACAAAACATGCCTGGTTAGTAAATAAAACACACTTGCCTACCAGAAAAAGTCATTCGCTCTCATCTTCCTCTTGCGCATTAAAGCCGTTAAAGTCCTCTTCTTCAGTGTCGGAGTTGAACAGCCTCAGAAGAGCTTCGTCACATACCTTTTCTGTGGCGATGTCATCATCCCGGGTGAAGCTGGCTTGAATGAGTTCTTCCCGCTGCCGTCTCCAGCGCCGAACCATGGATTCATTCATGCCAAGCTGACGTGCGGCAGCACTGTTTCCCTCCTTTACTGCCAGATCGATGGCCTTCAACTTAAATGCGGCATCATACAGGTGCTGGCCAGTAAATTAGAATATCATCAAAAGGTTGAAAATATTTCAGTAATTCCATTCAAAACGTGAAACTTGTACATTATATTCATGCAATGCACACAGACCAATGTATTTCCAATGTTCATTACATTTAAATTTGATATTCATAAGTGACAACTAATGAAAAATCCAAATTTGGTATCTCAAAAAATTAGAATATTCTGAAAAGGCTGAATATAGAAGACACCTGCTGCCACTCTAATCAGCTGATTTACTCAAAACACCTGCAAAGGCCTTTAAAAGGTCTTGTTTTGAAGGCACCACAATCATGGGGAAGACTTCTGACTTAACAGCTGTCCAAAAGACAATCATTGACACCTTGCACAAGGAGGGCAAGACACAAAAGGTGATTGCTAAAGAAGCTGGCTGTTCGCAGAGCTCTGTGTCCAAGCACATTAACGGACAGGCGAAGGGACGGAAAAAATGTGGTAGAAAAAAGTGTACAAGCTCTAGGGATAACCGCACCCTGCAGAGAATTGTGACAACAAACCCATTCAAAAATGTGGGGGAGATCCACAAAGAGTGGACTGCAGCTGGAGTCAGCGCTTCAAGAACCACCACGAGGAGACTCATGAAAGACATGGGATTCAGGTGTCGCATTCCGTGTGTCAAGCCACTCTTGAACAAGAAACAGAGCAAGAAGCGTCTCGCCTGGGCCAAGGACAAAAAGGACTGGACTGATGCTGAGTGGTCCAAAGTTATGTTTTCTGATGAAAGCAAGTTCTGCATTTCCTTTGGAAATCAAGGACCCAGAGTCTGGAGGAAGAGCGGAGAAGCACAGAATCCACGTTGCATGAGGTCCAGTGTAAAGTTTCCACCGTCAGTGATGGTGTGGGGTGCCATGTCATCTGCCGGTGTTGGCCCACTCTGTTTCCTGAGGTCCAGGGTCAATGCAGCCGTCTACCAGGAAGTTTTAGAGCACTTCATGCTTCCTGCTGCTGACCAACTTTATGGGGATGCAGACTTCACCTTTCAACAGGACTTGGCACCTGCACACAGTGCCAAAACCACCAGCACCTGGTTCAAGGACCATGGTATCCCTGTCCTTGATTGGCCAGCAAACTCGCCTGACCTTAACCCCATAGAAAATCTATGGGGTATTGTGAAGCGGAGGATGCAATACGCTAGACCCAACAATGCAGAGGAGCTGAAGACGATTATCAGAGCAACCTGGGCTCTCATAACACCTGAGCAGTGCCACAGACTGATCGAGTCCATGCCACGCCGCATTACTGCAGTTATTGAGGCAAAAGGAGCCCCGACTAAGTATTGAGTGCTATACATGCACATTCTTTTCATGTTCATTCTTTTCAGTTGGCCAACATTAGAGAAACAAACATTTTTTCATTGGCCTTTAGAATATTCTAATTTTCTGAGATACCAGATTTGATGTTTTCATTAGTTGTCACCTATAAATATCAAATTTAAATGTAATGAACATTGGAAATACATTGGTCTGTGTGCATTGCATGAATATAATGTACAAGTTTCACGTTTTGAATGGAATTACTGAAATATTTTCAACCTTTTGATGATATTCTAATTTACTGGCCAGCACCTGTATGAACTCATACGTGTAGTTTCCATGATGAGGGGGTGTGGATTTGAAAATAATTCTTGGTTGTGCCGGCTGCTTGCATGTGCTAAATTAAAATGAGCACTTTCTTCGATTTCCACTTTTGACTTCCACCTGTTTTACTTTCTGCTAAAGCGCCCCCTGCAGGTGAAGGAAAATCTTCAGTAAAGCGGCACCTCATTATAAGCCGCATGGTTCAAAGGGTGGGAAAAAAGTAGCGGCTTATAGTCCGGAAAATACGGTACCTCTCTCATATTTCTATCTTCTTTTGCACCAAGTAGCAACTTCCTAATGATGTGATTTCTCACACGTGGAAAGAAACCCTTCTGAGTCCTGCTATCTGTCACTCCCCCTCCAAGGAGGAGAACAGAGGAGGTCCTGGGGGGGGGGGGGGGGGGGGGGGGTAAGGTGTTATCTAGGGAGGAAAGGTCGGTAGGGGCAGCCATCTGGACTTATATGTTTATTTGCAGACGCTTTTTTCCTAAGCGACTACAACTGTTAACCTGTTGGGCGTGTTGTGATCTGTGGGGGAAACCCACACATGCATGTACGGGGAGAACATGCAACTCCACTCAGAAAGACAGCAGCCCGGGTTTGAACCTGCAACCTTCTTGCTGCAAGGCAACAGTGCTGAGATTTGAAGACAGGTGATGTGATGGTGTCTTCTATCCGTGCAGGTACGAAGAGGGCGTGGCTCTGTGCTCGTCTCTTCTGGACTTGTGTCCGGACTCGTTCCTTCTACGTGACGCACTCGCTGACCTGTACATCAGCCACGGAAACCCGGAGCAGGCGGTCAACATGTGGCTTCATGCTTTAGCAGAGTGTCCCCACGACGCTCGGGTGTTCTACCACTGCTGCAGGTTCCTCATGGGTCAGGTGAGCTCACCCGTTCATGATGGCTTTTTCAGCCCCACATCCTCAGTGCTCAGATCCTCTAAACCCAAACGGGGTCCAACCCAGACGAGCCATCAGAATCTGCTTGGTCCAGGTCTGGCTCAGACCTGGTGCTGCTTCAGTCAGCCAGTCTTTATATTTATTTTTTCACCCTCATTGTTTGATCTTCTGAGCAGGACAAGTCTGGTGCCATTCCTCCTCTGTTCCGAGGGTTCATCCTGTCCCTCTGTGAGGACGAGCAGAGTCAGAGGACACCTGTGGACATCCTGCGGTTTGTGGAACCCGTCAGCAGACATGGATCCCTCTGATCCCAGAAGAACACTAACATCACTTTGCTTTCAGGCACATCCTGGGCTTTCCCACTGAGGAGCTGCTGACTGGTCCCATCATTAGGAAGGAGCTGAAGGAGCAGCTGAACCAGCAGATCCCTTACCTCCACCTGCTCCACTGGTGAGCCGAGTCCTTCAGAGAGACGGCGCCGAGGCTGTGTGATGGAAGGATTTTTTTTATTATAGGGCCTCTCAGAATAAAACCCTGAAGTGCTTTAGAAGAACAAATTAAAATGTGATTAAAAACATCCTAAAAAAAACTGCTCATCATGGAAGGCCCTCACCCTACGGGCCTCGTGGAGGCTTCGAGTCCGTGGTACACAGGTGAGCCTCACCGGGACAGGCAGCACAGCGTCGCCCACCTCCACGCGGCTTTGTCAAGCCTTTTGAAATGAAACTGATGTAGAAATCGTTTCCATGTATGTTTGAGATGGGCTGTGTCACACGGGTGCTTAAAGTGAATTTAACCCTGCGCCGGGGCATGTTTTAGTGGTTTCTCAGCTCCAACACACCTGTGCAGCAGCTCATCAGGCTCTGCAGAAGCCTGTTAATCACCTGCTGGAGCAGGGTTACAACTAAAACCTGCTGGATACCGGCCCTCCAGGCCCAGAATTGAATACCACTGCCCTACGCACTCGCACCCTTCGAGGGGGGTGGGGGTGGAAGTGCGAGTATTGGGACAGGGCCAACAAGACGGCTAAAGCTGCATCCAATGTGGATATTGAAGTTCTTCCTGTTTGTGTTTCAGTCGCTGGATGTGGCTGCACAGCTCCACAGACCAGGTAGTGGAGGCCTTTGAGAGGGGACTGGGCTCAGTGCAGCAGGAGGAGGAGCTACACACGCTGTGGATGGAGTACGGGCTTACCTGCTGCAGGATGTCTCGCCTGTTACAATGGTCTGACTGTCCTCTTGACTCCTGTCTCTGCTCCTACCTTAGCTACCTGCTGTTCAGCAGCAGTCCCAAGGCCTGCAACACCTCCCAGAGGCTTTTCCCAGACTTGGTCCAGCGCTGCCTCAGCACGGTTCCGACCCGGCTGCAGATTCCCTTCAACCCGGCAGAGTTCTGGAGCTGCTACACCTTCCACAACCAGGTGAGCAGTTTGGCTTTTCTGTGTCAGAAGTACTCGGCTCCACCCAGCGTAAGGGAGGCCCCACCTACTTTCTCATTAGGGTCAGCAGTAGCTCCAGAGGCAGAGTGGGGTGTCCAGTAATCGGAAGGTTGCAGGTTCGATCCCGGCTCCGACCAGAGTGGTGGTCGGAGGGACTGGTGGCGCCGGGGTTCGGCAGGCCTCGCCTCTGTTTAATGATGATGGTCGTTCTAGGTGGTGTCTCTCTACCTGAAGTTTGTGCCTCAGTCTCAGAGAGCTTTGGTTCTGGAGAGGCTTCGATGTGCCATGCCGACCAACACCGAACTGGGTCTTAGGTATGTACACACACACACACGCACACACACACAAATGCTTTTGCTGTGAAGCACCTAGGGAAGACCCTGCAGAACCAGGGAGTCTTCGATCTTTAGCAACGTGTAGAAGAAAAGGGACATTTCCAACTTTGATCAGGGACGCTCCGATCCGGATTGACAGAAATAAATTAGATAAAACCTTTTAAAACAACAAACATGACATTTCAAATTCCTCCTGAGATTTTCATATAGAATAGCAACGGCTTAGTTTTAATTTCAGGAAGTTCCTCTACGTCGGTGTTACAGTTTCTCATACAAGAACAACAGAGTGATTTATGCTTCTCTGTCTGCGTCAGTGCGGAGACACGCAACGCCATTATCCGTCCTTGCGTAGGGCACACAAGTACGTACAGAGTCGAGCCCACTTTTTTAAACATCCGTCGAACGAGACTGATTACGCAAGCTTGTGATTGGTCAGGACGCCGCTGTTGTTTACAGCGCCGCCATTGCAAAGAGAGCCGAGGATAACTAGCGGCAGACACGGAGAAGCTTGAAGAATACCTCGCGAAAAAACTCTAAAAATATGAACGTTTCATCCTCCCGTGACTGGAGGAGTGAAAAGATGCACAGCAAGCGTTTTATTTGTGGACGGAAATGACAGGAAACGTGGGTTTAGAGGTGGGGAGCACATGAAGAGGTGGAGGAGGATGAGAGACAAATTTGTCTGTTAAAAAGTCTCTTATATACAAAAAACCACAATATCAACACTGTCTTGGACCGATTCATGACAGGATACCACAGAACAGCGCTACGCCCTCTGTTGTCCTGCCGGGCAATTGCTTTGCAACACTCCCCAGGAGACGGAGAAGTATGAGAGCAAAACTCTTCCGTCAATCCGTGCGTGTCTGTCCCTTGCGGAGCTGACGGAGAAGCATAAACCAGGCTTAATGTCACACGATTAACAGCAGGCAGGGACTCCAACACCAAGATGCAGCTGCTAGCTAGCAGGCTAACAGAGCTAACGTGTCTCCTCAGGAGAGCTAAAACATCTGCAGCTTGGAGGTATTTTAAACTGGACAGAGAAGGCGGAGCTACAGACACTTGTAATGTTTGCGTTCTGGCCCTCAAACTGACTACTTTCACATTCAGCTTTTCCCTTCGGGCGTCAAAGCGAATCACTGGTCTCCATTAAGTCCCAGTTTGCCACCAACAGAGAAGATATGAGAAATTGTCAACAGACTACAAAGCGTTGGGGCCTCTAGTTCTGCTGCAGCACCGGGGTGCACGGTAGCTGCAGGTGTCATGCAGGGAAAAGTTAGCCTGCCAGCCGAGGCTCCGCCTGCCTGCTCCATAACAGGAACGCGCATCGCTGGCTGCTGCATACTGAGGGAGTAAACAAATAAAAGTAACGCTGCTACTTTTAAATATTTTCATAATAAAAACAGGTTCTTTAATCTGTGCACTTTTGTGTTTTCTTCTTATTTTAATGTTTTCCTGAGATGTATGTAACCATGAGCCAAACATGACCGTAACATCCCTTGTTTTTCTTATTATTTGTTTTTTGTTGCTTCTCTATTTGTGTTTGTCTGAAAATCGTGAACGGAGCGTCCCTAAAACCTTTGTGTGGTAAAGTCTAGAGTCGACGAGAACCGAATGGATAGTTCTGTATGTTCTGGTTCTGGGGCCGTCCAGAAGGATCTGATGAGGCGGTGGGGGGTGAGCTGTGTTGTGTTGCTGTAGATGTGTTGTTGTTGTTGTCGTTTGTGCAGGTTGTGTCATCAGGAGTTTGTCAGAGGAAACTTGGAGCAGCTGAAGTTTCAGACCCGCTTGCTGAGCAGCAACGCTCCCAGATGTTTGTTCAGCTGGAGAATGTGAGTGAACACGCAGATGGGGTCAAAGGTCATCCTGACACCAATCCCAATTGTTTCTCCTCCAAACCTGAGTGGATCCTTGATGTTCTCTGATTGGACGCTTCTGGCACATATGGGTTTGTACTCCGTCTGGATTGGAGCTGATCAGCTGTTTGTGGTGTTTGTGTTTAGAGCCATCGCCGTGGCGCGGGAGCTGAAGGAGCCGAGCCAGGTGAGTCCATGATCTGGACAGGTGGGGGGGGGGGGGGTATCCAGGTAGTTTCTGTGTCATCTGTTCCTTCACTCATCCAGTCTGCAGAACACAAGATGTCAACAGGAAGCTGCACAGGTGTAACCACCAGGTGTCACCTGTGTGCTTCCTGCTGCAGACTGGCTGATGTGACTGGAGGAATGTCTGGAACACATCTGTCCCCTGCAGGTGTTACCTGTGTCCACACCAGTCTTCAGCCTCCAGCACTTTTCTTCTTCTCCTTTATTTCCTCTCTTTCTTCTTCTAGATGAGACTTCAGTATCAGCAAGCTCTGCAGAACCTCCCACTGTGTGCCGCCCTGTGGAAAGATGTAATTCCTGCGCTGTCTCTCACGCACACACACACACACACACACACACACACACACACACACACACACACACACACACACACACACACACACACTGGACTATCAGATCCTCTAGCACTGCTTAAAATAAGTCCACCTTCAAACTGTTCTGTCTGGTTCTGGGGTGATGACATACCTCATCACTAGAGGCACTCTCACAGGGTTCCACCTGTATGCTCACCTTTTTATCCTGATCCCCCCCAGTGGCTGCTTTTCGAGGCATCAGAGGGCGGAGCCTCAGAGCGTCTGCGGCGACTGATTGACCGCTGTCAGGAAGCGGGGGTCAGCGTGAGTGTCGTGGGGGTCGATCTGTGAACTGATTGGCAGTTGAACTGATCAGTGGGTAGCTGACTGATGAGGTAAGGTGACCCCCCCCCACCCCCCCACAGTGTCTGTAAGTATGAGCTGCTGAGTGGCACCTTGATGTTCATCTTCTTTAGTTGCTCTCACCTTTCAGTTGGACTCATTACCCTCCCTTTTTTATATCACCCACGTGAGGGGGCGGGGCAGCCCAACATGTTTTAACACCCCACCCACACGTTTTCAAGTTTTTCTTTGACTATATCAGGACTTTAATTTTGTTAAACTGATCAAACCATCGATAAATCCAGTATTGTGGCGGCGCACGGCCACCTGCCTGTGTGGTGTTTTCTGATTGGCTGAATGAATGTGATAGAGACTGCCTCAGATGGGGGATGCCACGGGACGCCGACGGGCTCAGCTGGACTGCTCATGTGCAATTTGTTGTTATAACTAACGAAACACTTGTTCTGTTGTTTTTTTGTACATCAAATGTGATTAAATTATTTTCTATAAAAATGAAGTGTTTGGAGTTTTTTTTTTTTTTGGTTGAAAATCTGTTACAGGGACTGGAATCATAACCTGACCTGAGCTCTGAGATGGTTCTGGATAAAAGACTTAATATTAGGCATGCATCGATACCTCTTCTTTCCAAACCGATACTTGGATCAGAGTACTCGCCGATACCAATACTTCTACCACACAAAAATACAGGTTTTATTTATTTTTTGATGTAGATAAAAAAAATATTCATAGAAATGATCACAAAACTAAAATATTAGCTGAACAGAAATGACAAGTTACAGTGAAGCCACTTTTAGGCAACTGCAATGGTATCGGTTCCCTCAGCAAAAAAAAGTGACTATCAGGAAGGGCCTTAGGCTTCCACCTTGGTAGGTCATGTGACCAGCCTCTGTCAGCAATAGCAGGAGTCTTACAGATGCACAAATATTTTCTCGATGCAAAGTCATCAATGGGGTCATCTTAGATGTTCTTGTGCCATGATGAGCCTCAGTTTGAGAAGCTTCTCCCAACAGAAGCAGCTGTAACAGAGAGCTAGGGTTCACGTCTAGCTTCAGCATCCACCCCGTTACCACCACAAATCCGTTCAAGCAGATGAAGTTTGTTTTGGTCTAAAAAGGAAAAGACACAACAAAGTTAGTGTAAATATGACTACAGCTCATGATCTGATTAGAATATAAAAAGAAAACACCCAAACAGACCAGAAGCCTGCAGAGGCCAGAATACCTCATTCATAGTTTTCCCAACTGGCTGACATAAATATATATTTAAAACTGAGATTCCAGCTGTTTGCTTTCGTAACCCTAATAAGTTCATGCTGATGACCCACATGAGCACTATTCCTCTGTGTAGTGCATGCAACTACATCATGAAGACAAATAAAACATTACTAATATGAATGACATGATATTGCCCCCACCATTTATCTGAGGGCAGGAGAGGATGATGATAAACGGCAACAGATGTGACACCACCAAAACTGACGAAGGTGAGCGGAAGTAGCTGAAACTCAACAAAATAAGGTAGAAACTTTGTTACTCTGTGTTGGACAAGAGCAGAAAACCAATGGAAACAGAAAAGAAACAATAAAAAGAACATTTAAGTTATTTTACATGAATTATAAAGGTACCCATTTAGCTGTTACTCTTAGTTATGGAGGGATGAAAGATGGGAGGGGTGGATGGATACCCAGCCTTTTAATCAAGCTTGTGTCAAAAATAATTAACTTGGCATTAAAGTTTAATTTAAAATATAGAACTTAATGTGAAGAAGTTCTGGAGAGTTGGATGATCTGTTTTTCGTGAGTTCCTCCTAATAAATCCTCCCCAGGTTGAACAAGGGCCAGTTCCCGCTGTAAAGTCAGATGATTGTGTAGAAATAAATAAATAAAAGGTATGAAAGTGCAACAAAAGTCTGATTCAGGACTAGGATGAGTTCTAGTTACACTCTATTAATGTTAAGCCAAACCTAATGTTTGAAAACCTTATGCTGTTTTAAATTTCAGTTCCTCTCCAATCATTTCATAGATTTCTAAAATAAAAATGGTGGTATTAATATTTTAACGTTCTTTCTGTGTGGTGATGTTTTAAGATTTCAACATGTTATATAAATGTTATGTTTTATTATTCATGATGAATTCATCATTTTAGTTCTGCTTAAAATAAAAATAAAGAAGCTATTTTGGAAATAAAGATGCGCTGACACGCTAGATCGTTTTTTCTGCCCAATATGGTGCCCCAGGCGAGATTATTTCTGGGCGCCCCCCCCCCCCCCCCTCCCTCAGTGATGTAGAACGATCAGGTTTTAAACACACCTGAGTAACAGGTGTTCAGTAACAGGACTTCAGCTGTAACTTGCTACAGAACTCACCTGCTGAAGCTGAGCTTCAGGTGAGGGGCGTTGATGATGATGCCTGCTGACTGACTTATATATTTCTTATGAATTATTATTATTATATTTACGGTAAAAGTGGCCCGACCTTTTACCGTAAGGCTTTGAACGCGTGCACTTAGCAAAATCGACTGAAGGCTCACTTTACCGTAAATCAGCAAGTGGAGGCTGGCTTTACCGCAGTCTCCAGGACATGTCTGTTGTGTTTAGAAAAGCATGTGTCTGTGTCTGTGTGAGTGTGTGTGTCTGAGTGTCTGTCTGTGTGTGTTTTTGTGTGTGTGTGTGTCTGTGTGAGTGTATCTGTGTCTGTCTGTGTGTGAGTGTGTGTGTCTGTGTGAGTGTGTGTGTCTGAGTGTCTGTCTTTGTGTGTTTTTGTGTGTGTGTGTGTCTGTGTGAGTGTATCTGTGTCTGTCTGTGTGTGAGTGTGTGTGTCTGTGTGAGTGTGTGCGAGTGTCTATGAGTGTGTGAGTGTCTGTCTGTGTGAGTGTGTCTATGTGTCTTTCTGTGTGAGTCTGTTTGTGTGTCTATCTGTGAGTGTGTGTTTATGTCTGGGTGTGTGTTAGTGTGTCTGTGTTTCTGTGTGTGTGAGTGTCTGTGTGTGTGTGCCTGTATGTCTGTGTGAGTGTGTCTCTCTGTGTCTCTGCGTGTGTGTGTGTGTGTATGAAATTCAAAGGAACAAACTTGTTTTTATCTAAAATGCATTAATATAAAAACTAAATGTCTGCCTGATTAAAAGAATCGGTGTGAACAACTTCCTCAGAAAAAAAAATATTGTTAGTTTAACCGGAAACAGTTTTTCTAACCGGAAGCTGAGATGTCAGCTTTGTTTTGGTTCCCGTCTATCACGTGATCCGCCATCGTCACGCGGAGAGCAGCAACATGGCGACAGACTCCGCGCTGAAGGTAAAAACAAGGAAGCTCGTGAGGGCGGACAGAGTTCGGGTTCAACCCCGGACAGAGTCCAGGCGGTCGGGCCTGGGCTCTGTCCGGGGTTGAACCTGAACTCTCCGTCCGAGCTCCGGACCCTCGCCGCGGGGTTAACTGTGGAGCTAACTGGGGTGGGGGTCACAGACCGCTCCTCTAGCTCGATTCCGGTTCTCCGGCTGTCAGCGAGCTGCGGGACATGATGCTCCGGATGGACAGCCTATAGAACCGGACTCGCGAGCAGGAGACAGCCACGTGACACCCCGCCGCAGCCTCAGGCCCGCGGAGGAGAAGATGCAACAAAGTGGTCCGACCGTCCGAGTCTTTGTTCCTGTGGGGAGGTTCCGGTTCCGGCCCAGGGTCTGACCCCTGCTGTTTGTCTCGCAGGTGATTTTTGAACACGAGGGTGTTTTCATCCATCCGAACACAGAGGAAGAAGGAACCGAACCGGATCTTCTGGTTTCAGGATCTCTTCGAATTCTCGAAAAGGTGAGACAACTTCTGGTACCACGTGATGATGCCGTCGTCATCCACTGGCGATGTGTTTGTTCAACCCTCAGTGGCCATGTCACGTGTCCTTCCATCATTGGGCTGATGTTCTGTAGCCGAAGAACTGAAACCTCTTGTCTGTCATTGTGGCAGGATGCTGAGGTTCTGGTGGACTTCCGTCCCCTGGAGGACCCAGTAGACCCATCCAACATGCTTTGTGCTGGACAGGTTGGACTCAGATTCATGATGGGATGATCTGAGAGTTTTCAGCTGATGCTAAGAGGTCCACTGTGTGTTTGATCAGGATTCTAGCTCAGTTGTGGAGTGGGCCCAGTGCCCCAAGGAGAAGCACCAGTCCCACCAGCTGCTGGAGACACAGCAGAGCTATGAGACAGAGTGGGACATGCTAAACGCCGTTTCCTTCCGGAAGAGGTCGAGTGCCAGAGGAGAAGGTGAGTCTGAAGTCCTCCTCCTGCATCAGGGCGTTAGTCAGGAAGTAGGCGTTACTTGAGAAGGTTTTCCAAACGTTTCCTAGCTAATTGGCTTCTGTCAGCTGGTGATGCGTGGATCACGTTCACGCTCGCTGCATCAGACACTGGCAGGTTTCTGACTTACAGAAGACAGTGGCTAACCCAGGAACTCACTCTCTCTTACAAAGTATTGATGGTGACTCAGTCCCAGTCGAGAATCAAGTCTTTACCCTGAGAATGGGAATGGAATTGAATGGTGACTTGTAGTAAGAGTCGCACTTGTGCACATGCATGTTTACACGTTTCTAACGTGTCCCTGCTTTGTCAGGCTTGCTGAACCACAGCCTGGAGAGGAGTCGCTGGGCGTTCTCTGTCAGCGTTAGTGACCTCAGGTCCATCACGGTGAAGGATGAAGGTTGGACCTTCGTCATCCTGCAGCAGAAGGAGCCCTCCACCTCCTTACCTGCCCTTCATTTCCACCAGGGCGGCAGCAGAGAGTTCCTGGATAACCTGAGGAGGTTTGCTCTTCTCACAGAGTAAGTCCCGCTGAGACTGTTTCAGGTCACCATGAGGTTGTTGGACTTTTACCCTGGAGGGGAGAGAGACTCGTTAACAAGTGTGGTTTGATGGTTTGATGCAGATGTTTTTGTTCTATTTGACTGGAGCAGAAGAAAGGAGCGTGTCCACGTCTGCAGAGGCGTGTTATTTATATGCTAATGCAGCGGTGGCATCTTCTGAGATGAAGCTAGATTATCAGCTGCTGTAGTTTTATTAAAGCTCTTATCTGCTGTGGAAGACTGCATCAGCGCCGGATGTACGGGCTGTCTCTCTCTCTCTCTCTCAAACACACACACTCATTTTGGTTCCACGTTGCAGGTCTCCTGAGGATGAGACATGCCTGGAGGTCAGCACCCCAAACAGAGCACTGTCCCAGTCCTTCGAGAACCTGCTGGATGACAACAGCTTTGGACTCATTCACGTAAGAACACAACAACCGGTCCGGTGCTGCAGAACCACCACCTGCCAAACAAAGACCTTTTGGGGTGGGTGGGGCTTAAGCGCTAAATGTTTTTTCTCACCTTGGCACCGAAAACGCAAATCTGACCTGTGTGTGAAACCAAATTCTGGTTCGGTACCATATGGGCCCGTGCCGACATTAGTGCCCGTGAGGAATCGGACCTCCGCATTCTGAACATTCTGTAGGTGGCTATGGGAGGTTGCATTAGACAGCAAATTGCAGGTTAAATCTTTTTATAATTCATATAAAAGACTATATGAAAAGCTTATTGTGGATATTTGGTTGTAAAATCCATAACAGCAGAGTTTTCTAGTAAAGAGTTCCTTTCTCTTGTTTCTGAATGTGAACCTCTGACGTAACCAAAGGGAGTTAGAAGCTAGGCTGCCTCAGCTCAGTCTGGAGAGTGGCTAGTTTTAGGGTAGAGAGGTCATGTGATCCAGTCGGTGAGTGTGTGTTTACCACTAGTGTTGGGTTGTGCTCATGTTGATAAACTAGAGTGTGTGAAGGCTGTACCAACTCCTGCCTGTCTGGACATCGAGTCCACGGGTTTACACGTCAGAGGAATAACGCCTCTATCTCCGTGCCTGACTCGGTACCGGGCCAGGGAGGTCCGCCCTGGGCTCCAGAGACCCGTGGAGGGGTTTAAAAGATTAAATGTGGATTTCTGGAGCTCAGATCACCGTCAGAACCAGGTCAGAACCAACCACCATGAGAGACGCGCAGCTCAGCGGACAGTAGAGCTGGTTTCTGGGTCGGAACCGGATCAGAACCGCCGCCTGGTCCACTAGCAGAGGATGCACGGCTTTTTACCAAGGCTGTGCTTACAGCTGGGGCTGAAACGCACAACAGCGATGGCATGTACGTTTAGGAAGCCACTGGAGATGGTGGCGTTTGAAAACAGCGTTTATTAGAGGGGTCAAATCCTTTAATGTAGGGCGACCATATTGCCATTTCCAAATCTGTGCCTACTGATGATGTCACACTACGGCAACGCCACACAAACCTTGTTGGGACCCATTTTTTTTCCAAGTGTAAGAGCTAAAGTTAATCAATCAATCAATCAATTGGACTTTATTGTCACTTCAGCCATATACGGTTTGTACACAGTGAGGCGAAACAACGTTCCTCCAGGACCAAGGTGCTACATGCAACATAAATTTACAACATAAAATAACAGGGAAAACACTAAACTATCTAATTAAGGACAGAACAGACTGACCTAATATGACACGACCTCTCCCAGTAGGTAGTGCAAAGGAAAAAAAACCTAAACATACTTAGTATGTAGATGGTGAAGGAACAGTAAACATGCAAAAATAAAGCATTAACTGGTTAATATTTAAGTCCAGCCTCCATTCTTTGAGGTAGTTGAGTTGAGCTTAGTGATAGAGTGTGTGCGTGTTTGTGTGCGTGTGTGTGTGAGTGTGTGTGCATGCGCGCGTTTTATCAGTCCAGTCCCTTTTTGTTGAGGAGACGAATGGCTTGTGGAAAGAAGCTGTTGCACAGTCTGGATGTGTGTGCCAGAATGCTTCGGTACCTAATTCCAGATGGCAGGAGTGTGAAGAGTGTGTGAAAGGTGTGTGACCAATCAGCCACAATGCTGGTGGCTTTGAGGATGCAGCGCGTGGTGTAGATGTCCTTAATTGAGGGGAGAGAGGCTCCGATGATGTTATCATAATATCAGATTATGCCAACAAAAGGGCTCTAAAACTATTCGTATGTAAATATTTAGCATATTTTGCACAGGTGTTTTTACTGTAGCATGATGGGAGTGGTTACTTTTACTGAATGATCAATAAGATGTGATGTTCCACGTAAATATGAATGATCAATCTGATTGGTCTGAATATTTGATTTAATATTGCCATGGGTTCTTTGGACTTCCTGGAAAACACACTTCATATGAATTCAGACAGGAAATAGTTTCTCTGAGCATTGGTTCAGCTCTCTGACTAGAAACATCTTCCAGACTCATTTCCCCGTAGAACCGGGTCAGGCTCTTACTGGACTTTTGTATTCTGTCTGCAGAAGTTTCGCCGCGACCCCTATGTGGCAACGTTTGGCGGTTTATCCAAAGTCACCAACTACATTTATGATGCTCTGCGGGGAGCCGAGGAACAGCAGCAGCAGCGTCCCCCGGAGGAAGTGGCTGACTTGTTGGGTGAAGTGATCCCAGGTTTGGAGATCAACCAGCAGGAGGAACCGGGCTTTGAGGTCATCACCAGGGTGAGTCACAGGTTTGTTGCTAAACGGGAGAATCAGCTGAAACTGTTACAGGAAATTGGTTTAAACTCAATCACAGGAGATGTGCAGAAGCCTGTGTGTTCATCATGTGTTCATAAACAAACAGCATTTCAGGTAATTGGCTTTAACGAGCTGTTACCACAGACGGGACCTTACTGTGCCCAGAAAATGTTCCTAGGGATGTTCTTCTGCTCAGCGTCAGACTCCCTCAAGCCAGCTGTGTATAGCTGACGTTTCCCCGTCTCCTTTACAAGAACGTCTCCTTCCGCCAGACCTCCAGCGTTCAAGGCTGGCAGAAACGGGCATCCGTGCTGGTGTAACCCCCACGAGTCTGCATATTTCCACTCACACACTTGAACGAGGTTCAGCGGGTTGTCCAGTAATCAGAAGGTCGCAGGTTCAATCCCAGCTCTGACCAGAGAATGCTGCTGTTGTGTCCTTGAGCAAGGCACTTAACCCCCCTTGCCTGCTGGTGGTGGTCAGAGGATCTGTGGCAACCAGCGCTCAGCAGCCTCGCCTGTGTCAGTGCGTCCCAGGGCAGCTGTGGCTACATGGTAGCTCATCCCCACCTGGGTGTGAATGGGTGAATGATTGGGTTGTGAAGCGCCTTGGGGGGTTGTAGAACCCTAAGAAGGTGCTGTACAGCTACAGGCTAGTTACCGTTTTTTTAACTCTGGCCGTCCAAATGACAACGGGATGACTCACTGACCCTCCATGCTGATGACGGCGGTATGAAGGTGTCTAGTTTTGGGTAATTCGATCCTCCAACTACGGGTCACTGTCTGGCAGGAAGTTGTCCCACTTTCAAAATAAGAGGGCTATAATTTTCATCATAGGTGAAAGTCAGTGTTTTTATAACAATTTATTTGTATTAAGGTTCAGAAAATATGTATTTAGCCCACCTGCAAATGCAGCAGTCATGTGACTCATGGTGATGTCATCTGGAACTGTGACAGATTGACCTGGGAATGAGGCCACAGGTGACCCGCTGTGAGCCGCTATCTGCAGACAGATGGAGTAAACATCTGGACATGGAGGGCAGGGTGCAGGACGTTGACCAGCTCAAACACGAAGTCTTCAAGGGGGCAAGTTGGGCTAGCACACAAACGGCAGCACAACACCTGCTGCGGTGTTACTTGGTGCTATTCACAACCTGTGCTCACCTGCAGGGCCTCTGTCACGCCGTACGGAAGGAGCTGTGGAAGTTCCTCTTGGGATATTTTCCTTGGAGCAGCACGTCAGAGGAGAGGAGGTGTCTGCAGCGTGTCAAAATGTACAAGTAACACACGTCACACCCAGGTCATTCACGGGGCAGTCACGGGTCATTCACGGGTTATTCACACGTCACACCCAGGTCATTCACAAGTCATTCACAGGTTATTCACAGGTCATTCACGGGTTATTCACACGTCACACCCAGGTCATTCACGGATCAGTCACTGGTCACTCACAGGTCATTCATGGGTCATTCACAGGTCATTCATGGGTCATTCACGGGTTATTCACACGTCACACCCAGGTCATTCACGGGTCAGTCACTGGTCACTCACAGGTCATTCATGGGTCACACCCAGGTCATTCACGGGTCAGTCACTGGTCACTCACTGGTCATTCATGGGTCATTCACGGGTTATTCACACGTCACACCCAGGTCATTCACGGGTCAATCAAAGGTTATTCACGGGTCATTCATATGTCACACCCAGGTCATTCGCAGGTCACTCACGGGTCATTCACATGTCACACCCAGGTCATTCATATGTCATTCACGGGTTATATACACGTCTCACCAGGTCATTCACACGTCACACCCAGGTCATTCACACGTCACACCCAGGTCATTCACGGGTCATTCACAGGTTATTCACGGGTCATTCACAGGTTATTCACGGGTCATTCACAGGTTATTCACGGGTCATTCACATGTCACACCCAGGTCATTCACGGGTCATTCACAGGTTATTCACGGGTCATTCACATGTCACACCCAGGTCATTCATATGTCATTCACGGGTTATTTACACGTCTCACCAGGTCATTCACACGTCACACCCAGGTCATTCACACGTCACACCCAGGTCATTCACGGGTCATTCACAGGTTATTCACGGGTCATTCACAGGTTATTCACGGGTCATTCACAGGTTATTCACGGGTCATTCACATGTCACACCCAGGTCATTCACGGGTCATTCACAGGTTATTCACGGGTCATTCACATGTCACACCCAGGTCATTCATATGTCATTCACGGGTTATTTACACGTCTCACCAGGTCATTCACACGTCACACCCAGGTCATTCACACGTCACACCCAGGTCATTCACGGGTCATTCACAGGTTATTCACGGGTCATTCACAGGTCATTCACGGGTCATTCACAGGTCATTCACGGGTCATTCACAGGTTATTCACGGGTCATTCACAGGTTATTCACGGGTCATTCACAGGTTATTCACGGGTCATTCACAGGTTATTCACGGGTCATTCATATGTCATTCACGGGTTATTTACACGTCTCACCCAGGTCATTCACACGTCACACCCAGGTCATTCACGGGTCATTCACAGGTTATTCACGGGTCATTCACATGTCACACCCAGGTCATTCACATGTCATTCACGGGTTATTTACACGTCTCACCCAGGTCATTCACAGGTCATTCACGGGTCATTCACAGGTTATTCACGGGTCATTCACACGTCACACCCAGGTCATTCACACGTCACACACAGGTCATTCACAAGTCATTCACGGGTTATTTACACATCTCAACCAGGTCATTCACGGGTCATTCACAGGTCATTTACGGATCATTCGCACGTCACACCCAGGTCATTCAGACGTCACACCCAGGTCATTCACACGTCACACCCAGGTCATTCAGACGTCACACCCAGGTCATTCAGACGTCACACCCAGGTCATTCACACGTCACACCCAGGTCATTCACGGGTCATTCACAGGTCATTCACGGGTCATTCACAGGTCATTCACGGGTCATTCACAGGTCATTCACGGGTCATTCACAGGTCATTCACGGATCATTCGCACGTCACACCCAGGTCATTCACAACAGCTAGCTCTCGCCAAAATAAAACAGACTTAGATAATAAGTACATAGCAGTTAGGATCAGCTCAGTGGTCTAGTGGTGTGAGTGTCCATCCTAACATGGAGACATCGTGGGTTCAAATCCACGGTTGGGTCTTGAATTCAAACTCTGATGTGCTTTTAACTTTAACAATTACTTTCTCTGGAGCTTCCTGCTGGACAGATGTGAGGTGCATCGTTTTCATCATTTACAGATCACTGCTGCAGATGTTTGAGATGGGACTTTTTTACAAAAGTGTGTGTGTGTGTGTGTGTGTGTGTGTGTGTGTGTGTGTGTGTGTGTGTGTGTGTGTGTGTGTGTGTGTGTTACTGCCTACAGTGATGAATACTTCAGGATGAAGCTGCAGTGGAAATCAGTCAGTGAAGAGCAAGAGAGAAGAAACTCCAGACTTAGAGACTTCAGAAGTCTGATCGGTGAGATGTGTCTTCATTGCCATCTTCATGAGTGTGATGGGTCCTGACCTTTAACCTTTAGCAGCAGGTTAAGCCAATTCTAAACCTGCTGAAACAGAAACTCCTTAAAGTGGTTTGTTGTTTGGGCATTTAGGTGCTTTGCTAGCAATGACCTCGTCCAGGTGCAACAAAGATGTTTATAGTGGTGCACATCTCCAGGTGATGATGGGGCTTTCCCACCAGAACGCCACTCACTCACTCACTCACTCACTCACTCACTCACTCACTCACATATGACAGATGTGATGATTTGTGTTTCTTGTGAAACCTGATGGAGGTTGTGTGATGATGCTGGTTTCAGAGAAAGACGTGGACCGGACGGACCGAACGAACTGGTTCTATGAGGGTCTGAACAACCCGGGCCTGACTCTGCTGCATGACATCTTGATGACCTACTGCATGTATGACTTCGACCTGGGTAAGAGCTTCAAACACACTTCGTTTCTGTTTGCATGTTCTCCTGAGAACCAGTGCCCCGCCTCTGTCAGTGCGCCCAGGGCAGCTGTGGCTGCATCGTAGTTCATCCCCACCAGGGTGTGAATGAGTGAATGATTGTGTTGTGAAGCGCCTTGGGGGGTTGTAGAACCCTTAGAAGGCTCTATACAAACAAAGGCCATTTATCATTGACCAAAAAGTGCGGACACTCTTCTCCCCGTCTGTCAGGTCAGAGAGAACGTGGTGGTCAGTTAGATTATGTTCAGGGTTCAGCAAAGTTCATGGACCTGTTTGTGTGGGGAGACAGACCGACCACCCCACATAACCAGGTAACCGGTGCGGTGGCCTGCAGCTGCCAAATAAACCCTAATTCTTTCCTAACTGGCTGATATGAGTCAACACATTTACTATATTATACTGATGAACTATATGATGTGGTTATGAGTTAACCTTACAGGATAACCCATCCATCACCCATTTTCAGCCGCTTATTCGGAGTCGGGTCACGGAGGCAACAGCCTAAGTCGAGAGGCCCAGACTTCCCTCTACTCAGCTACTTGGACCAGCTCCTCCGGGTCAGTCCCAAGGCGTTCCCTGGCCAGGTGAGAGACATAGTCCCTCCAACGTGTCCTGGGTCTTCCCTTGAGTCTCCTCCCAGTTGGACTTGCCCAGAAAACCTCATCAGGAAGGCGTCCAGGAGGCATCCTGACCAGATGCCCGAGCCACCTCAACTGGCTCCTCTCGATGTGGAGGAGCGGCGGGTCTACTCCAAGCCCCTCCCGGATAACCGAGCTTCTCACCCTATCTCTAAGGGAGAGCCCAGCCACTCTTCAAAGAAAACTCATTTCGGCCGCTTGTATCCGTGATCTCGTTCTTTCGGTCATTACCCAAAGCTCATGACCACAGGTGAGGGTAGGAACGTAGATCCACCGGTAATTCAAGAGCTTTGCCCTCTGACTCAGCTCTCTCTTCACCACGACAGACCGGTACAACGCCCGCATCACTGCAGACGCAGCACCAGTACACCTATCGATCTCACGCTCCAGCTTTCCCTCACTCGTGAACAAGACCCCGAGATACTTGAACTCCTCCGCTTGGGGCAGGACCTCATCCCTGACCCGGAGAAGGCATTCTACCCTTTTCTGATTTAACTGGGATTTTATGGGATGACTGACTAACTTAAACCCCTCGTCTCCCAACATTCTCTCTCTAAAACTCGGTCATTAATCATCTTTGTTAAATTCATTCTGACTTTTTGTCTTCTTGATACTTTTTGTCTGATTCCCATTTATACAGAGTAGTAAAAGTTGTATTCCCTACCTTTGAGTTTCCTTCCTGTTACCTTCGTCAGATTGTCATCGGTGTTATCGGTACTCTTCCATTACTGTCTTCCTCCATGGCCCTTATCCTCCTCTTCCATGTATGGTCCAACGCATAGACCTCGTCTCTGTCCATGGTCAACAGCCTACATCTCCTTATTTCGACCGCTTCTTCGATCCATCTGTTGTGATTTTTGTTCTGTTTTTATGATTCTTGAGTCGTTCCAGGTGTGGGTTTCTCTTGCACAGCGGTCTGTTACGGCTGATTTATTGATTGTATGTTTTGCTTCTTGCTTTGTGGCTCTTGTGTGTCTTTTGCTGGTTTCTTTTTCGCATTCTTCATGTCATCCACAAAGTTCTGACAGTAGCCATCAGCAACTGCTTCCTGTCTGACACCCCTGGCGGTCGTCTAACGAGAACTGGCCTCCTGGGTCCTCCAGATACTAACTAGTCTCTCCGCCTGCAGGCTACGTTCAGGGGATGAGTGACCTGCTGTCCCCCATCCTCTACGTCATGGAGAACGAGGTTGATGCTTTCTGGTGTTTTGTCTCCTTCATGGACCAGATGGTGAGAAACCTTTCTTCATGTTTGATGGAACAGCCCAACTGCTTGGTTGGTTGGATGTTAGGTTGCTGTTGTTAGTTAACCCTAACCCAAACCCTAGTCTGCAATGACCGTAAGAACAAACACGATGTCACCTATAGGCAGAGATGGGAACAACGACATTACAGAAGAGTTTGTTTCTTCGGTGACGTGTAACAAAAACATGACATTTTAAATTCCTCACGAGATTTTCAAATTTAATAACAACGGTTTAGTTTTAATTTCAGGAAGTTTCTCTACATCAGTATTACAGTTTCTCATACAAGAACAACAGAGTAATGTCACACGATTAATGGCAGACAGGGACTCGGACACCAAGGTGCAGCTGCTAGCGAGCAGGCTAACAGAGCTAACGTGTCTCCTCAGGAGAACATCTGCAGCTTGGAGGTATTTTAAACTGGACAGAGAAGGCGGAGCTACAGACACTCGTAATGTTTGCGTTCTGGCCTTCAAACAGACTACTTTCACATTCAGCTTTTCCCTTCGGGCGTCAAAGCGAATCACTGGTCTCCATTAAGTCCCAGTTTGCCACCAACAGTCCCAGTTCACAGTAAACTCAGACAAAACGCGGAGCCAGACGACAGAAAGAATAAACCAAAAGAAGTTGCCAACAGACTGCAGAAGGTCGGCTTTTCTAGTCTTCAGACTGGTTTCAAATAACTGCTGTTAGGTTCCCATTTGAAGCCATGATCTCCCAGTTTCAGGGTGGACACTCGTACCATTAGGCCACTGGGCGTGTTATTTATAATATTGTGCTACATAATAGACTTTACTAAGAAGGTACATTGGTGTGGACTTGCTACTTTAATATTGAGACACATTGATATAAAATGTTTACGCGTTACATTTGTCCTCTGGATAAATGGCACCCTTAGCATTTGCCTACACTGCCTGTGGGGATTGCTTTAAAGTCTGACACAACAAGTCAGTGACTTGATGCAGTCTGCTGGGTTGCTTATATGGTAACATTTTTACTGATTGGCTTAATGACCTGACCTGTGTTGGAATGTTTACTGTGTGAAGGTCCTTGAGACGACTCTGGTCCTGATTTGGTGCTTTATAAATAAACGGAATTGAATCATGGTAGGTAAAAATAAGCATGTAAAATGTCCAAATATTACAGTACGGTGTGAAAATTGTGCTGAAGTTCGATTAGACGAAAATCATGAATCAAATACACCTTAAAGCCATTTCTCTCTTTTATTGAGAAACAAGCTGAGAGGCAGAAACGGTCCAAATCACTACTGTCTGAACAGAACCAGAATGTTCTTACACACCTGCCCTGTGTATCCTTAAACATGGAGGTGATTCTGATGAATCCAGTTCATAGGCGTCCTGATCCGGAAAGACCTGTCGGAATGTTTAGGAACTTGCAAATATGTGTTTCAGCACCAGAACTTTGAGGAGCAGATGCAGGGAATGAAGACACAGCTGATTCAGCTCAGCACGCTGCTCAGACTGCTGGACCTGACCTTCTGGAACTACCTGGGTACAAACCACCTGGTCACCTCTCACCTGCTCTGTGGTGAATTTGTCATGTGTTAAAGTGTTCCTGTGTGTGTTTCAGAGTCTCAGGAGTCTGGTTACCTGTACTTCTGCTTTCGGTGGCTCCTGATCCGGTTCAAGAGGGAGCTCAGCTTCCAGGACGTCTTAAGGCTCTGGGAGGTCTGTTTCAGCTCCTCACTAATCTCCTCCCCAGTTCTCTTGTTTGCTCTTCCTTATTCCATCTCAGGAACATTGCTAAGCCGAGTCCCATTCTGTCCCGCTCTGAACTTGAGACTGTTCTCCACACCTTCATCTCGTCACGCTTAGACTTTTGAGTCCTGACCAAGTCCTCCAAACACACCCACATCACCCCGCTTCTCCTCCAGCTTCACTGGGTGCCAGTCAACTTCAGGGTTCATCTCAAGATCCTGGTTCTGGTCTATAGGGCCTTACATGAACAAGCACCATCTTACATTGGTGATCTTCTCAGTCCCTACACCCCCAGCAGGTCCCTGAGGTCCAGTGATCAAAGCCTACTGGTTGTGCAGCGCACCAGGCTAAAGGTCAAAGGTGACAGATCATCTGCTGCTGTGACCCCCAGACTCTGGACCTCTCTCCCCCTGAGTCTGAGACCAGTGGACTCCTTTAAACTCATCTGTTCAGGCTTTGGTGTGACCTTCATCACCACCATGTCCTTGTTCTGCTCTTATTCCTCCTTTCCCGGGTTCCACTGATTTCCCTCTTTCCTGTTCATTTTCTCTCTTCCTTTCCTCACATTTTTGATCACATTTTTTTAAATTTTTGAATAATTTTTAAACTCTTTTTGTTTTTGTGAAGCACCTCGTGGTTTTTATCTTGAGGCGCTGAATAAAAGATTGTTTTCTTTTCAACTTTACTGTCCGGTTTTAAATCACTTTAGAAAACCTTTTTTTATGAATTGACTTTAACTCAACATGAGTCTTAACTTTTACTTCTTAAGCTTTAGTTTTTATGCATTTTTATGGTGTGTATTTTGATGTATTTTAATTTCTGTGAAGCACTTTGGTCGGCTTCATACTGTTGCACTGTGCTATAGAAATAAAGTGAGCTTGGTTTGACAGGCCGGTACAAAGCCTGCATCACCGCCGCAGATGCAGCCTGTTAGTTTAAATGAGTCGACTCCTTCTAATTATTTAAATCATCATATTACGCCGAGTACAGGGCGAGGAGGAGGAGTAGCAACCATTTTTCATTCAGACCTATTAATCAATCCCTTACCAATTAATAGTTACAGTTCTTTTGAACATTTTATTCTTAGTTTTCCTAATCCAGATTGCAAAACTGTAAAACCACTCTAGTTTTATATCGTCCACCAGGCCCTTACTCTGAGTTTTTGGATCAGATCTCTGATTTTTTTTATCTGATTTGGTGCTAAATACTGATAAGGTCATTGTAGTGGGGGATTTTAACATTCATGTGGACATTGAAAATGATAGCCTCGTTGTTGCCTTTAGTAATATCTTACCCCTTATTTCCACCGGAGCCGTCAGCAGCACGTCATAGCTGCTGATAGGAACCGCTGTGGTCAACAGAACCTTTTCCACCGGAGCCGTCAGCAGCGCGAGTCGCCCGCGTCTCAGGAGCAGCATGTCGCGGCCTTTACGTGCCGGTTCTATTTTCTACGCGCGACGCCTCTGAAACGGGTCAAGTTCGACAATTCTGGGGAAGGAAAGACAGGATATTGGATGCGGAAATGGAGCGAAGCTCCCGAGATTTTCAGAATAAAGAAACGTACTGCCTTCCGGTTGCTTTACTTTAAAAAAGGTTACTAATTGTGCGGCCCCGTGAGAAGTAATCACCTAGCTAGCGGTCTCCTTTGTTTTTCAGGTCCGTATTGGATTATAAAACGGACAGAACATAAAACACAAACATTTTAGAGCCATGTTGTAGTTTTCTCCTGCTTGTTGTTGTGTTTACTGACGAAGTCACTCGTGTGACTTCGTGCTCTTGTCAGTGACAGCTGCTCCCCTGCTGCCTCGCGTCTCGTGGCAAGGGCCAAGCAGCAGCTTACCCGAGCAAGACGTGCTGCTGCAGTAACGTGCTGCTGACGGCTCCGGTGGAAAGAAGGGGTTAGACTCAATTGGTTTTACCCAAAGAATACATAGCTCCACCCACTCCTGGCATCATACATTAGACCTTGTGCTGACTTATGGCATAGAGTGTGAGGAAATAACAATCTTTCCACATAATCCCTGTTCTCCAGTACCCCTGAATTGACTTTACAAGGGAAGCTCAGGGATGTGATCCTCCTGTAGTTGGAACACATCCTGCGGCTACATATGGGGACCACCACCCCGGTCTGCCAATCCAGAGGAACTGATTCCAATTTCCACATGATGTTGTAGAGTCGTGTCAACCAACACAGCCCTACAACATCCAGAGCTTTAAGGAACTCTGGGTGGATCTCATCCACCCCTGAGGCCTTGCCACCAAGGAGCTTTTTGACCACATCAGTGACCTCAGCACCAGAGATTGGTAAGCCCTACCCAAAATCCCCAAACATCACTTCCTCACTGGAAGATGTAACGATGGGATTGAGGGGGTTCTCAAAGTTCTCCACCCACCGATCCACAGTGTTCTGAGTCGAAGACAGCAGAACATTGTCCACACTATAAACAGTGCTGGTAGTGCACTGCTTTACCCTAATGAGTCTCCAGATGGTGGACCAGAATCTCCAGTCCACTAATCCCAACACCTTTTATCTCCTAAACATCTAATTCCTCCAGAAGCTTCAAAGGTACCCAAAGTTATACGGGCCTCGAAATCCCTTAGGGTCTTGATGAACCCATCCATGCATCCTACCTTCCTTCTTTGTGACACTTTCGTGTATAATCTCCACTTATTCTGGTGCGCTGGTTCTTGCTGACGTCGTGTACTTTCCTCCTCGTCTCCTCCTCTCAGGTCATGTGGACCGGGCTCCCATGTCAGAACTTCCACCTGTTGATTTGCTGCTCGATTCTTGACTCTGAGAAGCAGAAGATCATGGAGGAGAACTTTGGTTTCAATGAGATCTTGAAGGTAAGTTTCAGCCACTCAGCAGGTGCCTGACCCAAGATCAGCCATCCTGTTTCCTGTTTTCTATCCGCATCAGTGCTGGTCCACACCAGTTCTGGTTTAGAGGGACCTGGGTCTAAACCCAACAGAAAAAGGAGCCTGTCAAGAGAAAAATCACGAGGCAGTTAGCAAGAACAAACTAAAGAAAGGATTTTAAAATGTAATAAGTTTAAATCTCTACATATAACATCCCATCTCCCTCCGAGGCTAGTCTCATCCTCCCAGGCGCGGGTCCTCTACCTTAGTATCGAACCCCAACTCCTCCAGCCTGCAGTTACTGCTGGAGGGGGTGTGTGTGTGTGTGTGTGTGAAACTTCACGTATTTTAGTTAAACCTGGAGACGGCCAGAGAGAAGGAACACTCAGACAGATAAGAGCAGATCCTGATAGGCCTACCTAGTTAACTGTTGAAGTGTCTGAGCAGTAACTGTGTGTGTGTGTGTGTGTGTGTGTTTCAGCACATCAATGAGCTCTCCATGAAATTGAACATCGAAGAGATTCTGCAGAAAGCTGAAGGCCTCTTCCATCAGATCAGGAGCTGTAAGGTGTGTGTGTGCGCGCTGTAAAGCTTGGTTTATGCTTGACGCATTCACTTTCCGCTTGGTGATGCGGTTCGCGGATGGAACGCGCGTCACAACTCGCAGCGTTTATGGTTCATGCGGCTTGTCTCTTCGGTGAGCCAATATTCTCCCAAACTGTAGGGGGCAGCATGGAGCTCTACCGCATGCATCCAACACTACACCATAGTAGAAGTAAAAATGACTCTTTACAACATGACATTCCAGCATTTTTTTAACAGCGTTCTTGTCTTTTCCGACAGTGCGAGCTATTTCTCTCCAAGAATTATTAACAACATGTTGATCACGATGATCTCTGAGAGCTGAATCATCCAAATGTCTGTATTTACGAACCTCTGCCATACTAGTTCTTGCCGATCCGCCATGTTTTTTCGCGTCCGACCGTCCGCGTGGTTAGAAATTTTCCTAGGTGCGCGTTGCGGAAATTTTGGGCCGTGCGGAGGCGCGGTGGAGGGGCGTGGTTGTTAAAATGATGCAATTTCGCCGCGCGGAGCCGTGTGGACCTCGTGGACGCGTCAAGCATAAACCAACCTCAAGAGCTTTTAGCTGTTTCCAGTGGGCTGAGGCGCCATGAGGAGCTGACGTTTACATTTGTTCACTCCCCGTTAAGGATGCACCACTAACTGAGTTTTAGTCTGAATTATGATTTGGGTTTTGAATGATAACAACAAGCTGATTATCTGCTCCTCCCTCCTGCGGTGTTCCGAGTTTCATATCAAGCACACCTAACAGCTTGTCAGACCCCCTTCCTGACTTTAGTTTGGTAAAACACACCGCGAACAACCAGGCTACATTTCTGAGGACCCTTAGCTACTTTCTCTAGGACTGTGTTGTCGTTATTCACTGCAGGTTAGCGAAACACAGCCTGCACTTCCGACCATCCTTCAGCAGGATCATGTTGCATCGACTGACCAATCATAAACCTCTCTTGGTGGAGCTCACTCACTAAAAAGCTTTACAAGCTAAATAAAGTGAAAAGACATCAGACATGGATTTGACTGTCTTCACCTGAAGTTTAGTAATCGTCCACCTCTGAGCGACACTCCCCACAGCACCGCCTCTGGCCAGGCGAGGAGGTGTGGCTTAGGCGACTGGTGTCACAGAGCGGACATGGTAGTCTACTGGTCAGAGCGCCGAGCTGGTGCGCAGGTTCGACTCCCGGTCTCAACGGTACCTTTTCTCTACTTCAGCTACACTAGCCTGTGTCATGTTTTCAGCCCTTTACCGGTAAACCGTGTCAAATACGACTACTCTGTCTTTCACCTTGTTTATGTAGCCGGTGTGAGTCCAACCCTAACCCTAAATCAACTAAATGCTGCTTGGAAACCACTCAAAGTCATTAGAGACTAAATATTTTACAGAAAACAATCAATAACTAAAAACACACCACCGGGATTTGAACCCGCAACACGGAGATGGCCTTTACCCCTGGACTACTATAGCCAGCACAGTAAGCGCTGTTGTAGGAGCGGGTGTGGGCGGAGTTTCGCTGAAACGATGTGTTTTATTTCCAGGCATGAATGAACTGGTATGTAAGATAAATGACATCTTAATGGGCTCGACACACGGGAGGCGACATCGCCTCTCCTCCATTCATTTTCAATGAGACATGCGCGACAAAGCGATAATCGCGGGTCTCTCTCCTACCAAGCGAAACGCGAAAAACGTGCGTGTGAAATTTTGCACTCGTGCACGTGTCGTGCACGGACGACCCAGCGACGCGACCAGAAAGTTGAAACATTTTCAACTTTTCATCGCTGTCGCTCAGACGAGGACCAATCAACGGAGGTTTCATTCACTGACCAATGAGCGGACAGGATGCTCCGCACATCTCCGAGCAAACACGAAGGAGAAGTTGATTATTATTATGTTTTACATAGTAAAAATCAGAAGTAAGATTTCACATAACTCTAGCAGCACCTTGTGAAACATCATATCTATCGCTTTATTAACTCTGAACCACTTAAATAACCTTAATTCCCTCCAACCTGACACAGCCAAACAAAACAACGGAAGTTTCGATTTCGTCATGGAACAGAACGCGTAGACGGCTTTGCCGCTGCCGCGGATCGCCTCCCGTGTGTCGGGTAATAAAAGCGACAGCGACAAATTTCGCTGATCGCAGTCGTTTGTCGCCTCCCGTGTGTCGAGCCCATAATAGTGCCGACTGTAGTATTTTATCGTGTACTGTGTCTACATTAGCAGAATGTTCTGGCTGTTTTACACGAGGAATCAGGAAGTGTGTGTGATTATCTTGTGCTCTGTGCAGTTTTATGACAGAATAAGTAAAATCAATGTTAATTAAATATCATCTTAAATAATCGAGATGTCAGTTTGAGTAAAGTAATCGTGTTGGGGAAGAGGTGAGTCTTAGCGAGTCGGGGTTTGTCTGCTTTTACGTCTTGTGATGTTTGAACGACTGAAACTGCATCATGAGGTGTTCTGATTCTGACCCGGTTCTGCTTCATAGGACCTGCCTCACTCCATCAGCTCCATCCTGGGCTTGGACACAGGGCACCAGCGTTCTGACCCAACAAATGCTGGCGCTGTAGCGGCTTCACAGCGTGCTCACCTGCAGAACATCTGCTCCAACGGACTCGGTAGAGAAAACGGATCGCAGAACAGCGGCAGACCTGCCTTTAAGTCGTAGTGACGTGGAGAGACTGACCTCAGGTCCGCAATGGGCGCTACAGCTCTATGGCAGCTGAGGAGGTGTAAAAAAAAAAAAGAAAGTTTATTCAGAGTCTTATTTTTCTAAATTCTTGTGTTTCCTCCTGACGTTTTCTAAAACGATCAACCACAGAGCACACAGGAAGCCCCTGGACCGCTCATCCATATTTCTATCAGCTGATTGTTTTTCTGCCAAAGTGGCTCCTCTCCTCTCTCTTTGTACAGATTCAACTACTTCCATTAAAAATCTGCCACCAAGCCTTTTTGCCCCTCAGATTAATGTCGTCGTGTCCGGTGTGGATCATTTCTAAACACTGGTTCAAGTGAAAACTTGCTCTGGCTGAAGGAACCAGGTCAAGTTTATTCATAGAGCTTTACGCCTGACCACAGGGCTGAACACACGCGGTGCACCAACACCAGCTGCTGTTGTCCCGTCTCCAGCTGTAGACCATCAGGCTAACGATGAGCACCATGTGAGCTCGGTGCTGTCAGCTGATGGTTCTGGAGGGAAGCCCTGTGCTCCACTTTGACTTTAGCTTCTTTTACTTGAGGACAGCAGCAGCTCAGGAGGTAGAGCGGGTTGTCTGGCAATCAGAAGGTTGCAGGTTTGATCTCAGCTCTGACCAGCTGCTGTTGTGCCCTTGGGCAAGACCATGGACATAATTTTGGGGGGGCTCAGGGGGGACATGTCCCCCCCACTTTTTCCAAAGTCAAGTTTTGACCCCTGCACTTTTTACCATCCAAAAACAACATTACGCTATATTAAACTGACACTGGTTGAGCTCTAGGATCAAGCGGAAAACAACTGTGTTGAAGCCTGTTTCCCATTAGAGCATACTGTAAAGATACCCCCCCCCCCCACCCCCGTGTCCCCCCCACTTCTAAAGTGAAAATTACGTCCTTGGGCAAGACACTAAACCCCCTCACCCGCTGGTGGTGGTCCCTGTGCTCAGCAGCCTGGCCTCTTGTCAGGGCAGCTGTAGCTACGTCGTAGCTCATCACCACCAGCGTGTGAACGGGTGGATGGATGATTGTGTTGTAAAGCACCTTGGGGGGGTTGTGATTCTACAAGGCTCCATACCAAATACAGGCGACGTACCATCTACCACGGCTGGAAATGTCAGCTGTTTATGGCTCCTCTAAATGTCAACAGAGCTGCTTTCATGGGCATGATGGACGTCTCCTTCCTGGCGGGTTCTTTGACAGGACTGATGAAGGTGGAGGAGGCAGACGATGGTATCAGCTGCCATCTGCTCATAAAGCTTCATCAGAACCAGAACAAAGCTGCTGTCTCTTTCATTTCCTGTTCAGCAGGAAGCTGCGGGAGCCGATAGCCGTGGCTGCTTATCAGAGGCCTTCAGCTTTATTGAAGATGCTGCTTCATTTGGACGACGTGTCAGTCAACACACCACCTGCTGCTCCTCATCCTCACTGAGGAAGACGAGGAGGTGTGGCCTGACATTTAAACACTTTTCTGTAACTGAACAAATGAAATCGGCGAAGAGCTGAGAAAGAAACCCGTTTCTGATGAGGGAACAGCCGTCGGGTCTTAGGCAGGACTTCCACAGCTGCTCTCTGGAGCTGAAGGTCTCACTACTCCAGGATCATCAACCTCCAGCCTCTAATCAACCCAGTCTGCAGCTCCTCCGCTCTTCTGAAAAATGACCTCTATAGCTCCTTCTTAGGGTTCTACAGCCCCCCAAGGCACTGCACAACACAATCAGTCATTCACCCATTCACACACTGGTGGTGATGAGCTTCATGTAGCCACAGCTGCCCTGGGGCGCTCTGACAGAGGCCAGGCTGCTGAGCACAGGCGCCACCAGCAGGCAAGGTGGGTTATGTGTCTTGCTCAAGGACACAACAGCAGCATTCCCTGGTCAGAGCCGGGATCGAACCTGCAACCTTCTGGTTACTGGACAACCTAATCTGACTCCTGAGCTGCTGCGGGCCCTGGTCCTGGTCCTCTGTTAAAGGACCTTTTTTAGGCCCTTTGGAGTTGCTGGTTCCAGCATCTAGGTCCAGTTCTAACTGGTTCTGTGCTGAATCCACTCTGGTTCATCCCTTGAATTTACTCTCTTTGTATCTGAGCTGGAGATAAATGAGCAGTGATCTTCTGGAGGTCTCGGCAGGAGTCTGAATCAGCTGCTCCACTGCCATGCTACAGTGGGAGGAGCCTCCCCCTCCCCTCCAGTGGGCTGGGCCTCCTCCCCCTCCATCGGGGTATAAAGGTGGAGGCAGGCTGTTGGTGCACCAGCAGCAGCACCACCCAGCAGCACCCTGGAGCCCTGGTATTCATACACCCACTGGTTCCCCATGGCTTCTGCCCATGTGATGAAGGACACGGGGCCAGAACCAGTACCTTGCATGCAGCCAGCCATGATGATGTTCTCCAGCAAATACTGGTCCAGGAGGGGGATGTCACTGGACTCGGCCATGTTTGACCATCAGAACCAGCAACAGCAGAGACACACTGGGGGTCGGATGGTGAGAGATGGTATTTCTTCTCTTTGATAACCCATCATATCAATAACCAATCAGCTGATCATATTAATAACCCATCATATCAATAACCAACCAGCTGATCATATTAATAACCCATCATATCAATAACCAATCAACTGATCATATTGATAACCCATCATATTGACAAGCAGTAGTAGGTATGCACCAATGTAGTCATAGGGGCGCCGCACTGGAGATGATGGAAGAAGGGCTTCATGTGTTTGATGCTTGGCTCTTTGTGTGTCTGCTCACAGAAGCAAGTCACTAATTAGGCAGCCCAACGTGAAACTGTTGGATTTGGAACGCTCCTCAGCTCCTGCCTTTGATATTTCAGCTGCTGGAATGTCTTCAGTTTATGGATGGTTGCCTCAGGTGGGGATGGCTTGGCCTGACCTGCAGTTGCTGAAGAAGCTGACTCAGGAGGCCATGTTCATGGTCCACTCCAATAAAAGATTCATTATCTGGCTCCAAAAACAGATCTTTTAGTTTTTTAGGTGGAACTGCTGCAGCGCAGACCCTGCATCCTTCAGCTCTGACCTGAGACTTTACTACCTGACTCAGGTAAAATCACGTGGCCAGGTGGAGGATCTGGTTTCAGGAATCACTCCCCATGCGGCTGAAGGGATAGTTTGGTTCTTCTTAATGCTTCATTAAATCAGCTTTTCTCTCAGATGTTACGCTGGTAGGCGAACAGACACTGAGGGAAAATGTTAGCTTGTGGCCACGCAACATTAGTGCATGAGGGGTGTTCCAGAGATCAGCTTTCCTGAAAGGATCTCCTCTTAAAAGCCCCAAATCGTTAACTTTTATCTCGTTTCAGCGGGGTTAGCCGGAGTTAGATCTGGAAAAGATGGATCTCCCCCAGCACCATGAGACTGTTCCAGCACTTAACCCTGACCCGGTTGTCACCTGCTGATTGAAATCAGGTGTATTGGAGGAGGCGGGGTTAAAACTAAAACATGCTTTAGTGTTTCTGGAGTTATTTGGTTCTTTCCCTCTGGAGCTCCCTGAGTGAGATACTGCTTCAATATCATTGAACATTGAAGTGGGGGTTACTGTAGCCTCTCACCAACCAATCAGAATACTTCATTTTCCCTACCATGGCCATATCTACCATTGAGGACACCACCGAGGTCTGGACCTCAGAAGTTTTTCTGCAGAATATTGAAAAAAATCTCAAACTGCCTTCACGGATTCCTGCAGTACACGTGGTTACGGTGGATGTGCTACAACAAGTCTTGGTAGCCATACTAAATGTAACTATGACCATAAAGAATGGTGCAGCTCAGCGTGTTGAACACGAGAAGAGGCGAGAGGATGAGTGCTGAAGGTTCGTTTCCATTCTTCTCCAAAAACAGTTAAACTTCACCGCCAGGCAGCAGAAACGGCTTCAATGTTAATCATTTCTGCTCCCTGACGACATACTTTGTTTTGTTTTCACTGTTTAGCGATCTTTTATAGCAAGCCAGTGTAACATTTAATCACACTTTGTCAATCATTTTAAATATAGTAATAATATAATGTCTCCAGGTTGAAATTGTATAATTACTCATTGAAAGCCAAACTAATTTGGTACCAGTAGAAATGATATTTAAGGTTAAATAACAGCTGCACTAGTTGGAATTAATATAGGGGCAGCCGCAGCAGTAGCTCAACATGTTGAGCGGGTTGACCAGTAATCGGAAGGTTGCAGGTTCGATCCCGGCTCCGGACAGAGAATTCTGCTGTTGTGTCGTTGGGCAAGACACTTAACCACCTGCTGGTGGTGGTCGGAGGGACCGTTGGCGCCTGTCCTCGGCAGCCTCGCCTCTGTCAGTGCGCCCCAGGGCAGCTGTAGCTACATTGTAGCTCATCACCATCAGTGTGTGAATGTGTGTGTGAATGGATGAATGATACATTGTAGTGTAAAGCACTTTGGAGTCCTTACTCTCAGAGGCGCTGTCATTTATCATTGACAACCCTATTTTATACAGTTGAATTATAGCTGTTGTTTGTAAAACTTATTTTAATTTGGACTAAAATCAACCGTTCCAGCTGTCTAGATTCTTTATAGATTTCCAGACATTTAAACTAATTTACAAGTACGGCCTTCCCAGCAACAAGTCACTTCTTGCTATCTGTTTTAAAATGATCATTTATTTTATTCCTAGAATACATAATGCTGTTTAGAGAGTCTGATACTGTAATCAATAAGTTTCTCCAAGTAAGAAGAGATCCTTCAGGAAGAATGTATTTGTAGGTAGGAGTTGCAGCAAATGTTACATCATTTGTCTTTGGAAGACTTGCGTCTCCGATATTCATGTGGATGGTGCTGGTGTTGTAGATTTATGGGTTTCTACCTATTAGAATGCTAGAAATAACAGATTCATTAACTTACAGAATACTAATACAGTCTGTGTGATAAATGTACAAACTGCTTGCCTTATATTATGATAAAACACGATTGTGTTAGTTAATAAAACAGGTTTTATTTATATTTGTGTTCTTTTACATGAATATTTTGGTGGATCAAATCTAAAAGGAGTCCAGGCATTAAGATGAAGGAAGGTAGATGTAACTCTAAAGGTGACACAGGTGAGTTCAGAGGGCGGACAGCAGAGGTGAGACAGAAGGAAATAATGCATGTGCATAAAAACAGAATTGCATTGGCATTTTGAAATGTTGAAGTCAAAATGTTATATAGTGGGTAAATGAGTACTTGATTCACCATTTCATTTCATTTTAATGAGTTTTCATGGATAAGCCCAGGTTCCCCTGACGCTTCAGATATGCCACTTTTCATTGACTTGGGAGTGCACACACACACACACACACACACACACACACACACACACACACACACACACACACACACACACACACACACACACACACACACACACACACACACACACACACACACACACACACACACACACACACACACACACACACACACACACACACACACACACACACACACACTGTCTGAGTAAGGGAGGGCGGGAGCTGGGCTTTGTTGGGAGGACTTTTATTGTGGAATAGTGCTAATAAAAACATATTTTTGGTGACCGGTGCCTGCTCCTGTTATTGTAATGTTCTGCCTGTGCAGCGCACTCTACTTTTCATTACAATACTTCTGGTCCTTTCTCAGTAACAGATACACGGTTTTTCTCTTTCTGTAACCTCAAAGCGATCCCTCCACCACTCTTCCATATCAAGCCATGTTTTCTGTTGTAAATAAACAGATCAAAGCATTTGTTGATCTAAAAGAATGATGATGTCATTTATTCAGAGAAGCAGGACAAAACTGAAGGCTGAGCACATCACGACTGAGAATGTTGCTTCCTCATGTCCTCCATACTCTGATGTGTTCCAGCCGCAGCCCTCCACACCTGTCAGACTGCGGCTCCGCCTGCTTGCGGTACCGCAACTGTAACCATGGTTTTCCAGCGACACAGGACATGACGTAACGCTGCTATCCATGATGCTGAAAGGAATCAGCTTATTGACGGAATGCCGCTGGTAACCATAACATCAGAGATGGAAATCCAGGCACTGCCTCGTGACGTATAAGCACGACAAAATGTTTACTTGTTTTCTAGCTCCACCACGCACCGATCAACAAATATATAGAAAAATAAAAAGCTTATAAAAAGTTGTCAGAAGCCTAAAATAATATTCTCATGGTGCGAAGGGAGAGATCTGCCTTTTCTAGATCTAACTCCAACATTTAATTGGTTTTAGACAGGAAATATTTTTCCTATCAACCCGCCTGTCGACTAACCTCGCTGGAATGAGCCGGTGTTCTGTCAGAACTCCTCCTGAATAACTGACCGTTATGTGTAGTTTATTGGTTACAGATGCGCAGTCGCGTGTGACACAATTAATACACCATTAAGTAATTCAAACACATGAAAGTAAGCTTTCAGTAAGTAAGCCACAAACAAACGTCTTAAGCGGCCTTAAGCATCTCGTGGCCATGCCTTAAGCATCTCTTGGCCATGCCTTAAGCGTCTCGTGGCCACGCCTTAAGCTTCTCGGGGCCATGCCTTAAGTATTCCGTGGCCACACCTTAAGCGTCTCGTGGCCACACCTTAAGCGTCTCGTGGCCACACCTTAAGCGTCTCGTGGCCACACCTTAAGCGTCTCGTGGCCACACCTTAAGCGTCTCGTGGCCATGCCTTAAGCGTCTCGAGGTCACGCCTTAAGCGTCTCTTGGCCACGCCTTAAACTTCTCGGGGCCATGCCTTAAGTATTCCGTGGCCACGCCTTAAGCGTCTCGTGGCCACGCCTTAAGCGTCTCGTGGCCACGCCTTAAGCGTCTCGTGGCCACACCTTAAGCGTCTCGTGGCCACACCTTAAGCGTCTCGTGGCCACACCGTAAGCGTCTCGTGGCCACGCCGTAAGCGTCTCGTGGCCACGCCTTAAGCGTCTCGTGGCCACGCCTTAAGCATTTCGTGGTCACGCCGTAAGCGTCTCTTGGCCACACCTTAAGCGTCTCTTGGCCACGCCTTAAGCATCTTGTGGCCACGCCGTAAGCGTCTCGTGGTCACACCTTAAGCGTCTCGTGGTCACACCTTAAGCGTCTCTTGGCCACACCTTAAGCGTCTCTTGGCCACGCCTTAAGCATCTTGTGGCCACGCCTTAAGCATCTTGTGGCCACGCCTTAAGCATCTCGTGGCCATGCCTTAAGCGTCTCGTGGCCACGCCTTAAGCGTCTCGTGGCCACACCTTAAGCGTCTCGTGGCCACGCCGTAAGCGTCTCGTGGCCACGCCGTAAGCGTCTCGTGGCCACGCCGTAAGCGTCTCGTGGCCACGCCTTAAGCGTCTCGTGGCCACGCCTTAAGCATTTCGTGGTCACACCTTAAGCGTCTCTTGGCCACACCTTAAGCGTCTCTTGGCCACGCCTTAAGCATCTTGTGGCCACGCCTTAAGCATCTCGTGGCCACGCCTTAAGTATTCTGTGGCCACACCTTAAGCATCTCGTTTGCCACGCCTTAAGTGTCCAGTGGCCATGCCTAAGTTTCTCGTGGTCACCGGACAAGCTCTGTAATAATCCACTGATGTAGAGGAACATCTTGTTTTGAGAGGTTGAAGCTGCCATCCGGAGCTTTCTCGTTTCAGGAATTACGGATGCCTTTTCAGAAATACATAAAGTAATTGACTTATCATGAACTGTGATATAATCAGCGGCTGGTCGTCCATAGGGGGTGCTAGGACGCTGCCCCACTAGTCTCTCAGGAATAATAAGAAGACAGAAATCACAAAAAACCCTCTAAATTTAACTAAACAATCTATCCATCACACAGACTATAAGTGTTGTATATAATCTACATTCAACTTTATTTTAAAAATGTTCACTCACACTTTTACCACGGCTGAATCGTCTTTTGATGCATATCCTGTTTTCTTTTTGGGCGCAGCAATCTTTACCATAAGAAGTCTCCCTTTGCTCCTCATGGGTCCGTGAGCACAGCTAAAAGACCTATTTTCTAACCCGCTTGCCTATTTCAATGAATAGTAATCATGGGTGTTTCGACCACGCCTGTTACCTACTTTGAGATTTAACGGCTTGTAAAATTTCGTAATTAGCATGACTACAAATCAGACAATAGGTAGCAGAAGCTCCTCCCCCCTAGTATAGCTGCCACTCACCACATGACCAGATTTATGGTGGTTCTTTCCTCCTGAAGGAAGGATTTGATGTTCGCTGAACTTCCAGCATTTTCTCTCTGTTCTTCTCTGTGTCTGATTCGCTGACGTCAAATTGGTGATGCGTATTTGTAGTCCAAAACTTATTTTGGGCAGCAGTAGCTCAACAAAGTGGGTTGTCCGGTAATCGGGAGGTTGCAGGTTTGAGCCCGGCCCCGGACAAAGAATTCTGCTGTTGTGTCCTTGGGCAAGACGCTTAACCCGCCTCGCCTGCTGGTGGTGGTCGGAGGAACCGGTGGTACCTGTGTTCAGCAGCCTCGCCTCTGTCAGTGCGCTACATCCTAGCTCATCACCATCAGTGTGTGAATGGATGAATGATACTATAGTGTAAAGCGCTTTGGAGTCCTCTGACTCTGAAAGGCGCTGTACAAGTGGGTCATTTATCATTTATTTATCCTTTTTCACACAAAACTTAAAAAAGCGATTCCCCCATTAGAAAATAAGCGCATTCTTGGCATCAAATTTCACGGACATCATATGTGACATCCATGGCACATAAACAGGCTTAGAAAATAGCATTTTTGCCCTGTTGACTTACATTAATGTTTTCTGGAAACGTGGAAACAATCTCTCAGCTATTCTATTTATGTGATCCAAGAAGAACATTTTGGTCAGGTATGCAGCGATTCATGAGCCAGAAGGCTGGAAGAAGAATCCAAATGATCCAAATGACTGAGAAGGACGTTATTCTGTGCTATGAAGAAGAGGACATAAATGATGTTTTATATCTTGTACAACTTCTGCTCATGTTGAGGAAATTTCACATACATAAAAAGAAATGGTCTAAGTCTAAACCAAGCACAGCCCATTTCACAAAGATATCCATATAGACATCACTGCAGTTAAGTTCTCTTGAAAAGTACCATGAAAAGTACCATTTCAGAGTGCAATGTGACATTAAACTGCATCATTTCCAATAAAAACTGGAAAAATTGGGTCGTTCTAAAACTTTTGACCGGTAGTGTAATTATGATTTTGTTACTAAGCAGGCCGGAGGTGCCTTCACTTTGGAGTCGCTCTACGACATTTTCCTTGCTAAATGTGGGATCAATATTCTATTCTAAAGGATCCATTAACATTCATTATCAGGGAATCCAGTTTAACAAACTCTGAATCAGGAATGTGGTTCTGGCGATCCAGATACCAAATCCTGGGTTCAGTCTTTGACGGGTAACTTGTTGTCGAGGATCTGATCCAATCTGCTTTTTCTTGTCTTCAGTCAAGACGAACGTCTTTCAGTCCCATCGACGAGAGAGCGGACGGTGAGAGCACAGCAGGTTCTGGGGAAACAGCTGTGGTTTTTTCTCTCAAGAACGAAGTTGGATGTCTGGTCAAAGCTCTCAAACTCTTCCAGGTCAGAACCAAAAATGTACAGCGACCCAGAACTATATTTAGACCCCATCCGAGACCTTATAGACCCAAAAGCACTTTGGTTCAGAACCAGATTTCAAATTCAAGACTACCAGATTAGTACTCCTCAAAAGACCCAGAAGTAACCTTGTAATACATCAAAGTATCCAGAACCACATGAAGCCACCTGATGCTAAATGAGAGCACCAGTTCTTTCCAACCTTCCTGATGTCTCCTGGTCAGAACCAGGATGAAGTTTAGAACCGTGTTCATACAAAGAAGGAACTTTAAAGATCTAGTTCTTTTGCTGATGAACTATAATTGAGTTTCTGATAGTTTGGTGTTTTCCTTTTATTTAAATATGAATAGTTAGCTCATCAGTGTCGCACCCTCTTCACCACTAGGCTCCCTCAAGGAAGTTTGATTTCTCCTCTACCTGCAGGAGAAGCGAGTCAATCTGAAACACATCGAGTCACGGATGTCGAGGCGGGTTCCTAATGAAGTGGAGATCTTTGCCAACTGCAGCTGTAGCAAAAAGGAGTTTAACGAGTTACTGCAGCATCTCAAAGATCAAGTCAACATCATTTCTTTCAACACACCTGCACATGTGTGGTCTGCTGAGGCAGGTAGGAACTCCAGACAGTAGCGGGGACAGGTGTACACAGGTAAGGATAGGAATGTCCACAAGTTTAGATGTAGCAAATGGCCTGTCTTTATTTAGAGTCCTAGAGCCTCTCAAGGCACTTTACAGCCAATCACATGCTGATGGTGATGAGCTACGATGTAGCCACAGCTGCCCAGGGGCTCAAGCACATATGTGTATGTGTACACAGGTATGGACAGGTAGAGGTGTACACAGGTATGGACAGGTAGAGGTGTACACAGGTATGGACAGGTAGAGGTGTACACAGGTATGGACAGGTAGAGGTGTACACAGGTATGGACAAATACAGGTGTACACAGGTATGGACAAATGCAGGTGTACACAGGTATGGACAAATGCAGGTGTACACAGGTATGGACAAATACAGGTGTACACAGGTATGGACAAATACAGGTGTACACAGGTATGGACAAATACAGGTGTACACAGGTATGGACAAATACAGGTGTACACAGGTATGGACAAATACAGGTGTACACAGGTATGGACAAATACAGGTGTACACAGGTATGGACAAGTACATGTGTACACAGGTATGGACAGGTACAGGTGTACACAGGTATGGACAGGTACATGTGTACACAGGTATGGACAGGTACATGTGTACACAGGTATGGACAGGTACATGTGTACACAGGTATGGACAGATACATGTGTACACAGGTATGGACAAATACATGTGTACACAGGTATGGACAAATACAGTTGTACACAGGTATGGACATGTACAGGTGTACACAGGTAAGGACAGGTACAGGTGTACACTGGTATGGACAGGTACAGGTGTACACTGGTATGGACAGGTACAGGTGTACACAGGTATGGACAAATACAGGTGTACACAGGTATGGACAAATACAGGTGTACACAGGTATGGACAGGTACAGGTGTACACAGGTATGGACAAGTACAGGTGTACACAGGTATGGACAAATACATGTGTACACAGGTATGGACAGGTACATGTGTACACAGGTATGGACAGGTACAGGTGTACACAGGTATGGACAGGTACAGGTGTACACAGGTATGGACAGGTACAGGTGTACACAGGTATGGACAGATACAGGTGTACACAGGTATGGACAGGTACAGGTGTACACAGGTATGGACAGGTACAGGTGTACACAGGTATGGACAGGTACAGGTGTACACAGGTATGGACAGGTACAGGTGTACACAGGTATGGACAGGTACAGGTGTACACAGGTATGGACAGGTACAGGTGTACACAGGTATGGACAGGTACAGGTGTACACAGGTATGGACAGGTACATGTGTACACAGGTATGGACAGGTACAGGTGTACACAGGTATGGACAGGTACATGTGTACACAGGTATGGACAGGTACATGTGTACACAGGTATGGACAGGTACATGTGTACACAGGTATGGACAGGTACATGTGTACACAGGTATGGACAGGTACAGGTGTACACAGGTATGGACAGGTACAGGTGTACACAGGTAAGGACAGGTACAGGTGTACACTGGTATGGACAGGTACAGGTGTACACAGGTATGGACAAATACAGGTGTACACAGGTATGGACAAGTACAGGTGTACACAGGTATGGACAGGTACAGGTGTACACAGGTATGGACAGGTACAGGTGTACACAGGTATGGACAAGTACAGGTGTACACAGGTATGGACAAATACATGTGTACACAGGTATGGACAGGTACATGTGTACACAGGTATGGACAGGTACAGGTGTACACAGGTATGGACAGATACAGGTGTACACAGGTATGGACAGGTACAGGTGTACACAGGTATGGACAGGTACAGGTGTACACAGGTATGGACAGGTACAGGTGTACACAGGTATGGACAGGTACAGGTGTACACAGGTATGGACAGGTACAGGTGTACACAGGTATGGACAGGTACATGTGTACACAGGTATGGACAGGTACATGTGTACACAGGTATGGACAGGTACAGGTGTACACAGGTATGGACAGGTACAGGTGTACACAGGTATGGACAGGTACAGGTGTACACAGGTATGGACAGGTACAGGTGTACACAGGTATGGACAGGTACATGTGTACACAGGTATGGACAGGTACAGGTGTATTTAGTCATTTGGAGAGCTTAGAATATTCTAATGAGAATGATTGTGATGTTGTCTTCATCAGATGATGAGGAAGTTCCCTGGTTTCCCATGAAGATCTCCGAGCTAGATCAGTGCTCTCACAGGGTATTGATGTATGGTTCTGAACTGGATGCTGACCATCCCGTAAGTGTGCACCTGGAACCAGAAACACTTATTCACATTACAACCAATCATATTTCCTAATGAAGTTTGAATGTGGAGCTGGCAGGTGATGCTGTAGTTTAGTCACATGACTCTAAATGTTGTACCTGAAGTCACAGGAGACCCAACAGGTGAATCAGATCAACGATTTAAGGAACAAAGAGAATCTGCTTCTGTTGCTGGACTTTAGATCTTCTCCTGTCCTCTTTTCAGGGTTTTAAAGACAACATTTACCGCGAGCGCAGGAAGTACTTTGTGGAAGTGGCCATGAATTATAAGTTGTAAGTATAAAATAGTTTAACAGGCTTTCATTCATCAAGTTAACTCATTCACTTTTGAGCGTTTTTATTGTTTTTTGAAGTCACAGAACATTGTGCTCTATGACCATGTAAACACCATAACTACCAAAAGAAAGCGTTAGACTCACTTCTTACACACAAGTGTGGCTTTAGAGCCGTGATGTTCACTCTCGCGGTGCACAAGCTCATTCCCAAGCCCACCCCGTTAAACGCAATTTAGTCATCAAAACCAGTGAATGTGTTCAAGCTTAAACTACAGAACTGCAAAAGATGGAATAAGATAAGAAAATTAAAAGTTCTAATGTAAAGAGGAGTGGTCCAGAATACCTGGGAGCTACAGGAAGCGTTCGGAGGCGGTTATTTCTGCTAAAGGAGGATTTATTAAATGTTCACTTCATCTCTTTCATGTGGTGCCAAATGTTGGCCCCTGCCTCATTCTGTTTAAACCATCATTCCCACTTTCTGTAAGTCCTCCAAACTTCTCAAACACCACAGTGTGTGTCTCCTATATAATCAGTCAATCAATACTTTATTAATCCCAGAGGGAAATTAGAGTTTCAGTACACACAATTCAGAGATCAGACACACATGGGCAAGACAATTGACAAGAATTGGTGACTGTGGTCATTCGCAACCCGAGCCGCGCTACCTTAATAGAGATCAGAGGGTTACTTGAGGATTGGTTCACGTGGAGGGAAAAAAAGGCACTCCACAGTTACCCTCCCACCAGGAGGGCAGCTTTGCTCTGCAAAAAAACACCTCAACAAATATGCAACAGACTTCAGACAACACAACATAGCATGAGACTCCAATAGGAAGGCGCGGGGGGGGGGGGGGGGGGGGATCCTACTTCCCTCAGTGAGAGCAGCCATCTACAGCGCTCATCTACTGTACAGTCACAGGTGGGAGGGAGATCTTGGGAGAAGCAAAGAGCACATTGACTCCTGCAGATTGATGACCTCGCCAGGCTGAAGTCCACCAATCCGAAGGCGGGAGGGGGTAGGTCGGGTTTTCACAGCATCTGTCTGCATTCCTTCGTGGGGGTTTGTTGCTTGCCGCTCAAGGCTACCAGGGCGTCAGATTCAGAAAACAAGAATTTGTTTGGGTCAGACTGAGGTAATTTTCCTCTCTGCCTTCAGTCTTTAAACTGATCATTCCAGTCCGTCAGTGAAGCCAATTTTGGGTTTTTAACTTGTCCATACCGTCCGTTGACTCTCTCCGAAATGACATCCATTTTGCGCACTAATACCGGTATCGCAGCTAGAACATTGTCCAGCTTACGATTCACCTCGAGTAACGTCCCAGTCTGAGAAGTCTCCACACGAACGGTGCTTTCCGTGGGTGCGGGTCGCCCTCCAATCGCTCCCGTCTTCCCAAATTTCCAGAAAACCAGATATCCTCCCACTCCAATCAGGAGAAATCCAGTGATCATCAGGCCGAATATCCACAATATAAGACATTTCATTGTTGGAGAAACTGAAACTCACCAGTCACCTCACACCGCCCAGAGTTTGTTCTTAAAGCTTGTAGTAAATCCACCGTGTCGGCACATTTTAACGAGCTTCCTCTGCGCTGTCTTTGGTTGCATCACTTCGTCTCTCTCACAGAGGAAAAGTTCAACAGACGTATTTGGTTACGTTTTTACCACCGCACGCCGAGTGTCGGGAAAGGTTGGGGGAGATGCAGTGCTGCAAAGTAGGAGTGACAGACGGGTGGGTAGGGCTTGAAAGGCGTGGATCAGAATTGGCAGATCCGTTATTTTCTCGGAGATCGACCGCAGATTCTTCTTCCGGTCGGCAGACTCGGACTCAAAACTAGGAATTGAAATGATAAATTTGAATGATTGTGGGAAAAAGTGTCAGTTAGTACTGGTTCTAATCTGTGCTCGACGCCCTTCCCTATTCATGTCACAGCAGACTGCCTTAAACCTCCACCGGTACCAGAGTGGATATTCTGACTAATTACTTCTGCTATGGGAACAAACCCCGACATAAAAAACTTACGTCCTGTCCACGGAGACACAAGTGCTGGCCAGCGTTGGACGTGTGTGTTAGGAGACTTGGCGGTCCAGTGGTCAGCGTAACGGACTGGCATGATCCAAAAGGGGCTCAGATGAAGGCAACTGGACTTCTTTGGTTTCTTGAAAAAGTTTTGCTTCTCATCCGAGGAACTTTGTCAATGTCGCCTGGTCACAGCTGTTCTGATGTTTAGGAAAATTCTACACACAAGTACTAGATGTGAATACTACACCATGTGTAAAATAGTTCTGACGCACGAAATAGGCACAGATCTGTAAGTACAGCTGATAAATGAGGGCCTGGGTGTTCTGGACATCAGCTGGTCCTCCGATGTAAAACTGTGTGTTCGTGACAAACATTTGTCTCTTGATTTGTCTCCTTGGCAGTGGACAGCCCATTCCTCGGATTGAGTACACCCCCGAAGAGGTGAGGACCTGGGGTGTTGTGTTCCGAGAGCTCACCAAACTTTACCCGACTCACGCCTGTAGGGAGTACCTGAAGAACCTGCCGCTGCTCACCAGGTACTGCGGCTATAAGGAGGACAACATCCCCCAGCTGGAGGACGTGTCTTTATTCCTCAGAGGTAGGTTGACATACTTCAGCTTTGCCTTCATGCTAGTGTCCCTACAGGAGAGTTTGTGTTGCAGGCCGATGAAACAGGAGATGGACGGACATTTAATCTGAGGTTTTATTCTACAATGTAGGCCTAGTCCACACGTAGCCGGGTTTTATTTTAAAACGAATATCCGCCCCTCCAAAAACTTGCATCCACACCACCTTGTTTTAAAAAAAACCTCTGTCCACACGTACCCGGATAAATACGTTGTTAAGGACATGCCAGACCTGTAGGCGGCAGTACTTCTCCTGTTCTTAACCTCGTCCTTCGTCTGTGGTCTTCCGCAAGGAGCAGTAATTCCACTTGCAAACACAAACAAGCAAAAAGCGCTTGGACAATTGATAAAGCGAGCGCAGCTCTGAGGGCATCCATGCTGTCGGCTAGTGTAAACACAGGTCGCACACGTGATGTCAGCATTTTTTTGTCGCGGAAAGTGACGTTGCGGACCTTAAAACTCCGGTTTTGTCTGTCCACACGCAGACACCCAAAACGGAGAAAACGCAGATCTTCACTTTGGCCGGAGTTTTTTAAAAGATCCGTTTTCGTGTGAAAAAACTCCGTTTTCGTGTGGATGACAGGCCAAAACGTAGAAAAATATCTACGTTTTGGCAGATCCCCGGCTACGTGTGGACAGGGCCTTAATCTCTGTGGTTATTCCCAAAGCTCGCACCTCCTTTGGCCACGCCTCATTCCAGTTTGCTGCTTCCAACGACTGGAATGAGCTGCAGAAACCACTGAAGCTCACTACCTACATTCCATTATCTACCTTCAATCATTCATGGTGATCAATAGTTTCTGATCAGTGTGTTTCTGAGTATTAAAGCCTGTTTTAGTCTGTTCTGTACGTATTATAAATGAGAACAGCCCTCTGTCTTCATATCTACCTGTTTAACTTCACCTGTTGTTCACTGGTGTAAAGCTAACTGTGTCTGCTGCTGCCTCTGGGCCAGATCCTCGTCGTAAATGATGAAGATGAGTACTAGGTCCACTCATCTGGTTAAATAACGGTGAATAAATCTTGCTCTCTGTTATAAGTGGCTGATGCTGCTTCCTGTTTCTTGATGATGTAAACGTCCTTCCTGTCTGTGAGGAAAGACAGGTATGATGTTCAGGTGTGCCACTCCTTCAGTCAGGCTTCGGGAGATTTTAAATGGCGACAGTACCACCAGCCGTGATTATAACTGATGACATCAGAGCTATTTGGTGACCTCACTTTCTGTGGGATTTGTGTTTTCAGACCGCTCTGGTTTTACGGTGCGACCGGTCGCTGGGTACCTGTCTCCTCGGGACTTTCTGGCGGGTTTGGCCTACAGAGTGTTTAACTGCACACAATACGTGCGCCACAGCACCGACCCACTCTACACACCCGAACCGTAAGTCCGACCGGTTCAGTAACAAACGGAGCCACGAAGCCAGTTCATTAGAGCAGACATGTCATGGTTTTATTTCAGTTATTAAAGCCTTAGGGTTGATGCAAAACATGTTTATGAAGTTATTTTTCATAAAATCGTTGATCCATCCATTCGGGGTCGGGTCGCGGGGGTGGGGGTGGGGGTGGGGGGTGGGTGGGGGCTCAGCAGCCTAAGCAGGGAGGCCCAGACTTCCCTCTCCCTAGCCACTTGGGCCAGCTCCTCCGGGGAACGCCGAGGCGTTTCCTGGCCAGCTGAGGGACATGACCCTCCAATGTGTCCTGGGTCTTCCTTTAGGTTGGACGTTGCCGGAAAACCTCACCAGGGAGGCATCCAGGAGGCACCCTAACCAGATGCCCGAGCCACCTCAACTGGCCCCTCTCGATGTGGAGGGGTGGGTCTACTCTGAGCCCCTCATGCTGATACCAGATACCCAGCCTGGACCTCAGAGGCCCAAGACCTAAGGGTCTTGTTACGACCCCAACCTGGTCTAGGAGCCAGGGAGGTCTAACACAGAAACGTGAGAATAAAAGGAAACGATCTGACACCAAGTCACAATCAAAGAAAGTCCTTTTATTAACTAAAAGCGTCCCAACGGGAGAAAAACCTGTTTAATTAAAAAGGGGAGTTCAACATAAGCTGCAGGAGACAAATCTGAGGACTAAGTAACTTAACAGAGCGTTAAAATGAGAACTAAAACTCACTGGTTCCAGATGTGAAACCAGGAACAACAGAAGCTTGCCCGGAGGCCTGACCAAAAGGTCCACTGGTGAACCAACTCACCCACACTACCGGCAGCTCAGTTAAGAGCAAGAGAAAACCTAGTTCAACCGTAAAGGTTTTCTCTTGAGGATGGAAATCAAACCCTCCAGGGGCAACCGTCACGTGGAAGTGTCACGTCACGTTTCCCAAAACGTTCTCAAGCTCAGTCTTTCTCTCAGCAGTCCTTCTCTCCAGTCTCTCTCTCAGTCTCTTGCTCTGCGTCCTCTCTCTGTGCGTTCTCCTCTCGCTCTGCTTTCTCCGTCTCTCCGTCTCCTTCCTCTCTCTCGCTCTCCTCTGCCTCCTCTGCCTCTCTGTCTCTCCTCTGCTCGAAGCAGCGCTGATCTTTATCCGCTCCAGCTGGGTGATTTTTGATGAGAGTCAGCTGCGTGAGTGAAGCCAAGGCACCGGGCACTCTCCATGGTCCTGGAAATGGTGCGGAGTAGAAGCTGAGTGCCGGGGAACTCGGGGTTCGTAACAGGCCTGATGAAGCTCAAGGGCACAGGCCCCACATGCCAGCCACTGGGAGCAAATCTGCAGATGGCCAAACACTCTGTCCCAGACATTAGAGCCACTTCTGAGGCAGACCCAGGCACCAGCAGGAGATGTGGCAGGGGGAGATGTCCCTGGAGAGGGGTGGAGTTCAAGACCTGATCTGACAATAAACAGTCACACACGCAAAACAATCACACATGCAAAACACGTAAAACATCCAATATGGGTCAACCTTGAGCAGACCACCTCGCCAAACGCAGAATAAAGCAACCCACCAGCCCAGATCCCAGCCCAACAGCCTGCCCGGGCACCTAAAAGAGAAGGGGGTGTAAATAGACCCCCAATCTATAGATCAGACCACACACACACACACACACACACACACACACACACACACACACACACACACACACACACACACACACACACACACACACACACACACACACACACACACACACACACACACACACACACACACACACACACACACACACACACACACACACACACACACACACACACACACACACACACACACACACACACACACACACACACACACACACACACACACACACACACACACACACACACACACACACACACACACACACACACACACACACACACACACACACACACACACACACACACACACACACACACACACACACACACACACACACACACACACACACACACACACACACACACACACACACACACACACACACACACACACACACACACACACACACACACACACACACACACACACACACACACACACACACACACACACACACACACACACACACACACACACACACACACACACACACACACACACACACACACACACACACACACACACACACACACACACACACACACACACACACACACACACACACACACACACACACACACACACACACACACACACACACACACACACACACACACACACACACACACACACACACACACACACACACACACACACACACACACACACACACACACACACACACACACACACACACACACACACACACACACACACACACACACACAGAGCAGAGGGCAGCACTTTTCTGGGGTTTCCGACCATCGGCGCAGTCCCGTCTTTACGGTGTTTTGTTGTTTACGTGTTTCAGAGGCTTTTTAACGCGCCACCTCTTCATCCAGTCGCCACCTCTAAACTCGTTTCTTGTCGTTTCCTGACACAAACAAGAAGTTTGCCCCGTCTCTTTGTACTCCTTCAGTCACGGTTGCATTAATGTGTCTGGGGTTCAACCCGAGTGGACCTGGCTGCAGCAAACTGAGAATGTGGGTTCACTGGAAACCAAGTCACCTCCACAGGAAGTCACTTGACCTAAAGTCATGTTGCCTTTTTTAAAGGAAAAACATACAGAAGCAAATTCTAAAAATAGAAAGCGCTTTGAAATCAACTTAAAGTTTTTTTTTGCATTCAAACTGGATCAAATATTTAATAATTTTTGTTGCTGATCATTTTTTTTTTTTTTTTTACAATCAAATTTACGGAGCAGAAATGCTGTGAAACACTGACGCAATAACCCTGAAAAGTACCAATAAACAGATGATGGAGGTGCGAGCGACTAGGTCATCAAGTGTTCTGCTGCCAACCCATTCAGTGATTTCAAACACACTCTAAAACCGACCTGATTGAGCTTCGCAGCAGAGTGTTGGATAAAAATGTTTCAGGAGGCCCTTCCAGCCAGTAGCCATCAGCCTCTGGGACACGTCCTTACCTGTGCATCCATTATTATTAGTTCCCTTTAAAACAAACACTGCCACATTGCTGGTATTACCCAGTGGCACTAAACATTTCTTCATGACACCATCAGAGCAACTTTAGGAACTTGACAAGACTCACTTGTGCAATAACCTCCATATCAGTAAAGCCCTAAAAGCAGAAACCAACAGGAACATGATTATGATGATTAATATTTGGTACAGATGCGGCTGGCTTCATGAACTTGCCTCACAGCCTGAGTCAGAAGTAACGGAGCTCCTCAGATGAGAAGCAAAACGTCTTCAAGAAACCGAAGAAGTCCAGTTGCCTTCGTCTGAGCCCCTTTGGATCCACGTCTCCTTATTTCCATCACTTCCTTGATTCATCTTTTGTATTTTAGTTATTCGGTCCCGCTCTGAACGTGAGACTGTCCTCCACGCCTTCATCTCCTCATGCTTAGACTACTGTAACTCCCTTTTCACCTGTTATATGTGAAGTTGTTTATTCTTGTGAAGCTCCTCGTGGTTTTTACCTTGAGAGGCTGTTTAAAAGACCCGTTTCTTCCTTTCTTTCTATCAATCAAAAGGGAAACCTTACACCATCGTAGTAAGAGTAGTGGTAATTGGTAAATGGCCTGTATTTGATATAGAGTCCTGGAGCCCCCCAAGGCGCCTTACAACACAATCAGTCATTCACCCATTCACACACTGGTGGGGATGAGCTACAATGTAGCCACAGCTGCCCTGGAGCGTACTGACAGAGGCGAGGCTGCCGAGCACTGGCGCCACCGGTCCCTCCGACCACCACCAGCAGGCAAGGAGGGTTAAGTGTCTTGCCCAAGGACACAACGACAGTGACAGACTGAGCGGGGCTCAAACCTGCAACCTTCCGATTACGGAGCGAGCACTCGCCCCAGAGTAGGAACATCTGGACCAGGGCTGGGCAGTCCTCGAGGGCCATCTTCCTACATGTTTTAATGTTTTCCATGTTTGAATACACCTGGTTTCAGTCAGCAGGTGATGAACCTGCTTCTACAGGGCCTGATGAGCTGCTGCACAGGTGGATCAGCTGTGTTGGAACAGGGAAACAACAAAAACCTGCAGGATCCTCCAGGACTGGAGTGTCCCACCCCAGAAATGCTCGACTAATCAGTGCTCAGTTCAACGACTAAAAATCAGATCAGTAGTCTGGATTCTATTCAGTAATTTCATTATTAATTAGACGTCCAAATTATAATCTGAGTAATAATGAAATGATACTCCCAGGTGATGGAGCTCCTAAGCAGGTCTTCCAGAAGACAGCTCATTCCAGCTGCCTGTATCCAGGATGGTGGACTGTCCTGACCCTGTGAGGGCTGGAACGTAAACAGACCAATACATTCAGAGCTTTGCCTTATTTCTGTTCCTTGTTCACCACCACAGATAACTGAGGCAGAACATCCTTTACCTAAGAAGTCCAGATCCGTTGTTCCATATCCCGCTCCATTCCAGAGCATTCCACTATGACCCAACCACACCCGTCCTGCTAACTCCATCTTCCACGTGAACATTGAGGTCCTCCAGAAAATCTGTGTTTGAAACCTTTACAAGCCGCTTCACCCGTAGACACATAGTGATCCCACAGGAAATGACCTTCTCTTGTCGCGAGCGTGGACTTTTATTGGTTCCGTTAGAACCTTAGAATACGCTGCGTTTTCAGGGAGGTTGAGGCTGCAGGTGAGTTTTACCGTACTGACCCTGGTTTGGACTCCCTAATTTAGAACTCGTTTTCTAGTTTAAGGTGAAATGAAAATTGTCGTACTTGTTCTTCTGTGATAACACACTTTCCTTTTAACTCTCCCGTTATTTAATTGTTTTAAATATTTGGGCGAAAGTTCACGAGAGGCCATCTTTGTGACTATTATTTGGGTCCTATCAGGATTAATTTGCGCCTCTGTCAGCAATGTGGGCGGTGGTAGCTAGAAAATGATTCCTGTTAGTTGATCAGGCTAACATGGATTAATCTAATTAATCCACCCTTTGAAATGGTTCCTTCCCACGCTGAACAGAGACTTTTTCACACTTGCAGAACAGAGCCTGTTTGAACCATTGAACCAGTTGGCCTTCTGCCATCTCTCCAGGACCTGTACGTCTCCAGAACTCGGGGGTGTGCAGGTCGGATAGCAGCTGACCCTTCTCACCCGGGTCACAGACTTTTTGAGCCGCTTCCCTCAGGCAGGAGGTTACGGTCCATCCGGATCAGAACCTCCCGCCATAAGAACAGCTTCTTTCCATCTGCCGTTAGACTTGTGAATAGCTTATAAACACACGACCATGCTGGTCTTCTGTACTCGACACAACATCACGTTATCGGCCATGTTACCATTAACCGGCCATTTTTTATAGCTGAAAGTTTTATTCTATTTTATTCTATTTTTAATCTTATTATTATTCATGTTATATGTAGCACATTAGTACCAAAGCAAGTTCCTAGTTTGTGAATTGTTTGTTCCCTGACAATGGCAACAAACCTATTCTGATTCTGATTCTTTGGTACCACCTCTTCTGCTGTTTCCTGTTCAGTTGGACCACTCCTGCCTGATTCCACTAGCAGAGCAAGCTCGAGCTTATCTTTGCTCTCCTTATGACTTTGTTTATTACCTTCATTGTTTTTGGCATGCGAGAGCTTGCAACACTCTCACACGGGCCCAGGTGATGACATACTATTTGGTTCTGTTTTCAGAGATACCTGCCATGAGCTGCTGGGTCATGTTCCTCTACTGGCTGATCCAAAGTTTGCTCAGTTCTCCCAAGAAATTGGTTTGGCCTCTCTAGGAGCATCTGATGAGGATGTCCAGAAACTGGCCACGGTGAGTCCCACGCTCCACACTGGGATGGGAGCAGGAGCGTTGGGCGAGCATGTTCAGACATCAGTCACCTGCTTTTCTCACTGGAAGCAGCCTGGCCCTGGTTCCCTTCTCTGGCTGAGCATAAAGTCTGACTGACACTGGTGATATCTCCTCCTGCCTTCAGAACCTGGTGGTTCTGTATGGTCCTAACAAATCCAGAATAGGGTCTTCTGAGAGGTCAGTCATCCTCACAGGGAGTTTAGGACATGGCCTGACGTTGGCACTGCTGACTGAAAAACCACAAGAAGTCCAGCAATGTCCGCTTCACAGGCCCAGAACCCAATCCAACAGCACAAACATCAGTGAAGCCTCCAAACTGCTGACAGCTCGTTGTCCCTGTTTCAGTGTTACTTCTTCACCATCGAGTTTGGACTCTGCAAGCAGGAGGGTCAGCTAAGAGCTTATGGAGCTGGACTACTGTCGTCTATCGGAGAACTCAGGGTAAGAAACACACACACACACACACACACACACACACACACACACATACACACACACACACACATACACACACACACACACACACACACACACACACACACACACACACACACACACACACACACACACACACACACACACACACACACACACACACACACACACACACACACACACACACACTCTGTCTCTCTCTCTCTACCCACCCAGATCAGACGTCAGAAGGGACATTTTTATCCATTTTCCAAAGCCGGGTAACGTTCCACGCGGAACAGCTGGAAAGAGATACGGGCCACGCAAAAGCCAGGCAGAGCTGAGCAGTAGCAGTATTTATGTGGAGGAGCAGATACAGGGGTGTGCATATGTTTGTTCATACATGTAGCTGTTGGGAAAGCTCCGACATCTGAAAGTAACGAGCTGATGCTAGCGACGCTCTCAGGTGTGGAGCTACCCAGGAGGCAGCGGTGTAAACGCAGGGCCCGCTGAACGTCTCGGACAAACGGCATCCAAACATGGACGAAATCGGCTTTTGACCAGAGGTGGGTGGTGTGTAAAAGTAGTGACACCAATAATAACCTAAGAGTAAAAAACTTAGAAGTTAGAGAAATGTTACTCGAGTACTGAGAGTAATGAGTAACTAAGCATAAACGTTTGACTTTAGTTAGTCCATTTGTTTTTACCCACGTCCAAGCGCTTTGTGTGCGTTTGACCAGTAGCGTTAGCAGCCTGCAGCACGGGGTCACCACAGTGAGTTCAACCGTGGAATACGCTGTTGTCTGGTACAACAGTTCTGACTAGAGGTTACAGGTCACTCTTCGTATTCTGAAATGGTTACAACAAAACAAAATTGTTCCCAGCTGGTTTTATTTTACAGATGACCCGATGATGACCTGATGAATGACCTGACGAGTGACCGGATGAATGACCTGATAAAAGACCTGATAATTGACCAGATGAAAGACCGGATGAATGACTTGATGAATGACTTGATGAATGACCTGATGAATGACCTGATGAATGACCGGATGAATGACCGGATGAATGACCGGATGAATGACCGGATGAATGACCGGATGAATGACCGGATGAATGACTGGATGAATGACTGGATGAATGACTGGATGAATGACCAGATGAATGACCTGATGAATGACCTGACGAGTGACTGGATGAATGACCTGATAAAAGACCTGATAAAAGACCTGATAATTGACCAGATGAAAGACCGGATGAATGACTTGATGAATGACTTGATGAATGACCTGATGAATGACCTGATGAATGACCTGATGAATGACCTGATGAATGACCTGATGAATGACTGGATGAATGACTGGATGAATGACTGGATGAATGACCGGATGAATGACCTGATGAATGACCTGATGAATGACTGATTTTGATATTTTTTCCGGCATGCCCTGTCTGATGAATGACCGGATGAATGACCTGATGAATGACCTGATGAATGACTGGATGAATGACCTGATAAAAGACTGATTTTGATATTTTTTCCGGCATGCCCTGTCTGATGAATGACCTGATGAATGACCTGATGAATGACTTGATGAATGACTTGATGAATGACCTGATGAATGACCTGATGAATGACCTGATGAATGACTGGATGAATGACTGGATGAATGACTGGATGAATGAGAATGACTGGATGAATGACTGGATGAATGACTGGATGAATGACCTGATGAATGACCTGATGAATGACCTGATGAATGACCGGATGAATGACTGGATGAATGACTGGATGAATGACCGGATGAATGACCTGATGAGTGACTGGATGAATGACCCGATAAATGATCGGATGAAAGACTGATTTTGACATTTTTCCCAGCATGCCCTGTCTGATGAATGACCTGATGAATGACCTGATGAATGACTGGATGAATGACTGGATGAATGACCTGATGAATGACCGGATAAATGACCTGATGAATGACCTGATGAATGACCCGAGAAATGATCGCATGAAAGACTGATTTTGACATTTTTTCCCAGCATGCCCTGTCTGATGAATGACCTGATGAATGACTGGATGAATGACCGGATGAATGACCTGATGAGTGACTGGATGAATGACCCGATAAATGATCGGATGAAAGACTGATTTTGACATTTTTTCCCAGCATGCCCTGTCTGATGAATGACCTGATGAATGACTGGATGAATGACTGGATGAATGACCTGATGAATGACCTGATGAAAGACTGATTTTGATATTTTTTCCCAGCATGCCCTGTCTGATGAAGCCTGTGTCAAGATGTTCGACCCAAAGATAACCTGCCACCAAGAGTGTCTCATAACCACCTTCCAGGAAGTTTACTTTGTTTCTGAGAGCTTCGAGGAGGCCAAAGAGAAGATGAGGTTAGCAGCATCGCACCTATGGCCCTTCACCAGTACAGGTGCTGGTGAAGGTTCTCACTCATCCAGGTCATGATAATCCAAATGGTTCAAACGAAGGCAGCTGGACTTGATTAGCTTTGTTCACTCAGAACTGAAAGCAACTCTGATGAGAAGCAAAACGTTTTCAAAACACCAAGGAACACCAATGGCCTTCATCTGAACCCTTTGGGTCACTAGTACCAGTACAGGTGACAGATCTGCTGCTGTGGCCCCCAGACTCTGGACCTCTCTCCCCCTGAGCCTGAGATCCGTGGACTCAGTGGTCTCCTTTAAACTCACCTGTTCAGGCTCTGGTGGGACCTCCTCTTCATGCTACTGTTTGTCTTTTCCAGGCTCTTCGTTGTTTTTACTGGATCTGTGAAAGTCTTCTACTTAGTGCTACTTTACTTGGTTTGACCTGGTTCCAAGACATTTCCATTAGGAACCGGTCCCAGGTTGCTGCCTCCGTTATGTTTTTTAGCAGTTTAAAAGTTGCTCCGTGCATCCCGAGCCAAGCTGACAGCTTCAGCGTTTTGCACCTCGCTGTTTTCAGCCTTTTCCAAGTCTCTTCTTTTCAGGCTGACAAAAAGCCAATGGCTGTACCAAATCACTACCATTACCTGCTTTGCTGCATTTTGTTTATTGTGTCACAAACAGATTGTCTCACACAGCTTTTTGAATTGTAATTTGAATGGCAAAAAACGTGGAGCAAAGCCCACTAATAGTTTTCACATGAGGATGAAGTCCCCAGGGACCAATCATCTGGATTCAACTGAAGGAGCTTTATGGTCTTTGGGTGAGACCACCCTGAATGATTAAATGTAGAGGTGTTAGGACAGTCTATCTGATTTTTTTTTCTGTTTAAATGACCGATTCTTCAGTTTGACTCCATATTTGGGTCAGATTTGGACCTGCTGAGTCCTGATGTGGACCTTTTGACCTTCAGTCAGCACTGACACATTTTATTTTCTTCTCTCGTGCAGGGAGTTTGCAAAGACAATCAAGAGGCCGTTCTCGGTCTACTACAACCCGTACACACAGAGCGTGGACCTGCTGAAGGACACACGCAGCATTGAGAACGTAGTTCAGGACCTGCGCAGTGACCTCACCACAATCTGTGATGCTCTTGGAAAGATGAACACCTACTTAGGCATCTGAGACGTTGTCCTCATCTGTAATGTGTGTCTCACAACATTATGATGCATGTGTATAGTGTGTAGAGCCTCACTTGTTCATCTGTGGAACCCTGAGAATCCACAAGTTGATCCAGTCATCTTTTGGACCTTCAAATGATCTTATAGTTTAGAAATGAACAGGCTCCATCATCAGCTACCTACAGCACAACAGAGCATCAGTGTCTTTTCAGACTGGAAGGAAATGTGCTTTCAAAATAAATGTCTGTAAAATTGCTCAATAATATGGATTAGACTCCAGGTAGCAGCTGCAGCTCCTCCCCACACCGCTGCAGCTGTAGCTGTAACTCCGCCCTACACTGCTGCAGCTCTGCCCTGCCCCACACCGCTGCAGCTGTAGCTCCGCCCCACACTGCTGCAGCTGTAGCTGTAGCTCCGCCTCACACAGCTGCAGCTGCAGGTCCGCCCTGCCCCGCCCCACACCGCTGCAGCTGCAGCTCCAGCTCCAGCTCCACCCCACACCGCTGCAGCTCCACCCCACACCGCTGCAGCTCCGCCCCACACCGCTGTAGCTGCAGCTCCAGCTCCAGCTCCAGCTCCACCCCACACCGCTGCAGCTCCGCCCCACACCGCTAGAGCGCCTCCCCACACTGCTGCAGCTGCAGCTCCCCCCCACACCGCTGCAGCTGCAGCTCCGCCCTGCCCCGCCCCACACCGCTGCAGCTGCAGCTCCATCTCCACCCCACACTGCTGCAGCTGCAGCTGCAGCTCCACCCTACACTGCCGCAGCTCCACCCCACACCGCTGCAGCTCCACCCTACACTGCTGCAGCTCCCCCCCACACCGCTGCAGCTGCAGCTCCGCCCTGCCCCGCCCCACACCGCTGCAGCTGCAGCTCCATCTCCACCCCACACTGCTGCAGCTCCACCCCACACCGCTGCAGCTCCGCCCCACACCGCTGCAGCTCCACCCCACACCGCTGCAGCTCTGCCCCACACCGCTGCAGCTGCAGACATTACACATACACGGGTTGATGGGTTGTTTATTTTGCCTGTACAGTTTAGTCATCCTTTAGTTTTTTTAGAGCCTCACTGGTAGAGTGAAACTACAGATTGGCTAATGCTAATGCTAGCAGGTAGCACGCTCACGATCAAGTGGTGGTGATGAGCTACGATGTAGCCACAGCTGCCCTGGGGCACACTGACAGAGGTGAGGCTGTTGAACTCCCTCTGAACACCATCAGTAGGCAAGGTGGGTTGTGTCTTGCCCAAGGACACAACAGCAGCATTCTTTAGTAGGAGCTGGTATCTAACTTGCAACCTTGCAATTCCGGAACAACCCGCTGTCCCTCCTGAGCTGCTGTTGTCCAGTCAAGAAAATATAAAATTCCCCTAGAGATCAACGACGAAAGTCCATTTTAACATAGCGGTTTTAGGACCGATCTAAAACGTAGCGAGGGCGCCAGACGGACGGGCAGCGGGAGCGTGTTCCATCCTTTAGGAGCAGCAAACGCCTGCTCACCACCTGATTTATGCTTCACTGAGCCCTAACTCTGGAGCGTTTCTGCCTTTTAAAACAGTCTGTGTCTTTCCTGGCTTCTGTTTCCTCCACAGCACCTAGATGGCCACATTCTGTACCAGTAAAGTGTTTTCAGACTGTGGTGTGCCGTTTGAAGCTTCGAATCATAAAAACAATTAGAGAAATTTAATGAGTCCAACCGTTTGAACTATTCGAGGATTTGTTTCAGTCAGATTTAGGTTGGGTGGACCGTTCTTCAACACTGTCAGTGCCAACATGAGCACTGAAGTCCCCCAGCAGGACTACGGAGTCCCGTGTTGGAGCTCCATCAAACGCTCATCCCTGGTATAATTCCCCCTGACACGTACAGACTCCAGCTGCTGATTTGGTACAGTTCTGCACAGGAAAGCTATAGAACTCTAACTCTGTTTCTTCATAGTGAATGCTTGAACACTTATTAGAAAACAAAACACACACACACACACCTGAGCTGTCAAAAGAAATTCAACACGTTTCTTCCTTTATCTTCAAATTTCTTAAAGTAGCTGTGACAATAACCTTCCAGCAGAACCTCATTCATCCGTTTTGTCTGACCCAGCCAGCCCATGTTGCCATGGTGATCCAGCTGCTTTCAAAAACAGACTCTCCATCATCATCCCCTTCCTTAAAAGATCTGGCTTCATAGTTCATCTCTTGTCCGTATGTGGTCACCTTGCTGCTGGATGTTCAGGTATCACCTGACATCCAGATATTTGAACCCTAAAGGCCCTGGCCCATCTCTAACAGCTGATTGGTGCAGAGTGCTCAGCCTCTGCTGGTTGTTTCAGAATCTGGTTCCAGAAACAAAACATGGCTGGACCTTCTAACTACAGGAGGAGGCGGAGCCTCTTGATCTACCAATTACATGTGTTAATAGGTCAGATAAGGTGTGTGTGTGTGCTGGGCAGATGGTGGTAACTGAACCTACAGGCTGGGTTGATGTCTGTATGACGTAGATTTGTTCGTGTGAAGCTTTTCTGCTGTAATTCATCTCATTAAAACCAAAGTGAAGAATCCACTTTTCTCTTGCTTCATTTTTTCTGTTATTCTGTTGAGATCCAGAACCGTCAGACAGCATCAGAGTCTTCATCCCTGAAGATGGCACCCCAACCAGGCCGTGAGTGTTGTTAAAGCCAAACCAACGACACCTACATGTGTTACACCACAGGGACATCAGACCCTTGCAGCACTAGAACATTCCAGAAAAGAGTAAATCAAATCATTTGTGCCATTTCTTTTCAGATGGTGCAAATGATATCGGTTCCCTCAGATCTTTCCCGTGAGAACCTGACCAGAACTTGTGATATGCCACTTCAGCAGTCTTGGGTAACCAGGTGGAACCGGTTTGCTCCAAACACAAGAACACTCGTTACACCAAACCCTTAATGGATGTTTAGTTAATTAAATGTTTAATTGTTCAGGTTGGGAGATCCTATTATCATCTCATAAGTCTCTAAATACCAGGAGGAGATGAACATTTTTATGCCTTATTATTTGTATTTATTGACAAACTGGTTAGCTGTAGTCGAACTGGTGCTGTGATGGCCTGAAACCAGACCGAAACAAACTGATCCTCCAGGTCAGTTGGTTATGAACCACGTATTCAAAAAACTATAATAAAAAGGAAGTTTGGACAGCGGACTCCGCCACAGGAAATGCTCCTGATGACCATGTTCAGAGCAGAGGGGCAAACCCTGTAGGATCCCAGCTAGTTTAGGGGTAGGCGGTCTTCTGGAGGTCCAGAGGGTTCAGGCTAGCTATCGCTGAAGACATGATGATCAACCTGATATCTGATCTTTTTCAGGCTCTCTGAACTCATACAGAGATGGTGTCCAGGTCAAAGGTGCAGCAGAGTTTATGGCACTGTACAGTTTCTTTATTAGGTCAGGGTAATGTGTAAGTTGTCCTTTTTCCACCTGTGTTCAAGAACCCTGCACAGAGTTTCATCAGTGTAATGCTTGTTAATACCCGTTAACTTTAGCTTGGAGAGAGAGAGAGAGAGAGAGAGAGAGAGAGAGAGAGAGAGAGAGAGAGAGAGAGAGAGAGAGAGAGAGAGAGAGAGAGAGAGAGAGAGAGAGAGAGAGAGAGAGAGAGAGAGAGAGAGAGAGAGAGAGAAGAGAGAGAGAGAGAGAGAGAGAGAGAGAGAGAGAGAGAGAGAGAGAGAGAGAGAGAGAGAGAGAGAGAGAGAGAGAGAGAGAGAGAGAGAGAGAGAGAGAGAGAGAGAGAGAGGAGAGAGAGAGAGAGAGAGAGAGAGAACCTACATGTCCTCCTGACGCCCTTGTAACAGGTGCTGGTGCCGTAAACGTGAGGCCATGACTAACTTTACCTGATTTTATTCATATTTAAAAAAACACCCTATTATATTTTTGTTACACAGGTTATAATGGAAGGCTGTGTGAGGGTGTGTGTCCTGGTTGGGCGGGTACTGGGAACACACCTCTGAACGCATCACCGCGTCTTAAAGACAGAACCTACAGCTGAGCTGCTTTCTGTTCTGGTTCTTCGTCTAAAACAGAGTGAGAGAAACAAAATGGTCTTTCATATACGGTTAAGATAAAAACTGGCGGCACACAGCCAGACCAATGAAGAGGCAGGACATTCCAAGCAGCCAATCGGCTGGTTGCACTGGCACAGCTGCGTTTGTTTGTCATTGGATGGGTCGCGTGTTTCTCCCACTGAGCGGTACCATAACATTCTGACTCTTTAAGCATAGATAAAATCATTCTTTATCTCAAACTGATTTTTCTCTCAGCTCCAAACAGTAAAAAACAAATGCCTAAATATTAAAATCAAAATAAAAAGTGTGAAAATGTGCAAATTATGCTTTTGTGCAAGAAAGCAAAACAGACAATGGTCACTGGCTCCGCCTCTGTGTTTTATGCCCCACCCCCAAAGAGATGTTAGAAAGCTGCACATTCAGTCAGTGATGATCATCTCTGCTCTTGTCTGCCTAAAGCCCGAACCCGTGTCCTGAAGTCTGCCAGGGTTCTGTTTTGTTAGCTGATTGTTTTATTTTGCAATAAAACTGTTGATCTTGTAAAAGAGGCTGAAACAGATCAGCAGAGACTAATCATCTTAGCTGCAGGCAGGATGTAGAGGGTGGAGGACCAGGTCTTCCTCTGTCCTCCCCTTCCTCCTGACCAGGACAGGATGCCGGCATAACGAGGAGGTCCTGTCCAGCTGGATCAATGGTTGTCAGTCAGCCAGAAGATAAGAGCAGGATGTGGATTTTGACACTGTTGTTCAAAAGCTTCATTTCCTCCACCAGCCAATGCTCTGAGTGCAAACAGATCCAAGCTCTGAAGAATGTTTCACCTGATGGATTCAAACATGGAGGTTCCTCAGACCTCAGGACCTGGTTCAGTTCAGGTCCCACCGAGTCCACTTCAGTCCAAGAGCAGAGTTTTAGTACAGCACACATGCACGCACGCACGCACGCATGCACGCACGCACGCACACACACACACACACACACACACACACACACACACACACACACACACACACACACACACACACACACACACACACACACACACACACACTCTCTCTCTCTCTCTCTCCAGAACTGTGAGGTGACAGAAGCATTTGCGGATCCTTTCATGGATCTCAGCTGGATGTTCGGTAGAATTCCTGAACTTGAAGAATTTCCTGCTGCAGCTGGAGCATCCCGTTGAATAGGAGGAAGTTGTGTTGCAACCCGTTTTCCTCTCAGACCCACTTCCCTTCAGTCGTTCAGTTGGACTCATCGTTGGCACGGAGAGCAGCCGAGGAACATGGTTACCCTGGTTCTACTGCTAGGATTCTGCTGTCTATGTAAGTAATGCTGCTACTGGTTCTGATCCAGATTAACTTGTGTTCTTGTTGGTGTCCAACATCCATTGTTGACTTCCAGCTTAATTTCTTCCATGAGTTGTGAAGAATTCTAAAAAGGTGGAATGGATTTGGATCATTTAAGGTGTTTATTTGTAGTTACCAGTGATTATTGTCCATTTCACAGCTGATGTTACTGGACTGAACAGAACCCCACTGGTTTAGTGATCTGGTCACTTCCTTATATTTACAAACAGATCTAATTAGTTCTGTTTTTGAATGGCTGATGAGGACTTTCCCCGCATTTATTTTATTGTGAAAAACTTTGTGGTTTAAAATTTTCAGAGATGCCAAATATATATAGAAGTTTACGGACTACCTTTGTCCTTCTAACCCAGGGGTGGGCAACTCCGCATGAGCTGCTATCCAGAATGTTCTAGTTGTTTCTCCGCTGAATCACCTGATTACCATCAGCTGTGATCAAGCAGAGAACCAACTAAAACATGCTGGATAGCCGAACCCTAACAATGGAGGACCAGGATTGCCGACCCCTAGTCTAACCTTATTCTGTGTCTTTGAACAAAAACCAAAACACGTTTCTGGAAGCTGCAGACACCCGGATGGATACCCACAAATAGTCATGCAGTCCTAGGAGAAAAACTTGTCTTAAGATGATTAGATTAGTGTACACACACACACACACACACACACACACACACACACACACACACACACACACACACACAAAGTGTCTTGAACATATCTTCTCATCCTCGACCCCGTTTCTAGGTTCGTGTTCAGATTTTACCTTTGGGAAATAAATTAAATATGGGTAGAATAAATTAATTTCTACCAAACTGAGATAATTTCTTCAATCCTGATCTGATTCTGATCTGATTCTTAGCGGTGGAGAACTCATTGCCCCCCCCCCCCATCCCCCCCCCCCCATCCCCCCCCCCCCCCCCCCCGGCAGACTCTATCAAAGAGCCGGTACTTTTCAAAGTGACCCCCCCCTCCCCCGCGGGTGCTACAGGTCGAAGTTAAAACAAATCATTAGGCTTCCAAATCTGTAACCCTCCACTGGCCATGCCCCCAGTTACTTCTCTGTGACAGTCTGAATGTTTTACTATCTGGTTTTCTATTGTAGTACCCTGTATGTCCACTATGTGTCGCTACTGAATCCAGAGCTTATAAAATGTTTTTCGCTATTCATGCTACAGTGACGATAAACAGCACTTATCTCCCATATCATAACATATTTTACTAAATTAATGTTTATCTGAAAAATGCACATTTTCTTTTCTAAATGAGAATACCATGTTCATCACTAAGGCTCTTCTGATTTTCAGACACAACGTCCTCTTCCATTTTTCATCCACCCGAACATGAACTGGTGGAGCTCTACAGCACTGATGATGTCAGCAGTCCTCCCACAGCCATCACTACTGAGCCATTTGCTAACATGAACAGAACTCACAGAACCACTAAACCCTCCAGAACCTCCAACATCCACAGTTCACCATCTGAAACCGTTTTGACTCATGTGAATACCACCAGACCACCAGATTTGCATCCAGATGCTTCATCTTCAGTCACACAGCTATCACTCTCACCCAGTCCAGCAGTGCTCACCACTGACCAATCAGACAAGCCAGACAGAACATCAGAAATAAGACAGTCACAGCTCAAGATAGAAGCAGCATCAGTGCAGTCAGAAGGGCCCAACACATCGGCCTCTCCACATGAAAACCAGCAGAATTCAACATGGAGGAGAACCATACGTCTGATTTTCCCTACAGGTCCTCCGCTGACGAGCATGGGCGAAACAAAGATGGTCACAGTTCCATCTGGTTACTTGTCTGGAGCTGCTGTTTCTGAGTCAACAACACCTCAATCTTCTGATAAGGACATATATACCTCAGCTCCCCCTGCTGTAGATGACCCATCTGTCAAGTCTCACCTCAAACCTGCAAGAAGAATTATGACAGAGACAGGCACATCACCACTCACACATGCTTCCACAGGGGCAGTAACACCTACTATTACACCCACGGTAACATATGCTACTACACCTGCAGCATCATTTGCTATACCTGCAGAAACCACTACTGCAATACCTGCTACGGCACCTGCAGAAACACTTTCTTCTACATCTGTAGCAACGGTTTCTACTACACCCACGATAACCCATACTGCACCCACAGTAAATACTGCACCCACAGTAACACCTACTGGTACATCCACAGTAACACATACTACACCCACAGTAGCACCTGCTACTACACCCACAGTAACACATACCACACCCACAGTAACACCTGTTACTACACCCACAGTAACACCTGCTACTATACCCACAGTAACACCTGCTGGTACATTCACAGTAACATCTGCTACTACACCCACAGTAACACCTACTGGTACATCCACAGTAACACATACTACACCTAAAGTAACACCTACTGGTACATCCACTGTAACACCTGCTACTACACCCACAGTAACATATACCACACCCACAGTAACACCTGCTACTACACCTGCAGTAACACCTGTTACTACACCCACAGTAACACCTGCCACTACACCCACAGTAACACCTGCTACTACACCCACAGTAACGCCTGCTGGTACATTCACAGTAACATCTGCTACTACACCCACAGTAACACCTACTGCTTCACCTACAGTAACACATACTACACCTAAAGTAACAATAGTTACTACATCCACAGTAACAATGGCTACTACACCCACAGTAACACCTACTACTACACCCACAGTAACACTAGCTACTATATCCTCTGTAACATCTGCTACTACACCCACAGTAACGCCTACTACTACACCCTCAATAACACCTGCTACTACACCCACAGTAAAGCCTACTACTACACCCAGAGTAACACCTGCTACCACACTCACAGTAACACCTGCTACTACACCCACAGTAACACCTACTACACCCACAGTAACACCTGCTACTACATCCACAGTAACACCTGGTACTACACCCACAGTAACGCCTATTACTACACCAACAGTAACACCTGCTACTACACCCACAGTAACACCTACTACTACACCCACAGTAACACCTACATTAACACCTACTACACTCATAGTAACACCTGCTACATCACAGACAGTAACACCTGCTACTACACCTGCTGCAAAACCTGCTACTGCACCTTCCATAATACCAGCTAATAGACCTGCTATTACACTGACAACAGTACCTACAACCCCTACTACTACACCTACAGCAACCACTCCCTCAGCAGGTTGGATGACTACTGTCAAAACTACACCACTGTACCCTGCCAGCATCTCCACCAGAACCTCAAGCAGAACCGTTTCACCTGCTGCTCGCTCCACCACACCTGTGAGTACGCTGCCTGATTGTTGCAAGTTTTATCATTTTTGAAAACTTCTTAAACCAAAATTACAAACAGGTAAACTGTTTCAACATGTTTTAATTTTCATAGTTATACATATGTTCCAAATTTTAAACCACAAAAAATGCAACAGGACTTCTTCAATTGTTGCTTGAATATGTTTAACTTATCATCCTAAATACCACCTCATTTTGGGGAAATCTGTAGATTTCTGAGTGATGAGATTTAGGGTCACTTCACAATTTAATGTTTGTTCTTCATCTTTAATATAAATATAGATTCTTCTGCTTGTTTTCCTTTCCTACCATGTTCTCTGGACGCTTCAACATCAGTGCTCTTAGGATCCACTAAGGTCTTCTTTGTCTGTTCTTCAGTTTATGTGAGGACAATGTTTTTGAGGTCTTATGATGATTTTCATTTCACTTTTTAATGGGTGTCAAAAAGTAGATTCTGGTCTGGAGACCCACACATTGTACATTTCCAATCTCAAGGTCAAAGAAGGGTCAGCTTTAATTGTAAAGCACGTATACTTTTGCTCACTCAACCCAAAGTACTGTATATGACAATGCAGCCACAAAAAAACACACCCAAAGAAATAATAAACCCATGAATAAAATTACAAAGTCAAGTAATAAAACCACAGTAAAAGTAGATAAAAGGTAAAAGAAAAGCTACACAGATCAAAGCAATGCATTTTAAGTAAAGACTTCAAATACTCCAAACTATGAGAGGTCCTTAGTTGTATTGGAAGGCTGATTCAGAGCCCAGGACCAGCCACTGATGATGCTCTACCTCCACGGGTCTCCAGACGGGCTTTTGTTTTATTAAACAGGAACTGGACCTCATGATTCTGACAGGAGTGTAGGTGGTCGTGGATCATCTGTGTATTGTGAAGCCAGTCCATAGAGAGATTTAAAAACACACCGAAAACACACACTTTTGTATCTGACTGCAAAAGTCAGAAATGTTAAAAGCTAAAAATTGAAAATAAAAATGTAAAATGGAATTTCGATTTATCTTAACTGTTAGCAGATTTAGCCGCTTATTGCTGTCATGAAACAAGTCGTCACCTCAGATCTTTAGAAACCCACAGCATGACATCATCAAAGCCAACCAAGTCTGTATGTTATATGACATCACAAGTGTGAGAGAGCACACGAGTGAGAGAACACACGAGTGAGAGAGCACACGAGTGAGAGAACACACGAGTGAGAGAGCACACGAGTGAGAGAACACACGAGTGAGAGAACACACGAGTGTGAGAACACACGAGTGAGAGAGCACATGAGAGTGAGAGCACACAAGTGAAAGAGCACATGAGTGAGAGAGCACACGAGTGAGAGAACACACGAGTGAAAAATCACACAAGTGAGAGAACACAGGAGTGAGAGAGCACACGAGTGAGAGAACACACAAGTGAGAGAGCATTCAGTGAGAGAACACACGAGTGAGAGAGCACACGAGTGAGAGAACACAAGAGTGAGAGAACACACAAGTGAGAAATCACACAAGTGAGAGAACACACGAGTGAGAGAGCACACGAGTAAGAGAGCACACGAGTGAGAGAACACACGAGTGAGAGAGCACATGAGTGAGAGAGCACATGAGTGAGAGAGCACTCGAGTGAGAAATCACACAAGTGAGAGAACACACGAGTGAGAGAGCACACGAGTGAGAGAACACACAAGTGAGAGAACACACAAGTGAGGAAATCACACGAGTGAGAGAGCACACGAGTGAGAGAACACACAAGTGAGAGAGCACTCGAGTGAGAAATCACACAAGTGAGAGAACACACGAGTGAGAGAGCACACGAGTGAGAGAGCACACAAGTGAGAGAACACACGAGTGAGAAATCACACAAGTGAGAGAGCACACGAGTGAGAGAACACACGAGTGAGAGAGCACATGAGTGAGAGAGCACACGAGTGAGAGAGCACACGAGTGAGAAATCACACAAGTGAGAGAACACACGAGTGAGAGAGCACACAAGTGAGAGAACAAACGAGTGAGAAATCACACAAGTGAGAGAACACACGAGTGAGAGAGCACACGAGTGAGAGAACACACAAGTGAGAGAGCATTCAGTGAGAGAACACACGAGTGCGAGAGCACACGAGTGAGAGAACACAAGAGTGAGAGAACACACGAGTGAGAGAACACACAAGTGAGAGAGCACACGAGTGAGAGAACACACAAGTGAGAGAACACACGCGTGAGAAATCACACAAGTGAGAGAGCACACGAGTGAGAGAACACACGAGTGAGAGAGCACATGAGTGAGAGAGCACACGAGTGAGAGAGCACACGAGTGAGAAATCACACAAGTGAGAGAGCATTCAGTGAGAGAACACACGAGTGCGAGAGCACACGAGTGAGAGAGCACACGAGTGAGAGAGCACACGAGTGAGAAATCACACAAGTGAGAGAACACACGAGTGAGAAATCACACAAGTGAGAGAGCACACAGTGAGAGAGCACACAGTGAGAGAGCACACGAGTGAGAGAACACGAGTGAGAGAACACGAGTGGAAGAGCACTCGAGTGAGAGAGCACATGAGTGAGAGAGCACATGAGTGAGAGAGCACACGAGTGAGAGAACACACGAGTGAGAGATCACATGAGCACACGAGTGAGAGAGCACTTGAGTGAGAGAGCACACGAGTGAGAGAACACACAAGTGAGAGAACACACAAGTGAGAAATCACACAAGTGAGAGAGCACACAGTGAGACAACACACGAGTGAGAGAACACATGAGTGAGAGAGCACACGAGTGAGAGAGCACATGAGTGAGAGAGCACACGAGTGAGAGAACACAAGTGTGAGAGAACACACGAGTGAGAGAGCACACGAGTGAGAGAACACACGAGTGAGAGAGCACACGAGTGAGAGAACACACGAGTGAGAGAACACACGAGTGAGAGAACGAACGAGTGAGAGAACACACGAGTGAGAGAACACACGAGTGAGAGAGCACATGAGTGAGAGAGCACACGAGTGAGAGAGCACACGAGTGAGAGAACACAAGAGTGAGAGAACACACAAGTGAGAAATCACACAAGTGAGAGAGCACACGAGTGAGAGAACACACAAGTGAGAGAACACACAAGTGAGAGAGCACACGAGTGAGAGAACACACGAGTGAGAAATCACACGAGTGAGAGAGCACACGAGTGAGAGAACACACGAGTGAGAGAGCACACGAGTGAGAGAGCACACAAGTGAGAGAGCACACGAGTGAGAGAACACACAAGTGAGAGAACACACAAGTGAGAGAACACACGAGTGAGAAATCACACAAGTGAGAGAGCACACAGTGAGAGAGCACACGAGTGAGAAAACACAAGTGTGAGAGAACACACGAGTGAGAGAACACACAAGTGAGAGAACACACGAGTGAGAAATCACACAAGTGAGAGAGCACACAGTGAGAGAGCACACGACTGAGGGAACACGAGTGAGAAAACACGAGTGGAAGAGCACTCGAGTGAGAGAGCACATGAGTGAGAGAACACACGAGTGAGAGAACACATGAGTGAGAGAGCACTCGAGTGAGAGAGCACACGAGTGAGAGAGCACTTGAGTGAGAGAGCACACGAGTGAGAGAACACACAAGTGAGAGAACACACTAGTGAGAAATCACACAAGTGAGAGAGCACACAGTGAGAGAACACACGAGTGAGAGAACACTTGAGTGAGAGAGCACACGAGTGAGAGAGCACATGAGTGAGAGAGCACACGAGTGAGAGAACACACAAGTGAGAGGACACACAAGTGAGAAATCACACAAGTGAGAGAGCACACAGTGAGAGAGCACACGAGTGAGAAAACACAAGTGTGAGAGAACACACGAGTGAGAGAACACGAGTGAGAGAACACACGAGTGAGAGAGCACAAGTGTGAGAGAACACACGAGTGAGAGAACACGAGTGAGAGAGCACACGAGTGAGAGAACACACGACTGAGGGAACACAGGAGTGAGAGAACACGAGTGGAAGAACACTCGAGTGAGAGAGCACATGAGTGAGAGAACACATGAGTGAGAGAACACATGAGTGAGAGAACACATGAGTGAGAGAACACATGAATGAGAGAGCACACGAGTGAGAGAACACACGAGTGAGAGAGCACATGAGTGAGAGAACACACGAGTGAGAGAGCACATGAGTGAGAGAACACACGAGTGAGAGAACACACGAGTGAGAGAGCACACGTGCAGGTCAGGAACCAGGAGGATGTCCGGAGTGTCACCGTGAACAGCGACCACAGGCGGCACATGTACTTTGACAGGAGGAGCATCCACCCAGTTGCCAACATTGGCCATGTGCTTCAGTCAGTAGATGTCCTCTGGGGACACGACCTGTAAGGTGATGATGAACGCTAGTTCTCTAGCATCGGGTCTACTCGAAGTGCCCAACAAGACAGCTAGGTGAGTTTGAAGGGAAATCCCATTTCCATTCATAGTCCTGCTATGCGCGTCTCAAACCACAGCCAGAAAAACAAGATATGGAGGAATCCTCCCCATGAGGAGGGTGTCTATAGAAGCACTAACTCCCAGAATACAGTCGGACAGGCCAGTGGTCAGCAGCTGGGTGTGGGCGTAATCGACCCAGATGAATAAACGTAGTTCGTTCAACGCGGCGGCAGTTTTACGCAACATCTTGCTGTGTGTGTTTAGGACCACCATAGTATGGCATTCAGAAGTCTTTGCAGCTTCAAGGCACGCTGTAAAGGAGTACAGGAAGCTATCTATGACAAACAGGACAACTTTACATGAAACAGAGGAGGAGGACTCAGGTTCACCTTTCCAGCACCTTTAATGCAGCTCTGAATCTAACTCCAAAGTTTCAGTCCAGGTCACACCTTCCTGCATCTAATCAAATCAACCATTCTAACACAATGGGACACAACAACATGAAAAAACTCATCAGGGTTTAGGGAGGAGGGGTATTCAGAGGGAGTTTCTGCTCCTTAAGCAACAACAGAAAGCTATAGTTTATAAGTTTGACCCTCCCATATTGCAGTCACAACTGACAAAGCTCCTCTGATGAGAAGCAAAACATCTTCAAGAAACCAAAGAAGTCCAGCTGCCTTCATTTGAACCCCTTTGAATGATTGAAATCATCCTGGGTTTGGCTGTTTGCTATCACCGGTTGTTTCTGCCGTGCCAGGTCCAGACTGTGGTGAGGCCCAGATGTTCTGTGAAGCTGACAGAGATCAGGTCCAGCTCAGACTCAGCAGTGGTTCGACTCACTGCTGCTTGTTTGTCACCGAACCTCATCGTTGTCCCAACCACTGGCTTCCGGTCGAATGCTGTCCACTGCAGCCCAGAGGGACATGCTGAATCTGTATTCATCTGTAAAGTGACAGAGCTAGAACCAGGAACGTTAAACCAGCTGATGGTGATCTCTAAGAAGGATGGAGAGAAGAGCTTTGGCGTAGTGCGTTCAGGTAAGGACTCATCCGCATGACAAAGATGATTCTATTTTCTTTTTTGGGACCTACAGGGATGGAACTCAGTCAGTTTACACTCAAATAAAAAAATCATTGTATCTATTTTCACATTTAGTGCATGATGTTGGATTTGAAACACCCATTCTGCCCTTTGACCTTCAACATCAATAAAAACAGAAAAGGATTCGTCTACAGTAGTTTTACACCCTCAGACTTTATCAACCAATCAGCTTTCTGTCCCCAACAGTGCTGCCAGTCACCTTGCAAAAGTAATCTGGTAACTGCCGGTCAAAGTTCAGGCTCAAGTCCCACCATTGTTGGGCTCTGAAGTCGGTTAAAGGTGTTTTGGATGAATTTTCTCTATTTGTGGCACAATTTTTATCTCTATATCCGAATGTGCGTGTGTTTGGTGATTTTCATTTTCATTTGGACTGTAGTCACGTGCCTGCAACTAGAGACTTTGTTTCTTGAATGGATAGTTTGGGATTTGAACAATTTATGAATCTCCCACACACGTTAGTGGTCACCTTGGACTTGAACTGTTGTTCTGGGCTGGTTCCTAGTGACTGTTCTACAGATTAACTTGTTTTTTCTGACCATTTTCTGCTTAGATTTAACGTATCCCTCGCATGAAACGTCTCATCTTATTTCCCATCGTACATTAAAAAACATTGACCTGGACTGTTTTCCTTCCTGCATTAATAGTTTAATGGGTGTGTTTGCAGATTACCCCCCTGTTGACTTGGTTGCCTTCTATAATGATGACTTGCTCCAGTTGCTAAACTCTGTTGCCCCTATGAAATCCAGGGCGGTCTCTTTGTTACAAACGGCTCCCTGGTTTACACCAGTACTGCATGCAATGCAGGCTAAGGGCCGGAAACTGGAGCGCCTCTATAAAAGGACCAGGCTTGATGTTCACAAGGATCTATATTTATGTCACACGCATCTTTATAAAGTTTGTATAGGGCAAGCTAAAACTAGTTATTTTGCTTCAAACCAAGGCAACTCTTCTTTCTCTGCTCAAGTCCCTTTCAGGTCCCCCAGACTCCTTGCCCTCACACTGTTATTCTGATGAATTCTGTGACCCATTAATGGCATTTTTAATGAAGATCATGAATATTCACCAGGGCCTGGATTCCTCTGCTATTCATGTCCATGTTCTCAGAGTTTAAGCTTCCTTCAGCCTCTGAGATTGCAGAACTTATTCACAACTCCAAACTAAGCGTCCACCTGGCATCATCATCCCATCCCTACATTCCTGCTTAAAACCTCCGTGTCAGCCTTGCTCCGGCTTATAGTTTCTATTATCTATTCCTCTCTCCCAACTGGCATGCTTCATCAGTCATTGAAATCTACCATGATTCGTCCTGCACTGAAGAGGCCGAGGGCTGATCCGGCTCACCTTAATATGTTACGACCGATCTCCTGTTTCTCTCAAAAATCCTGGAGAAAACAGTAGTTTCGCAGCTCCGTAGACATTTAGCTGACAATGGCTGACGCCCGGAACACACCCGCCGCAAAGCGCCGCAAAGCGGACCACTCACAAAGTCTGTGTGCTGCTCGTTGCTCCACTGTTCACATCAGGCCAGGGTTTGCAAAGAGTGCTTGTGTGTGTGTGTGTACGTGTGTATGTGCCTGTGTGTGTGTGTGTGTGTGTGTGTGTGTGTGTGTGTGTGTGTGTGTGTGTGTGTGTGTGTGTGTGTGCTATGGGCACCAGCCTGGCCATTTGGATGTTGGCGCCAGGATCACCCAGCCCCGGTGATCAGCCCGACATCAAAGCTCTAACAAACGTCTCTGAACTTCTGAGTTTTCTGAGTGTGTGCAACTACTCTTGCCAGTTCGTGGAACACTGCGCTGAGATGGCGAGACCTCTGACTGCCTTGCTGAAAAAGGACGTGCCTCTCGGGTGGACTGAGCAGCAGCAGGCCATGGATGACATAAAGGCTGCATTGTGCTCGGCTCCGTGTCTGGCGCTTTCTGATTGTGACAAAGAGTTCCATCTTGAAGTAGGGTTCTCTACCCACTGCTTGAGTGCCGGTCTCTATCAGGTGTACGACTGCGACAGGCGTGTCGTAGCCTATGCTAGCAAGATCTTGACCAGTCCTGAGTTAAAATACTCTGACTGTGAAAAAGCTTTGCTATTCACCATGTGGGTGGTTAAACATTTCTCCTACTACGGTGGACAGAAAAACCATTGTTGAAACTCAACATCAGACAGTGACCTTTCTGAACAGTCAACACATCAGAGATGGTGTGGGGACCAACGCACACATTGCGTCATGGCTGCTTGCTCTCCAGAGCTTTGACATTGAGGTGCGCTACACCCAGAACTGTCGAAGTCCTTTTGGCATGGGTCTGGCTGCGTGCCAGCATTGCTGTCAGCCCTGCCAGCTCACCCTCCCCAGACCCTGCTGAACCTCAACCACCACTACTTCAACCAAGCTCTCTGTGTGGATTTGCCAACTGTGTACGTTGATGGCAGCTGCTTTTGACACGGTGCTGAACCTAGAAAGGCCTGGGTGTCATTTGGCTACACGCTGACCAGAAGGACTCTTGGTGCTACCAGTTGGGTCCTCAGACCTCACAGTTCACAGAGGTAGCTGGAATACTGACAGTGCTGCAACTTGCTGCTGATCATGGTGTCCGCGAGCTGGTGATCTGCACCGACTCGGACTACGCACATCTCAGTTTTACCTGCCAACTTCCCTCTTGGAAAAGTAACGGGCTCTTAACGTCCAACCAGAAGCCTGTTAAACATCGAGACTGTTTCATGACATGTGATGCCCTGGTGTCCTCACATGACATGCACATCTATTGCCGTTAAGTCAAAGGGCATTCCAGTGCACCGGGAACTGACAAGAAAATGAACAACTTTACAGACTCTCTAGCCTAACAAGGTGAGGCTGTCAGTACCCCATGGTCCTTTAACCCCTTGTGACTCCCTGACTGTTTTTTCCAAGTCAGACCCACCCCGCGTGAGTGCCGTGACTTGGGCTCAGGCTGCCAATGCGTCCGCCCCTCAACCATCTGATGGTTTTGTGTCCGTTCGACCGGTCTTTTCTGAGAACAACCTTGTCAGTCTTCAATCCCAGGACCCTGCTATCAGCAGGATGGTCCTGTACCGTTCTGATCCAACAATATCTACCGTCTTCTATCAAGCTCGACTCCGTTCCTGAGCTCTGAGCTCTCTTTTGTGTTCAAGTCACACTGAGAATGGTTGGAGGGTTGCTAACGCACACCTCCAAGCCTCCGTCATTGCCGGTACTGGTGGCGCCGATGTCCCTAAGGGGAGGTATGATCGCACACGCTCATGACTCTCCTTCGGCTGGACACAAAGGCGTCAAGGCCACGTTCGGTGCCCTGAGACAGGCTGCTTACAGGCCGGGGTTGCATTGAGACATCTCAGACCACATCCAGAGCTGTTTAGTTTGTTGTGAATTTCAGCCATCAAACCACATCCACAGAGCTCCTCATCAGAGCAGGGGACCATCCACACAGTGGTCTGACCTGCAATTTGATTGGGTGGGGCCCCCTGACCCAGTCCAGCAAGGGTAGCAAATACTTCTTGAGCGTGACCTGTGCATTCACAAAATGGGCTGAATGTTTACCAGCATCTGACGACGCAGCGCAAACAACTGCTGTCCTGTTGATGAATCACATCATCTCTAAGTTTGGTCTCTCCATGTGTGTTAACTCGGACAGGGGAACTCACTTCACCTCACCAATTTCCACATTGGTTACCGGCCCCAGTCTTCGGGCCAAGTTGAAAGGATGAACCGAACGGGTGTCAGTATTTTAAAGGGACTTTACGGAGTTTAGAATTTTTATGCTCGCGATTGCCCCCTCAGGCCAAAAGCGTAACGGCAGCTTCAGTAGTAGGCTCTTGCACGAGGCGCGCATGCTATACATGCACACTCCTTAACGAAAATAACAGCTGAGACAGTCCCGTGTGTGTGTGTGTGTGTGTGTGTGTGTGTGTGTGTGTGTGTGTGTGTGTGTGTGTGTGTGTGGCCCGGAGGACAGAGGACAGGAGAACACGCAGCTAATTAATTAAATAATTTGGTTCTGTACCTTTCTCTTCAGCACAGCCGACAAAGGTTTATGATGGGTCAGTCCTCCTGCATGCTCAGATCATTCCCTTCCCTTGCTTGAAAAATTGTTCCAAAATGAAAGTTGAACCCACATCTTTTTTATCTGTGAATTCAATGCTGTTCGGCGAAATTTGGGCATCTTACTGTAAAAAAAAATATACCATTAATGTAAAAAAAGAACCTCTAAATAAACTATGTTCACATCCAGAATCGAACCCAAGACTTCTACATGAGAGTCCAATGTCTTACTAGGTGAGCTGGAGCACCAGTGACATCCATTGAATCTATAACATTTATATCCTTGATGACAGCTGAAACAATGTTCAGAGAACGGTTCAAAGCGAAAATGGCTATTTTGTTGCTAATTTGCAGGAAATATCTAGAAGAATGTTCTACAGAAAGTAGCTAAGGGTCCTCAGAAATGTAGCTAGCTTTGTCACTAGGCATTAGGAATAGCGACAAAGTGGCACTGCCTCTCTCTCTGCTGCTAAAGCTACGGATAGCAAATGCTACGGGCGATGCCTGAGCGTGAACGCGCATGAAGCAGCCTGCTCGACCCGAGCATCTCTCTTTTTCTGTGATTTTCCAGAAAAACAGTTAATCACAGTAAAAATGCCAGGGCTCATTCTACAGGACCAGGGCACTGCAGGAGAATGTATGAAGAAGAAATTTATTATTTCTATACATGTTTTGGCTGTCAAACTTCCACAATGCCCCTTTAAAGAAATACGTGTTTTGCACATTTCCATGGCGTGGCTGAGTTCCATATGGCCTCCCTTTGTTGTTTAGTCGATGCATCTTTTTTGTGCTACCAAATCTGTACACTAACTAAAATTCATTTTATGTACAGATCATTCTTAGAGGCCTGTTGTTTTGGTGAGGGTCCGTTGCTCCAGTGTTGCTGGGACTGTATGTGTAACCATACAGTTGCCATTCTGAACCGGATTGCTCACTTCTCTCAGCTCAGTGTGCCAGTGGTCCCACTAGCTGCACTGAAGAGTAGCAACAGTGGCACAAACCTCCAACTGCTGTAATTAACAGGCTAATTTATCTGGCAGTGGCGAGCCAGGCGATGTCCTGCTAAATCGCACATTCTCCATCTACAGTACAGGCCAAAGGTTTGGACACACCTTCTCGTTCAATGTGTTTTCGTTATTTTCATGACCGTTTACAAAGGGGCCAACAAGTGCTAAACGCCTCTGGGAACTCGTGGGACTGTTGGAAAACCATTTCAGGTGACTATCTCTTGAAGCTCATCAGGAGAATGCCAAGAGTGTGTAAAGCAGTAATCCGAGTAAAGGGTGGCTACTTTGAAGAAAAAAGAATATAAAACATGTTTTCAATTATTTCACGTTTTCTGGTTAAGTACATAACTCCTCATGTGTTCATTCATAGTTTTGACGCCTTCAGTGGGAATCTCCCAATGGTCATGAAGATAAAGACAACACACTGAATGAGAAGGTGTGTCCACACTTCTGGCCTGTACTGTATTTGTATGCTTCTTGCCCCAATAAAAAAACACTTCACTGCCACGACAACAGAGGGCGTTGCACTCTTCTGGGCTGTCCTGCCACCATTTGCAGCCATGTTTGCGATCCGCGATAGTGTATTTACCGTTGTGTGTTTATGTATTTCAGCGACTTTTTAAAATGGACAAATTTGTACTTGTGAATGATAAAATATTTTCTGGATTTTCTCTGACTCCAGGTTTCCAGTTATTAGGCACAAATAATTCTGCACCACTTGTACCTCCATACAGCTCTATGCTGCTGCAGAATGTTTACAGTCCCAGCTGGTTCCTTTTTTGTTCCCCTGCAGCTCCTTCAGTTGTGGAAAACCTGGAAGCGACGTCCTTGTCCTCAGACCGTCTTGTTGTGTCATGGAAAGCTGGCAGAGGACACATAGAGAACCTTAGAGTCCTGCTGGTGGATCAGAATCGAGTTTCCTTAAGGAACATCAGTGCGAAGAATACCACCACCTCTGCAGAACTGACTGACCTGCTGCCAGGGACACTGTACAATATCACCGTGGTTACTGAGGCTGTCGGTCTGCAAGGCTTTGCCTTCACGCAAGCATACACAGGTAGGTTTACTTGGTTCATAATGAAAGTGTTCAGCTGTTTCTGCCCAGTAGCTGTTGACAGATGACTTTAAAGCTAAGCCAGATCAAGCCAGCTTTATTTGTATTGCACCTTACAACATTATAAAACAGACCCAAGTGCTTCACGGAACTAAAATTGAATGAATAAAAAAAAAACACATATTAAAATAACATAAAATCTAAGAAAAACAAAAGATCTCGTGCCTTGTTAAAAGCCAAAGCATAACAATGCATTTTCTTGAGAGATTTAAAACAAGACAAGATAGCATCCTATCAGCTGACCTCAGAGACCGTGAAGGGGAGTGCAGAGGTCACTCAGAGCAAGATCATGGAGAGATTTAAAGCCCAGAAAAGCACCTTCAACTGGATTAGAAAATGAATGTGCAACCAGTGCAGTGAAGCCAGTGAGCAGATGTGCAGCTGCATTTTGCACCAACAGAAGACAAGAGAGATAAGACGTGGTATACTGAATTACAGGGTTAGGATTAGCAACCAGTCCCGGGGTGTCTCCACCTCTCAGTGCTCTCTGTGTACACTGATTTGCCGGTCACAGGTAAGATCCTTGTCCAATATGACACCCAGGGATGTCACATTAGGTTTCAAAAAAAGGGGCCAGCAAACCATGGTCAACCGCACAGTCCCCAGATGAAGCACCATGGCCAAAAACCACAACTTCTGTCTTATTTTCATTGAAAATAAGGGTTAGGGTTGAGAACATGCATTGTCTAACCTCACCTAGACATTCTGAGGGAGAATTCAATGACTCATGGTGGCCTCGCTTAAAGGGGCTGTATACTTGGGTGTTATCTGCATAGCAGTGAAAATGACACCCATGTTTAATGAAAACGTGACAATGAAAACAACAAGCCAACTAAAAACCCAGAGGAACCCCACACATGCTTGAAGCATTAGAAGTGAAATCACCCAATAGCCCTTTTTACAAGACACACCGTGCCAGCAAATCGGCATGATGTTACTGCAATGGTGTGCCTTATGAACATGCCATGCCGCATGGCGCTGCACAGATTTTGCAGCATTCGTTCTTCCTCACTTGGTCCATTGCGGTAATAGTCTGTCTGATAAATGGTGTAACGGAATCAAAGTGATGTAACTATCTAAAGTTGTATTTTAATACACTGTTAGTAGTTCACTTTTTATAAACAGAAGAATAGGCTGTTTTTATCATCAGGGAGTTTAATTACACACTCTGTATTGACTTTGAGACAATAAAAGAGAGAGAGATGGGATCGTTTGAGAATCTTTAATTTCTGAATTATAAATTCTAAACAATCTACCAGGACTACTCTGTGATGGATGAGAATGGATTCGGATGTTGTGTTGGTGCGTGTGTGTGTGTGTGTGTTTGGTTCAGATTCTCTAGGCTGACGTAAAGGAATCCGGTCGTCTTTGTTATGACTAGATATCACGAGGCTTATAAAGTGATGACATGAGCCGCTATTTTGCCGTGTACGTACCCAGTGGGGGTCTCCCAGGTAGACCAGGAAATGCCAGGTCCAAGAACCTCGGATGTACGCTGGAGCTGTCGGTGCAGCGGTCGCAACGTTTCAAAGCCCGTCTGGAGGGTCGACCCCGGTACCGTTCGTCGGCGTCAGCAGGTGCTCTTATTTTGAAAGGACGTCGTCTGGTTGTTAAACGACGAAAATCTCCCGTTTCACATTTCTTAGTTTAGAGAAGAAAACACATCTGGACAGGCTGTGCTTTTCTTTTGGATGATGTTGAATAGAACTGAAGTCAAAATGGAACTCAGCTTAAAATGGCGTTGCCTTGTTTTATATCTCTGAATTGTTGATAAGTTGGAGTAAAGTGGATTGGACACTTGAAGTCAACACCAGATTCTCCTGCGGCAGCCGAAAGCTCTGATTGGTTGGAACAATGTGTCATGCGTTTCTATGGAGATGAGGATCAGTATGTCTGTGCCGTAGTCCTGGTTTCATTAAACATAATTCATGACATATTTATTTCACAGATCATTCACTTGATTATTGTTGATCAACATCTGTTTTGCTTAATAATTTTAATCACAAATAAAGTACTTTGATTAAGTAAAGCTTCTTCTTCTCCTTCGGACTCTTCTCCTGGAATGTAAACAGTCTGAGGAACACCCGACCTTGGTTTTTCTACACGGTGTTATTGTGCCCAGGGGGCAGCTGTATGGAGTTGAAAACAATGAACTTCATAACCTTACAATGGTGATTGAATGACATATTAACAGAGGTGTATTATTATATATATGACAGAAAAATATATAAGATAAAATATCTCCAGTGAGACCTGGAGAGGTGTGGTGGAGAGAAACGGCCCCCCTGATCTGATTCTGAGCGGTGTTTTGTTATTGGGCTAATGTGCTCGTCACGGGTTGTCCATAATGAACACCATGTTCAAACATCAAGGCGTCCATATGTGCTCTTGGCACCAGGATACCTTAGGCCGCAGCTCGATGATTGACTTTATTGTTGTCTCATCTGACCTGCGTCCACATGTCTTGGACACTCGGGTGAAGAGAGGGGCGGAGCTGTCAACTGACCACCACCTGGTGGTGAGCTGACTCCGTTGGTGGGGGAGGATGCCGGTTAGACCAGGCAGGCCCAAACGTGTTGTGAGGGTCTGCTCGTAACGTCTGACTGAGTCTCCTGTCAGAAGAAGCATAAACTCTCACTTCCGACAGAACCTCCAAAATGTTCTGGGGGACGGACACACACACACACACACACACACACACACACACGCACACACACGCACACACACACACACACACACATATATATGTATATATACATATATACATATATATATTTATATATATATATATATAATATTTTTGCAATAGTGAACTTAGTTGAAGATATTTGAACTGTGAACCAAACTACTTCACTGTGAAATGTTTGAACTGACCTTTGACCTAGTTTGTTCCAACCCTAACCCTAACCCTCCCAACACTGAGACACTTTGAGCCACAGCAGGTGAGATGTTCCCACTTTAAGTGAAATTGTTTATTTGCATTGTTTAAATGTTACTCGTCACAGTTTGTTTAGACTAAGCATTATTTAAAAAAGAGTAAAAATGAAATGAAATTGAATGTTTATTATTATTATTTAGCGATCATGACCGTTTTTTAACCTTGTCGGTCCTGATGATGGTGAGATCTCTGTTTCACACAAACATGTTGTGATGGTTAGACAGATATGTGATGTGTAGCTCAGTCTTCTTTAAGTCTGGTGGTTCGGTTCCTCCGTGATGTTGCGGTTACGTAATTCTGACATCCAGACTTCTGGTTCACTTTTTGTTTTGGGGGAAAGTAAAACCTGCTGAGGACCATACCTGGAGGTGAAGACCTGAAATTAAACACTCTCTCTCCTGTTCCTCAGTTCCTGCTGCTGTGTCAAATCTGACCCTAAACAATCATGGCAGCTCAGAGAGTCTTGAGGCCTCCTGGACCAGACCTAAAGGGGGTGTGGACTTTTATTTGGTGACTCTGCAGGCTCCTGAGTCGACTCCTCAACAACGCATTCTGCTCTCCAACATCACCCAGGAAGTGTTTGTGGGTCTGACCCCTGGGCGCCACTACCTGTTGTCCGTCATCTCCTCAGCTGGAGGTCAGAGTTCGGAGAGTAGGGCTGTTGGGAGGACAGGTGAGTTGGTCCAACCCCTGACTATGGTTGTTCACATAAGTGATTCATTCAATGATGACACAGCTTCATCTTGCTTCTGCTGAACCTCTTTGTTTCTTGTTGTCTTAGTTCCCGGTCGGGTGTCGTCTCTCTCCATGTCCATTGACAGCAGCACACTGCAACTCACCTGGTTGCCCCCCAGAGGTGACTGGGATGCCTACAGTGTCGTAATAACAAATGGCTTGGCGGTTCTGCTGAATCAAACAGTCAGTAAGTGGAGCAGGCAGCTTGAGGTGTCTGTCCACAGCCTCGGGCTGGTCCCAGGATGTGTCTACCACTCGGAGCTCTCGGTGCACAGCGGCGCTCTGGCGAGCACGGCACACTGCAGCAGCAGGCTTGGTGAGTTGGTGTTTGCAGTGTTGTTGTTGATTTCAGAATTAATGAGACACATGGCAACTTATCTACAAAACAGCCGGTTCTGTTGAGAAACAACTAAAACATGCTGGGAACGTCTGACTGAGTCTCCTGTCTGAAGGAGCTTCAATTCTCACCTCCGACAGAACTTTCAACACGTTCCGGGGAGGCGGGTACTGAGTCCAAGTGGGACCTGTGGGGGTGGGGTACTCTGGGAGAATGGGTGCCAGACCCTCTGATCTGGGCCGTTAGGTCCTGTATGACCGCTGTCAGAGCTCGGTCCGCATTGCCGGCGGTACGTCGAGCTAATAAAGCAGTAGGCAGGTTTGAGGAAGCTATTGATGCCGGTGAAAGGTCTTGGGAATACCTGAAGCAGATGTGATACATTTGGCATTAAAGGGTTTAATCATGCAGGAAAACAGCAGCTTCCAGTCAAAGTTGTTGTGGAAATCTTTAAACCTTCAGTCTGATGTCACCCCCCAGAACCTCGGCCCGTGCAACAGCTGCTTGTTCGTCAGGCTGATGAGACGTCTCTTGGGATCCAGTGGAGCCGGCCTGTTGGACACTGGGATAACTTCACAGTCCTTCTGAAGGACAAGAACCCTGACAGCCACTGGACCAAGAGCGTTCTGAGCTGGGAAACCAGAGACTGGACCTTCAGAGGGCTGACACCAGGACGCTGCTACACGGTTACGGTGTCAACCAACAGTGGCAACCTGAGCACCTCAGTCTCTCTGACAGCATGGACCAGTATGTCCCACCTTGCTGTTGTTCTAACTCTTACTTGTCCAGTCCACATATGAAGCTAATGATTAATTAGCTTAGCACTGATAATCAGATGCAACATGTTTGTGTTCTCAGCACCAGCTCCGGTTGGCTGGCTGCAGGTCTCCAGCCTGGGCAGCACCAACAGCCTGCAGACGCAGTGGGACCTGTCCTCCGGGGAGGCGGACTCGTATCAGATTCTGCTCATCCATGACAGCAGTGTCATCAGAAATGAGAGCATGGCAGCAAACTTCAGCAGCATCATCTTCCGGACTCTGACACCTGGAGCTCTGTACAAGGTGGTGGTCATCACCATCAGAGCGGGACTTGCTTCCAGACAGGCTGTAGCTGAGGGACGCACAGGTGAGCTCTGATGTGACTTCAGGCGTTTTCCGTTATTCCCTATTCATCCATGATAATTTTCCAATGTGATACATTTAAGGGTGAAAAAGAAACCAAAGCCAAGGTTTATTTAAATTAAGGAAGCGATGATGTCATTAAAACACACATCAGCTGATCTGGTTCAAAACCAGGACCCGGTTGAGTCTGGGTCTCTGAGGATCCAGTCGGACTGAAGGGCTTTGAAAATCCTTTCAAAACGTTAGGAAACTAGTCAGGAACCTGGGAGAGGTTCAGGTGTTAAGGGCCAGGGAGCAGGATTAAACTGGACCTCCATGACCTCTGACCTATGAAACCCCTGTGGTCCTGATCCATTCCTGATAGAAAATGTTGGAAGGCTTTAAAACCCAAACTGTGACAAATGAGACCTGCTTCTGTTAGAAATAACGGGACAAAAAGACCTGAAGCTTTTTGCCACCTATAATGTTGGGAATGATCCAGGAGCGGGAATGTGACAAATCCTGGAACTGAACCTGGTTTCACTGGCCTTAGTCTGTAATTTGAGGATGGCTATTAAACAATCAGAAGGAAATAATGAGTTCAATTCTAAAGATCTTCATGCTTTTAATGGAAATAGGAAGAGCATCATGTTTGGACTGGCTCTGGCGGGACCAGGGAGTCTTTCCAGTCTCAAACCGGATATTGAAAGAGTTTACGTGGAATTTTCAGGAAGTGTTGACAATGACGGCAACACAAAAGAGTGAGCAGGTCTGCTGGACAGAGGCTTCCTGCCAGGAAATGTTGTTTACAGAGAAAGCTCGCTCAGTACAAGGACAGTCACGTTCCCGATGGTCCAAAACTGCAAACATCCCAACACACACACACACACACCAGAAAAATGTGCTCCTCTTCTATGAGCTCCAAACATCCAGAAGTTTGTGATTATTGACTTTGAAAAAGTTCCTGAGTTTGCTGTTAATCGTTGTGCCCAAAAGGTTCTGGGCCCGCTAAACCCTCCAGACCTCCAGAAGAAGCGCAGTCGGCTGCACACCTACTTCCTGTCAGACACACTTCTGTGGTTCTGGGTCTACTGGAGACACATAGTGGACATGCTGGAAAACTCCAGGACACAACACCAGCTACTGGAAACTATAAAGTGTTCCGACACATTGTGAGAGAAATGCTGGTGAGATGCCAGCTTAGAGGAGCAATATCAATAAGGAGGAATTGGAGGACATAAAGAAATCCCTAAACTTTATGTCAGAAGAAATAACAAATATTTCACAGCAACAAAAACTGATACTTAATTTAATGGAGGACATTAAAGAACTAAGAAGGCAGAGCGAGGGAAAGGACAAGAGGATCGCCATGCTGGAGGGACGGGTAGCAGATCTAGAGCAATATTCAAGAGTAAAAGATGTGATAGTGACAGGGCTGGAAACCAGGTGTGGCAGTGTGAGCATCCTGTCGCAGTGTCCCGATTGATCATGCACCCTGGCTACTTGGCCAAGGGAATGTCCCTTTGGCTGACTGGTTAGCAAGCATGACTCTCACCAGGGAGTCTGGGGATTGAATCCCGCCTGGGCCCTCATTTCTCCACCTTGCCACACAAGCATCAGATTTATGCATGGGTAGCAGCATCAGACTTGTGCATAGGTAGCAGCATCAGACTTGTGCACGGGTAGCAGTGTCTGACTTGTGCACGGGTAGCAGTATCAAACTTGTGCATGGGTAGCAGTATCAGACTTGTGCATAGGTAGCAGTATCAGACTTGTGCACGGGTAGCAGTGTCAGACTTGTGCACGGGTAGCAGTATCAGACTTGTGCATGGGTAGCAGTATCAGACTTGTGCATGGGTAGCAGTATCAGACTTGTGCATGGGTAGCAGTATCAGACTTGTGCATGGGTAGCAGTATCAGACTTGTGCATGGGTAGCAGTATCAGACTTGTGCATCGGTAGCAGTATCAGACTTGTGCATAGGTAGCAGCATCAGACTTGTGCACGGGTAGCAGTGTCAGACTTGTGCACGGGTAGCAGTATCAGACTTGTGCACGGGTAGCAGTATCAGACTTGTGCATGGGTAGCAGTATCAGACTTGTGCATGGGTAGCAGTATCAGACTTGTGCATAGGTAGCAGTATCAGTCTTGTGCACAGGTAGCAGTATCAGACTTGTGCACGGGTAGCAGTATCAGACTTGTGCATAGATAGCAGCATCAGACATGTGCACGGGTAGCAGTGTCAGACTTGTACACGGGTAGCAGTATCAGACTTGTGCATGGGTAGCAGTATCAGACTTGTGCATGGGTAGCAGTATCAGACTTGTGCATGGGTAGCAGTATCAGACTTGTGCATGGGTAGCAGTGTCAGACTTGTGCACGGGTAGCAGTATCAGACTTGTGCATGGGTAGCAGTATCAGACTTGTGCATGGGTAGCAGTATCAGACTTGTGCATGGGTAGCAGTGTCAGACTTGTGCACGGGTAGCAGTATCAGACTTGTGCACAGGTAGCAGTATCAGACTTGTGCACGGGTAGCAGTATCAGACTTGTGCACAGGTAGCAGTATCAGACTTGTGTACGGGTAGCAGTATCAGACTTGTGCATAGGTAGCAGTATCAGACTTGTGCATAGGTAGCAGCATCAGACTTGTGCACAGGTAGCAGTATCAGACTTGTGCACGGGTAGCAGTATCAGACTTGTGCACAGGTAGCAGTATCAGACTTGTGTACGGGTAGCAGTATCAGACTTGTGCATAGGTAGCAGTATCAGACTTGTGCATGGGTAGCAGTATCAGTCTTGTGCACAGGTAGCAGTATCAGACTTATGCACAGGTAGCAGTATCAGTCTTGTGCACGGGTAGCAGTATCAGACTTTTGCACGGGTAGCAGTCTCAGACCTGTGCACGGGTAGCAGTATCAGACTTATGCACGGGTAGCAGTCTCAGACCTGTGCATAGGTAGCAGCATCAGACTTATGCACGGGTAGCAGTATCAGACTTGTGCACGGGTAGCAGTATCAGACTTATGCACGGGTAGCAGTATCAGACTTGTGCACGGGTAGCAGTATCAGACTTATGCACGGGTAGTAGCATCAGACTTGTGCATAGGTAGCAGCATCAGAAGGAGGGGAAACGCTCACTTGAAGAGCAGGTACTGGCTTCCTTTAGAAGCAAAGGTGTTGAAATGGAAAGTAAAGATATAGCGGGATGCCATTCTCTTCCAAGGAAAATCAAAAATCCCATACCTGCCATTATCATGCATTTTGTTAATAGAAATTAGAAAAAAGAGCTGCTTAAGCCAGGAAGAAAGTTGAGAGGAACAAATGTGTATTTAAACAAACATCTAACCAAGAAAAATGCAGACATTGCAAGACACATCAGAATATTAAGGAAAAAGAAGAAAATACAGTCGACTTGGACGTCAGATTGTAAAATATTTATTAAGTTAAACGGAACAAAAGTTCTAGTCACCAAAGAAATGACGGAGCTAGAAAAATATAATTCATAAGTCAGAAAGCAAAGCAATGTGAAATGTTATGGTAAGGGCCAAGTGCACAATAAATCAGATGACTGACAGATTTCAAGTTTCAACGCACATTGAAGATAGGTCTTTGGTGTTGGATGGTGATACACATAGATCCTGACTGTAACTTTTTTAACAATATGATAAATGAATGCAATTATTATACAAATGGTTAATTTAAAAAGAAAATAAAGGCAGAAAAGGTATAACAATGGTTCACTTTAATAGTAGAAGCTTATATGCACATTTTCAAGCCATTAAAGCAAACATAAGCGTTTAAACAGGCATACAAAGTGATAGCCATATCAGAGACCTGGATAACTTCTGAAAAAGAAGAAGACTTTGAAATACATGGATATGAATTCCTTCATTTGGACAGAATCAACAAAAAAAGGAGGTGGGGTGGCACTTTACATTGATAAAAAAACCTAAAGTATAAAAAGTGGGAAGAATGACGACGGCTATTGATGGCGTGAAGGGATGTTTAACAGTGGAAATGAGTATGGAAACAAAGAAAAACCTAATTGTTTTACCGAATAGCAGGATCATAGATCAAGATATTTAAGGAGCATATGGAGGATTTATTTACAAATCTAAATCAGAAAGGAATGTTTATTTGTGGGGACTTTAACATTGATTTCATGAATCCAAATCATAATAAGAGTACAGAAGAATTCATTGATTCCATGTATAGCATGGGCTTATTGGCAGAGGAAATAAAGGCAGATGTAAGAGAAAGGGACACTGGTGCAAATATTGAAAGGAATAGAAGTTCAGTTTTTTAAGAGCAGTGGAGGAGAAGGAGATTTATGACATAGTTAGAGGATATGAGAATAAAACCAGTACAGATTGGAATGATACTCCCATGCTTTCGTTCTTTTTTAAACACAGAAACAGTTTTGTTTACCTGTTTGTAGCTACAGTTTCGCCGACAGCTGCCGGCTTCTTCAGGCTGACGCTGATGGTGGCGCGTCACTTCCTTCTCCGTTTATCTGCGGGCAGCAGAGGACGTTGTCGCCCTCTACTGCCCGCTCTCCCCTCTCCGACGATGCAGTCCCATGCGTGGTCCAGCGTGTAAACTCCGTCGTCCCTGTTCATGGTCCCACATCCACGTCTCCTTATCTCTATTGCTTCCTTGATCCATCTTTTGTATTTTTGTTGTTCGGTGGTTATGATCCGTGTGCTGTCCCAGTCCATTATATGGTTTTCTCTTAAGCAGTGATCTGTTACGGCTGACTTTTTTATTGTACTTTCTGCTTCTTCTTTTGCTGCTCTTGTGTGTTTACGATTTGCCTCTTTCTCGCACTCCTTTCTGTGTTCTATTGTCCGTGTATTGAGTTGGCGTCCGGTTTCTCCTATGTATGTTTTATTGCATATTTTGCATGGGATTTCGTAGATGACTCCACATTTTTGTCCAGCTGATATTTTGTCTTTTGGGTGCACTAGTCTGTTTCTAACTGTTGTGTATGGCTTTGTTGGTGTGTTTATGTTGTGTTTTTTCAT